CATTTTAGTTCAATGAAAGAATCAAGAATGCGATGCTGGGAATGCTCCAGAAGAATTTTATTGATGATTCTTTAACACCACCAACGCTATTTCCAATGGATGGAATTACATATTCTTAAGGGTATTTAGATAATATTGTTACTTATTCTTACCATGTGTAAAAGGCACAAAATGGCTGTGGAATTAATTGTGAATAAAAAGAAACATCTTTGTCCTTTCATTAATACAATATATCTTTCATTTATTCTCATTTATCATTAGTGTTATGCATCTTTTAAATAGTATGATTGTTGCGCTGTTAATCCTGTTAGCGGACCAAACAACGATTTTGACGAAACCCCCTGGTGTAAGGAAAAAGGTGAATGTTTTCTGAATAATGCCCAAATACCGAAGACGTGCTGTGATGGAGTGGATGAATCGGATTTCGAAACAAAGGCACCCGCAGATTGTTTTTCTTTTGCAACTGATGACTATAAGACTAAGGTTAATCTTAAATCTTAGAATTTTGCAAATAACGTTTTTTTATTCCTGAATTTTACGAGAATTTAAATTATATCAATTTTCTCTTATTATTGAGAATGTTGACATTTTTATTATAATTATCATTATTTAGGCATTATTTCTTATATTAAGTTCATCTATATTTTCTTTAAGGGTTGTTTTGATAGACTTCAAGAATTTATTCACAAGTACTCAACTCCCGCCATTGGGGTATCGGTTGTTGGCATTACACTCGAGGTAAATGGATTTAAAAAAAATTTGACTGTTTTACATACAAACTTGAGCTTGATATATAGGACTTTTAAAAATTGTATTGTCAAGAAAATTTAATATACAAAACCTTTGACATATATTTTAGGTATTATATTGGTCTTTGTATTGATTGTCCTTATAATTTGGACAAATTACCTAAATTAAAACAAACATACACATTCAGGGTCTAAAAGTTATCACAATTTTTATCAGTTTTCAATCACAACGACTTTGTAGCAGAGCCGTATCAACATTATACTCCATCTTATACTTTGTAAAATGAAAGTAAATTTAAAGTTTTGATATAAGAACATTCTTTCAACTAATAGAGCACGGATGCCTCGTATTAAGTTTTGTTGATAAAGTTAAAGTACTTGCAAAATAAAAACTTTTTTTATTCTATTACTGTGGCCATGCATATAGTAGAGGGATATAACAAAATTAATGTGATAAGACATGAGTACAGGTAAACCTGACATGCCTTTACTTAAGAACATTTTTCAGAAAAGGCAAATGTTTGTCCTTAAAATGAAATTTTCATAAGGAAAAAACTTTGCATTTGTTATCAATTTTAAAAATATTGTATGACTTCAATGCATAAAAATGATTTGATTACTTTTAATAACACAAGATATCACTGAAGTCAAAAATTCAAATTCAAAGATTTTTCAAGTTAAATATAGTGAAGCGCATTGAAGTGGTAAAATTTCCCGTTTGAATGGAACGTTTTGAGCTATCTTTAGAACGTTGATTGTCATACAATGACACGCCCATTTCTTTAGAAAGGAAAAATCGGTCGAATGGTTCATTGGAATACCTGTTCTGAACAGGTATTCTAAAAATATAATATCCAATCAAATTGACGGTCTACATAAACACAGAGTACGCACATGTTCGACCAATACATGTGTTATGGAAACTCCAGTAAACATGATAAATTCATAATTATGTACAAATTCGTTGCAATACGTGTTTTATAGAAGCTGGAACTCTCTAAATCTCTCTTACAACTAAAAATCTCCATTTCAGTGAAACTCATGTTTCTTTTCGCAAAGAGTGGGGTGTCCAAAAACATTACGACGAATATTTCTGTACGTTTCTAAAGGAATGGGCGTGTCATTCTGTAACAATTGACGTTCAAAACATGACTCAGAACGTTTCATCCAAACAGAAAATTTTACCACTTCAATGCTCTTCATTGTATTTTGACTGGAAAATATGGAGCACGGGATGATAAACAGTATAGAATGGTATACCTATGAAATGTTAAAATACCTGGGTAGCTCCGTGCTTGAACAAATTTGAACTCTGCAAAAACTGTCGTCAAAATTGACCAAAACTTGAGCATTTTGTCATTTTATTAAAGATATGATAACACGTCTTTACTTTATTGTGACCGTGTGTTAAAAATTTCAATTACATGTATTTGATTCCACCCCAAAATTTTTTTTATTCATTTTTTTAAAACAAATATCTAAAACAAATATAATAAATTATTCATATTTGAATTCGGTAGGGGCAAGAATGCGCCTTTAATGAATTCGAATTAAGTTCTCTTAGTTATGAATTTTTAGATTTTATATGTTTCTCTTGTAATCTCCCATCTTCTTTCTTTTACTTATGTTAATTTGCTTACTTTTTTATCTTTTCTAGATTTTGGCTTTTGTGTTTGCCATCGTCCTATGTAGGCAGATAGGACAAGAGTCTTCAAAGATAATATAATTCATACTAGTTGAGTTGAAATGATAGACATTGGTTTAAACATGTGTGTCCAAATGCACAGACTTCAGCTGATTGAAAGACTGTTATTAACATTAATTGACTGTATCCACTATCACACATGTTTCAGAATGTTTTAAAGCACTCAAATATTATATCCAATTTTTCTTTTCTTAATATTTGTTAAATCTGTACTTCATAAAGGTAGCTGACAAATTTTTGTTAACACTAAAATCATTTTTGTACTAGAACATTTAGTTTTCAGTACATGTATATTATGGGATCGATCGCTTGTTATTTTCTCCCTTTTCCTCATTAAAGAACATTTACTTTTAATATTCAATTCATGTGCGTTTAATTTTAGATAAACCTGATACAAAAAAAATAATGATTAGGTTTCCTTGAGATAAAAACGAAGCGTTTTCATCTTTTTAAATCACATATTTATCCATTTTTTAATTGTATTCTTTTGATATATACAATGTACTTGTATATATGAAATTAGAAACTAAAGAATTGTGTGGGATATATTATTTGTTTCGCCCACTTCCAAATATCAAATAAACTCCATCTTTATTGAAATATACCGATCCGATTGTGACGCAGACACCCAGATATCATGTTCAAATTATAATACAAAATTAAAATATTTAAACCCGAAATCTTATCATACAATCCATTTTCATTTATCATTCGATGAAAATCTTAAATGCCAAAAAATTATATTCATTTTTACAAATTTTTTAATATAAATCATAATTTCGTTTCTTTTTATTGAAACCCTTTTATCGATTTGTACTGTGTTGATCTAGGGAGATATATAACATATGATAACATTAGAGAATTTTTTTTATCATATTGTAAATCACTGATCCAAGTCAAAGATATAAAAATCTAAGCTAGAAACATTATATGTTGTACACTTGGACTACATTACTATTGTGTTTGTACACTTGGACTACATTACTATTGTGTTTGTACACTTGGACTGCATTACTATTGTGTTTGCTTAGAATTGTGATTAAAATTTACTTTATTTTATGTACTGAAATTTAAAACTAAAACTGACCCTTCGGTGGGGACGATCAATTGGTCTGTCACTTTTGTCCGTCTTACGCCAAGTGATGGTCGAAGAGCTTTGTCAAGTTATTAGACAATAAAGCTATGGAGAATTTTGAGCATTTGATATTTTACTTCGGAATTAAGTTCTATTGTCAATAAAATGACCTTGTCAGAACATACAATGTATCATTAAGTCAAATACTAACTGACGTTTTTACCACAAATATTAATCAATACAAATACACACACTGATTTGTCAACAGATTTTTCCATTATTCCCGATCATGACAAAAAGCATACGGCGGCTGTGACAGGTTGGCAGGGGATGCTTACTTCAGTATTGACACCTGATTCCATCTCTGATGACATCAGAGTTCTTTCATTTAGGGTTTGGATTTGGTTAGGTGAAACATTTTCAGTTTACATTGATATGACTTAATTTTTAATAATTATACAACGAGAGCAATTTTAAAATAATAAATGTCAAGTATTAGAAATAGAATTTAATGAATGGGCATTGGATTATACTGTGAGAAATGTATAGGGATAGTTGTTTTTTTTTTTAAAGAAATTCTCGACGCTATGTTTTGACGTTACATGGTCGTAAAGTGTGCTCCGCGGGTACAAAAACATGTTGATTTTAAAATGAAGTAAATTTATCTAATTCTGTAAAATCGAATGGAATGTAACTTCATGCATCAACACAACAAATATTTTTAAATATTATAATGTGGTTATTTTAAATTTCTAGTGAGTAATATAAAGAAGATTTACATCGTCCACGAACTTTTCGAACGACCCTCGTACATGATGGTTTAACCTTATTAATTTTGAGTCATAATTTGTGAAAATTATTTTAAAATGTTACATTATTTTGAAGAATATTTTCCTTTGGAATGGAACTAAGGGTATAAGTTGAATTATTACTTGTAGACACTTTAAGCACTTTAATTTATGTCAGATTATAGTTTTATCATAACCGTACATAAAAGTGGAAAAGAAATCCAGACTTAAATTGAAAGCAAGTAATACATTAAAGCCATTGAATAAGTATTATTGCATGTATATTTCATATACACGCAGGTGTCATGAATTTCTTCCTGTATGGAAGGCTTGTACCTTATTATTTGAAAATTAATGCACTATGAAGGAAAAAAAGAAAGTTCTGAAGAACGAGCTAAATTACAAAAAGAAGATGCTTTTTTTAATAATAATTTCTTCATTTCTTTGATGTTATTATCGGATACAGTTTGATTAAAGTATCTCTAATAGTTTCTTTTGAACTGAGCTAAACGCAAAGTGTGACAAAAGAACAGATGGAAGAAAAGAAAGACGTGGGAATTCTACTCTATAACAGCGGTACATATATCTTACAATGTGCTTAACTTTTGTATCAAACTTTCATATACTCTTTTACATTTAAAAATCAAGTATTGAGGCACGAATGATCACCCATAGAATTACAAGGCGTTTTAACTTTAAAACTTGAATCTGTTTATAAAGTGAAACGGTAAAAAATGGGGCTGGGTGATTGTGGAAAATTGGGCAAAGTGTTTCTTTCAGTCCTTAACGCAATATTCCTGGTAAGTTTTTCATATATTCCTGTATATAAGCAACTTGAGAAAAAAGATTGTACTGTACCATTAAGACGAATCTTAGTTCACTTTGAGAAATTTCAAACCTTCCTTTTGAATTAATCTATCACAGTGTTTATATAGTGTTTATAGTTGATATATTGAATCTACAATTTATTTGGTCTGAAAATCACTTTATCTTTTTTTTTGTTGTAAAACATTTTTATAAAGCACAGTTTTGTGGTTTTTGTTCAAAAACAAAACCCTTATGTTGCCATTTACAAACGTTTTCTGTATAACAATGGCTTGCCTTCCTAAGCATGACAAATACCTTTACGATACTCTCGTGACTGGTGTACCCTTTTGACATACAGCAATCAGGAAGTCATTTTATTGACGCTATAAAGCATTGCTGTGGTTCTTACACCTTGGGATGAATTACAAACCATCGATTTGCTTTCGATGTCAGGGTAGATTTTTTTGTTACCGAAGTCTGGGTTATTTTTATTTTAAAACTAATGTTTTTGTTATTTAAATTCTGGATTGCTCTAGAATAGAAAGTTTTGATGCCTTCAAAATTATGATCTTAAAAGATTCTTTGCGAGATGATCAGACCATTGTAATACACAGCATATCACATGCAGCATAGGGGAGAGGCATTTAACAAAGTCCCAGTATTGAAACAGGTAGTTACCAACAAAAGGAAATGGTATACTATTGTACTGGATTAACGTTGTGTATAATGCAAGATGATACCCTAAGGTAGCCTAGCGAGAGATTTTTTTTTGTCAGTATGAAACAACATTTCAGTAAAAAATGCTGGATTTTCCTACAAATAATCTCGAGCGCACAAAGTATACAGCTGAAATTGCTCAAATTCAAAGTTGCCTAGTGCTTGAAAAGTACAAAAAGAAGTCGCATACTTTTGCAAGGAGCGCTGACATTTACTGTTGACGGCTTACATATACACGAGGACAAAGTACGGAAGCTTTTTTACGATATCAATATTTAAACTCAAAATTTAATTCAACGAAAATTATTGGGTTATTTTATAGCACAAATAAGTTGTCCTTGAAGAAAACGACAACCCATTTTACCCTCAACTCCCGACTTTCACATGTTAGTTCTCATAAAACCATGCCTTATCTTTTATCAATTCTGTACCTCCGTACATGATATAGGATTAAACATCAAAGTAAACTGTCAACTGTAAAAGTCAGTGCTTCTTGCATGCAAAAGTCCACATGCAAACCGCAATTGCAATATTTAAAAAGACGAAGTAAACAAACAGTGATCAATCTCGATAGAAAAAAAATGCAAACAATGTAAATCTGCACAGGGTGTAAACAGGAACCTCCGGAAACTCTAGAGGTGGGATCAGGAGCCTAGGAGGAGTGAGCGTCTCCTGTCAATCGGTCACAGCTTCCGTAAACCCAAAGTATTGATCAAGAAGATGGAACATTTCAAAGTCAAATTCAGTATGAACACAAAGTCGTATTTGGTGTGAGATATGCCAGTCAAATTAAGACAAAAAAATCATTGTAGTATCATAAATTTTTAAAATGCTTCAAATTATTCCGAAAATCTGACGTTTTCCTGGCTTTTTTACGATTTTGATATTTTACATGCCAGGAAAACGTCAGAACTGGCGCCATTATGAAAACTGGGAATTCGCCGCCCCCAACTGGAGGCGGCATTCTCGAATTGATTTTAGATACTTGCGAACCGAATTAAATTTCGAAGTCACAAGCTACCAGTAGTACAATACTTAAAGTACTTACCAATATAGATTTTATTGTTCATTTATAAAATATACAATCCGTTGAAAAGATTATATTACACTGTCAAGATTTGTCGTCTTTTCGTGCCTTTTTAAAATCTTGCAAGTCCTGTAACGAAATGTGGAGAGATATTTTCTTTTCGTCGATATTGGTGAGTACTATAGGCATTGTTCTTTTGATAAATTCTGATTTCAGCTTTTAGTTTGGTTTGCAAGTATCAAAAATGAACTCCGGTTGGAGACGGCGAAAGTAATTTCCAGTTTTCGTAATGGCGCCAATTCTGACATTTTCCTGGCATGTACAATATCAGAATCGAAAAAAAGCCGGGAAAACGTCAGATTTTTCGGACTAGCTTCAAATGTCTTCAAATGAGGTTGTAGAAATTCTTCTGTAACATCAATTTATCTGTCAGTATCGTGTCAATCAAGTTGAAAGACACGAATACCGTATGCAGAGGAAGGTGGACTGCACAAAAATGGTCGTTGATGAGAGGAAAGTTTAGGTCATTTCATTTGTCATAAAGATTAGTCGTTATCTGGCTGTACTGTGTTAAATTTCAGAACATGAAGCAGATGATGCCGACTCTGATGTGTCTTTACTTTCGAGATCATTCAGATTAAATGAATTCATATTTGTAATACTGTAAAATCAAATATTTTCGTGGGGTCAAATTTTCGTGGTTTGAGTACAGAATCTTGGTTCGTGGGGATTTGAATTCGTGGATGAAGAAATGTTGAGAAGTTATGTATGTAACATTTTTTATTTCGTGGTGGTCATGAATTCATGGGTCTCTTCATACCTCGAAAACAACGAAAATGACCCCCCCCCCTCACGAAAATTTGTGAATTTATAGGTACTTTTGATAATTGAGGATTCTTTAAAGGTTCTTAGACACAGCTTTGATATTTATATTTTCTCAAATTTTCTGTATCATTCCATAGCTTATATGTTGCTATAGAATTTCATTCGAAAATATAATAAAAATCTCCTTTTTTGGAAGTTATTGAAAATTCGAATTTTTAAATTTTGAGTAGAAATGTGCGAAAATAAAATTAACACATTAGTTTTGTCAATCAATGGTCAGTGATGTGCGCATAGTTTAACAATTGAACACACCTGTTGCAACGTAAACATTGAAAGCAACAGAGCCCGTGCCCTGTTTACAAAAGCTGTGTACGTTTAAGGGGATGTATTCAATTTGTTAACTATGTACACAATATTGAGCACAAGTTGACATTACTATGGAATGGGTTTGCTTTTGCACATTTCTACTTTGAATTTTCTAATTTATAGTTTTAATATTTTTCATTAACAAAATTGCTACTTTTCTTCAGTATTAAGGATAAAGTTAAAATCTGTGAAATTGTAATGATATGTCAATTAAACGCATTCGAGGAAAGTCAATAACTTCCACAGAAACAAGATTTGTATTATATTTTCGTTTCAAATGCTATAGCAACATATGTCTTGAAATTAAACAGAAAATTTGAGCAAATATTAACATCAAATCTGTGTCTACGTACCTTTAAAATGCAATTGTATAAAATACTGAGTTCTGACATTGACGTAAAAGCTTGTCACAGCATTTTTCCTAAACTAGCTTTTTTCCATTTTCTTAAAATCAGCTATTTGATATAAATTGTACGGGAAAAAAAAGTTGTATATTATAGAACACATTAAATATAAGTACCATTTCAGCTACTCGGACTGGGTCTGCTGATAGCGGGGATACTGGTCAGAATAAACGCCATTTCCTCTGACGTCACACCCGCCCTTAACACTGTGAACGTAGGGGATTTCCAGCTTGGAGATCTGTCCCACAATCTGTCCATCATCTTTATCGTCGTTGGAGCGTTCATTGTGGTTATTGCTGGACTGGGACTAATAGGCGCCTGCTGCGAGGTCAAATGTATGCTGATTGTGGTATGAAAACTTCAGATATCTGATATTTAAAACGTTTTAATATTAATTCTTCAAGAAAGTGACGATAAAACGGGCTTTTGCAAATAATTCCTAATTTTATTACTGGAATAGTTTCTGTAATTTAATTTATTTGGGAAGGGGGAGGGTTTTCTTCTCCTTAATTCTTTTTTTTTGGGGGGGGGGGAGGGGGCTGGAAATCACGATTTATAAAAAGTAAATAGATAACTCTGCACTACATTCCTTATTATTATATTTGAAAGAAAGGTCACATTATTTGTCATTATTTTGCTAGACTACTGTCTAAGGAAGCACGTTATGTGCTGTGGTCATGATAATCGATAAACTTATATACATTGTATATGCTTTCTTTTACAACAGTACGCTATATTGGTGTTGATTGTGCTCATCATTAAGCTAGCAGCTGTTATATTGTGGTTCCAAATGAGGAGTAAGGTGAGATTCAGCGTAAATTTATCGGTATCACTGTCTTCACGTCATGCGAATTCATACATTGTGATCAAAGGTTTGTTAGATGAAATCAAATTTCTTCTTTCTTTTTTTTTAGTTTGACGACACTGTTAAGAAGACAATGAAGGAATCATTGGAAAAAACCTTTGAAAACGACACCCTGGACAGTAACGAACCAATTTCTAATGCCTGGAACTATGTTTTCCTAACAGTAACCTTCTTTTTTCAATTATGTTCTATAAAACACTGATTTATTATAATCCCTCTTTGTTTATTGGGGTATTTTTAATTTTGAATATACAGTATAGTGTATTTTATAATGGAGTTTTGTAAGTTATGTGCACGTCAATACGCGAGTTTGTATTAGCTGCAGGTCTGTAGCTCTCCGAAATAAATATATTGATAGACCGGAGAGCTACAGTGCCACCCATTGAAAAAACTGTATACTTATTGCGCACAAAAAAGTGCGCTCGGTTCTTAATTAATTCATCCAAATTCTTACCTAAATTGCAAATAAGGAAAGATTTCAAAAAAATCCTTTATCTTGTAACCCGTCGGTAGAGTTCAGAACAGTAGTTTTGGGTTTTTGATATTTTATATATGGATAATAAACCTACAACATTCATACAAAATACTAAACATTCATACTTTACACACAATTCACTAACTTTAAATATCCGTACTTTACATCAACTTTACATCTAAATTACTTCAGTAAATATATAACTGGAAATTATGAATATAGATAAAAGCTTACCAGTCAACATCACCCTATATGCTATACATTCAAAATAATATGTGCTGCTACCTTGACGGTGTGCATAGGTATATAGGCGGGCTGGTAGTTAAAACGGGTTTTGTTAGTGAATGCAACTCACTCTCTCTCTCTCTCATACCTCTTTCTCTCTATCATACCTAATCACGTGACACCAACAGCGAATGACAATAAAGACAGACAAACAATGAAGACACTAAAGCTAAACCACAAATAGGTGGATCCAACATCCAACACCTGGCTACATATTCCCCCTGCCAGGAGAAAATGGCTCCTGACATTACGTTATAACCTAGCCAAGGGTACCAGGGCATGGGCAAATGATCATGAAAAATATACCAGCTATCATACATCAGTAGTAATACTGATGAAGAACAAACTTCATTGCTGTCATCATATAATATATACACACACCTGTAATAGCCTAATATACATAGTAAAAAAATGATAAGAAGTATAACTTCATGAAAATATCTCTAACTATAAACACACTGACACACGGACAAACTTCACAAGTGTCTTTAACTAATCAAATCTCTGCTGGCTCTATACTAATGTCTCTAAGTAAACACATTGCTGATTCACATTCTGGACATACTGCCATTCCCCATATCTCTCTGGTGCTTTACTGACTCTAGTTGATCTTCTGGGAGGTGGAGTACTAATACTGGGCGAATTCACTGAAATTGAAGATCTAGAAAAAGAAGATGGTATAGCAGATTCATGTAAAGAAGAATGGTTTGATGACTGTCGAAGAGACGAACGGTTGATAGATGAATGGTTTATAGTTGACTGTTGAGGAGAGGATTGAGGACTTTGTCTATGACGACGCTGTGGTATGATGTATACCGGTACTCCGCTATCACTCTCATCTGACGAACTCTGAGATGAATCATCTGAAGGAATAGTGGCTATGGTCTGATGACTTTGATTCTTTTTGACCTGTTTGGAAACTGGAGAAGAAATAACATTACTCGGAATACAATTAAAAGGCAAAAGAAAATTTCTGTGGAGGGTACGGGTAGACCCTTTCCCGTCCTCACGCCTAACAACATAAACTGGGATGTCTTCATTTACCTAAAATAATGTAAACATATTCATCCCACTTGTCTGCAAGTTTATGCTTTTCTTTGAAACCCACTTTTCTAACTAAAACTCTATCCCCAATTTCTAACTTAGAATTTCTAACTTTCCTATCAAAATTTTCTTTATTTTTCTCTGCATTTTTCTTTGATTCTTCTGCGGCAACTTTATAAGAGTACTGCAATCTTTCTTGGAGTTTATGAACATATGACTGGTGGTCTTTTGCTCCTACATTCTGATTTCCTGGTTTTATTCCTAAGAATGCATCTAGTGACAGGCGTGGATGCCATCCGAACATTAAAAAATGTGGAGAATACCCAGTGGCATCATTCTTGACTGAATTGTAGGCATGCACTAATGTGGTAACATAAGATTTCCAATCTGCTTTCTGGCTTTCCTCTAGTGTACTCAACATATTTTAATCAGGGTTTGGTTAAATCTTTCAACTGATCCATTGCCTTCAGGATGGTATGGCGTTGTTCTTGATTTCTTGATGTTAGCTATCTTGCAGAATTCTTTGATGACTTTGCTTTCGAAATTTCTCCCTTGGTCACTATGGAGTTGATCTGGGAAACTGTAATGGACAATAAATTTTTCATATAAAGCTTTAGCTGTTGTAGTTGCTAACTGGTTTTTCAATGGAACTGCGCAGGCGTATCTGGTGAAGTGATCTGTAATAACAAGGATATTTTCAAACACCCCTTTACATTTCTCTAAGGACAAAAAATCAATACAAAGAATTTCTAGTAGTTTTGTAGAAGTAATGGGATGAAGATTGGCTCTTGGTCTGACAGGTGTTTTACTTCTGATACATCTCTCACAGTTCTCTACCCTGGCTTTGATATCTTGCTCTAACCCTGGATAATAAACTCTCTGCTTCTCTAGCCAAATGGTCTTCTCTATTCCTGGGTGTCCCACTTCTTTGTGAATTCCTACGAAAACTACATCTTTGAAATGATCTGGCAAACAAAGTTGAATAACTTTCTCTCCATCTAAGAAGGGTTTCTGTATAAAATCTCATCAATGATCTGAAGTCCCAACGTGGGCGCCATTGTTACCCGTCGGTAGAGTTCAGAACAGTAGTCTTGGGTTTTTGATATTTTATATATGGATAATAAACCTACAACATTCATACAAAATACTAAACATTCATACTTTACACACAATTCACTAACTTTAAATATCCGTACTTTACATCAACTGTACATCTAAATTACTTCAGTAAATATATAACTGGAAATTATGAATATATATAAAAGCTTACCAGTCTACATCACCCTATATGCTATACATTCAAAATAATATGTGCTGCTACCTTGACGGTGTGCATGGGTATGGGTATATAGGCGGGCTGGTAGTTAAAACAGGTTATGTTAGTGAATGAATACAACTCACTCTCTCTCTCATACACCTCTTTCTCTCTATCATACCTAATCACGTGACACCAACAGCGAATGACAATAAAGACAGACAAACAATGAAGACACTAAAGCTAAACCACAAATAGGTGGATCCAACATCCAACACCTGGCTACAATCTTCTATCGAGTACTCTCGTAGTTGACATCCGAACGAAGTATATTGGACCGAATTATCTTTGAAACCAAAATGGCAGTATAAATAAGCGAAATGTTCGATGATTACAATATCAGGGTCAGGAGGACTGTTAACAACAATTATGAGGAATGTTTGGTTGTGGAAAAAGCTGAAGAATATGTTAGGAACACACGGTTAGTAATATTTTGAGATTACAGTTTGAAAAACATGGAGAAATAAATCGAGAACCGAGCGCACTTTTTTGTGCGCAATAAATATACGGTTTTTTCAATGGGTGACACTGTAGCTCTCCGGTCTATCAATATATTTTTTTCGAAAAGCTACAGACCTGCAGCTAGTAGTGTTCATTTACCCGTGTTATTTTCCAATTTTTCTGTGTAGACTGCCTTACCCTTAGTACATTCCACTCCTAAGACATTAATTCCTTAAATGATTCTTTAATTCTTATTCATTATTTCATATAGTTTGATTGTTGTGGAGTGGTGAATAACACCGATTTCTCTAAAACACCTTGGTGTACAAAGAGTGGCAGCTGTAAAAACAACCAAGCGACAATCCCTAGAACCTGTTGTGAGGGGGTGGACGAGTCAAGCTACACAAAGGCCGGGGCAGACTGTTCTAACACAGCCACTAAAGGTTATAATAAGAAGGTAATTTAAAAAGGTGACATTCAGACACTGAGAAAAATGGATTACAATCAAAATTTATATTTTTATGAAATATATGACAGAGGATTACGTCATAAATCAAGCTCAAATGTCCATCAAACAATAAAAATCATGAGAAGAGCAAAAGCGGAACTCTAAAACATCAGATGCAGGATTAGGTGCCATGAAAGGTGTAAATTAAAGTCCAAGTGAATGGCTATGGGTATTAACAAATACAATAATTGAAAATGTCAGCCGAGTGAAAAGTTTTTTCATAGAAAAAATGGGTAACTATCATTTCCTCTTCTAATATGCCAATTTCAATTTTGCCTCGTTTTCATTTTCAGGGTTGTTATGAGGCGGTGGAGGACTTGATTTCTACATATGGGAACGCTTTTATTGGAATCTCTATTACTGTGATGGTGATTGAGGTGAGAATTTTATTTAAGGATAGAAAATCAGAAATGATGCTTAAATTAAACATTTTATCAATTCTTAGAAGGGGGAAGAGGTCAAATTATGTATTATGTATTTGAATGTATTACATATAAAAAAATTTAATAATTTTATTTGTTTCCTACTAGCTTTTTGCCATTCTTTTTTTTCTATCGTTACAGATACATGTAATCGATACAAATAGGAGAAAATTGTCATATTGAAGACTTCATTTATAAAGCTAAAGATCAATTTTACGTTGCATTTTAATATAACTTTATTTGTTTCCTGCTAGCTCCTCGCCATTGTGTTTGCCCTTGTTATCTGTAGACGTTCGGGATCCGACTCGAAGCCCATGTAGGCACGTTGCTAGAGATCAGAAGACCAGAGTTTTTCTTTTGTATCATAAACTTCATAATGGAACATAATGGTCATGAAACATAATCATTTTCATTGTGAAATCCCTGTGTATTTTTTTGGTTCTTTTTTTATTTGACAAAATTATTAATACAAATAATAAAACATTGTGCATGTTTATTAAAATTATGCAATGCACGATTATGCGTGGAGCTACTAAATTTAAACGCTTAAATTTAAATATTAATATCTAACCCGACACTATTTTATGCCATATATATACGGTGTATTACATAATGATGCATTCATTAAAGTAGGACAAGAACTTGCTCATATATACACAAAACAAGAATACGACAAGGGAATATATTAAGCCCAAATATGTATACTCCCCGCAAAAGCAAGAATTAACTTATTTTCAAATTGATAATTGGAATATTTTATACCACTGAATGAAATTTGATGAAATTTTCACAGAATCTTTATTACATATTGCCATTGTGCACCTCGTATTTTATTTTTTAAACACATATTTTGGGTTTCCCACAACAAAACATTTATTATATTTATATCTTTAGTGAGCTCATTGCTCACAGCACCTCTAGTTTAATTTATTTTGATAATTACAATATTTTGAACAATTTCTGTTACATAACTAGATAAGGAAAACAAATATCCTTTTTATCTTTCTGTTCAGATTGCTTTTTATATTTAAATCAAGAATCACAACAATATATTTATATGAATTTATTTAATAATATACGAATTTTGAAAAATATCTTTCAAGATGATTATAAGTATAAAACAAAATTCTTGTTTTTTCCACTGACCATTCATTGATGAGCATTAAGATGAAGTTTTTTTTTTCTTATCAAATGAAGGTAATGTAGTGAGTGTTTTTAAAATGTCTGTTGTTTTACTCATAAAGAGATACCACCACTTGCCAGTGCAAATTTTGACCTTTACTATAGTACTCTACACTCTAGTTCCAAGTAAACCTGGAGGTTTTTTTAAAGGGGGACACGTAACATCTTAAGTTAGAACTGATTTTCTTTGGCTGTTTTTTAATCGTCATCAGCGCCTCGGCAAATACAGAGAGCAGCAACAACGGCAATTATCTACAGTTAAAAAAATAATGAATATTACTTGATGTTGTATAAATTATAATATTATTTCGCATAAAATTTATAAACTTTTTTTGAAACAATGAATTATAAGGGCTATACAGAAATTTATTGCTAACTTCGAAGAAATAATATTTATTTGATAAAAACAGTGCTTAATTCATACGAAGAAAGAATAAAGATTTAGTTTTGATGCCTCAAAATAAAACTTATAAAAACAATGTAAATATCTATTTACTCGGTCAATTTAGACTAGATGACCTTCCCCAAATTTTTCTCTGCACATCAAAATTGATGATATGATATCTTAAACCTGTATTTAAAACTTTTAACATTTTGTAATACATTGACATACAAGATACATATATACACTGAATGTTTAAGTACCATCAAAGAGAGAGAAAAGTAGAATAAATGCGTCATTTTCATATATTATACTTTCATGTAAATTACTTGAATCTGATTCGTCGAGAAACATTTGATAAAAATCACTATTACACGCTGAATAATTTTTTGCGTAGCAACAGTCAAAATTGCTTGATACGGGTGGTATTCAAAAAATAGACTGCGAAATTATGCGCGCAAACTGTTATATGTATTTGTATAAAACATTGTATAATATAATAAATATTGCATATATACATTGAAAATTTTGTTGTCAACCTCGGCTGCGCCTCGGTTAACAATGGTTTTCTTGGGGTGAAAATTTTCAATGTTACACTCAACTACATGCAAGATTTATATAGAAATAAATGAAGATAACGGATAGTATTCAAGATCAAAAGTGCATAACACAATACAAAATAGGAGCAGAGCGAACACAGACCTCCAAAACATCAGAGGTGGGATCAGTTGTCATAAGGAGTAAGCAAACGAAACGAAAAAATTTGTCGTCAATTCAGTGTACAAATAATGGACGAACAATTAGTATGAAAAACGTCAGTCAACATTTAACTTAATGATATATTGTATTTGCTCACAAGGTTATTGTATCGACCGTAGAACTAACGAAATGATGACTTTAAACGAGACTGCTGATATTCTAGTTTCATCAGCTTGTTAATAATTTACGTTTCTCGTTTTAGAAATTGTTCAAACGTAGAGCATGCTCTTGTGTCATCTCTTTCTTCATATACCTTACACTTCGTTTATTTTTTGAATAAACCCACTTACATCTGCTTGTTCTAAATGTTTTATTGACTTTAATAAATATATCAGAAACAAGTCCTATCAATTTAGGATTTTTTTTTCTCTTTAAATAAAGCACATAACTCTAATGTTAAAAAAAATGTGTATTCAAAATATAGCCGCAAATATAACATTTGCTCATTTAATGAATATATGGAGATAACGAACAGTATTCAAGCTCTGTTTATGAACAGAGCAAATACCAATGTTAAACTCTCGGGACAGGTGTACGTATAATTAGGTAGTTTATTACAGTATCTTTAAGTTTCAGATTTATTAAATACATGAATATGAATGAATAATACGGATATAATACAAGGTACATATACATTATATATTCTATAAAAATGATACACATGAACTGAAGAAAATTGCAAAATTGTTAAACTTGATATAAATATCTTTTTATCGTATGTCCACCTACCTTGGTGATTAGAACTGTTATGACAATTCCAAGTAAAATACCGTTATATCTGGATGTATCAAACTTGGCAATCGTCGCGTCATAACATCCCTAGAACAATCGTAATTTGTTGATAATCAAGATTTTCCTCATTAAATAATACATATCTGGTTGAGTCTTGATTTTAATCCTGAATGCAGTAAGATTTAAAATTGAATTCATAAAGTACAAAAATTCATTAATTTTTTTTTCTGTTTAACTCTTGACATAGCAATAGTCCTGATAATTTTGCATCATGTTTGAACTGGCGTACACGTAGCCTTTTTTTAATGACTAAAGATGTCAGTCAGATATTCGGTAGGTATTTAGCAAATCTTAACACTATTCATTTATTCCGTCAAGTCGAGAAAGTACTCAAAAGGTACTCCCGGGCTATCTTTATTTCGATCGTAAACTATTATTTGCTTAACATAACTTAAAAAATTAATACAGTTTTAGCACAATTTGGGCGTAGCTTATTTGGTGGGTATTTAGCCAAAAAGAACATGAGTCGGGAACTTGACGGAAAAGACAGAAGCCAGTATTAAAACACACTTCCTGAGCTTGGGTTATTAATTCGCATACCCTGAATAGGATACATGTACCTGCTCATAGAAGGTTCCCGCGGCCACGTTGTCTGTACAATTAGCCGATGCAGTGTAGGTGGCAGCTGTGGTTTCCTTACAACAAGACGTGGGGATGAGCTGGCCTGGCATTTTACCACTCCAGTTAGGAGTATTGGCGAAATCCCCTGCTGTTTGGGCTTTTACTGCGTCCACACCACAACATTTTAGCTGAAAAAGAAACAAAAGTAAACCAAATTCTCTTTACTTCAGTATCACTATCCTATTTTCCATACAGTGTAATCTTTTCAGCTGCTTGAGGACTTATTTTGTATTTCAACCGAAAGGGAAAGGAACTCACCGTCAGAAAAAGGAAGTTCCATCCGTTACTCTGTTGGCTGGTTCCGTTGAGGCTGTCCTCAGAGTAAGTGTTCCTTAACACAGTCGACAGCTCTTCCTTTACAGTAGAGTTAAGCTTCAAACAAATTCAAGCACTAAAAATGTATACATTTCTGGTTGAATCGAATATGTTTTGTTTTGTTTATTCATACCATATACTGGTAATTACTAGTATTTATATATTGTTACCGTATTCTGCATGATGAACCACAGCGTTACCACGGTGACTTGCCCCACCATCGACAGCAGCACGATAATGGCGTACTAAAAAAACAACTAAAGTATTTGTAATGAGTAGGAAATCAGTATTTAAGTTAGGGATTATATTTCGGCTCATATATACCGAACAATGAACACATCCCACTAAGTGTGATGCTATATATACAGAGGCGTAGTCACAAAAGTGTGAAATTCTTTAACAAGCAAAAAAAAAAAAAAAAAAAAAAAAAAGCTTAAAAGTGGGGGGGCTATAAATTCTTTGACAAGCAAAAAAAAAAAAAAAAAAAAAGTATAGTTCCCCAAACTCAAAAATCCTAAGTGGCCAACTTTTTTGTAGTGGGCAACTTTTTTTTCAAAGGCAAGTTACTTTCAATTTCAATTTTTCTACACAATTTTATTACTATGTATTCATATTACTTCAAAATAGCTGTGTTTTCGTTCTTCATTAAAAAGTGGGGGGGCACAGACATACTCTTGCCCCCCCAGATCTGAAAGTGGGGGGGCTAGTGCCCCCGCTGCCCCCCCTGTGACTACGCCTATGATATATTTTTAAAAAAAATTTAAAAATGGTTTAGGAGAGAAATGATTTCTTTGTACAATGTATATGTACATACTAATTTCGTTAGGGGACAAAGTGTATTTCAACTGCCCAACTCAAGCTATGGGACAAGCTTCAAGGAGACCCTAAGCGATCATAATAAAACTCGCTTGGAAACCTTTTGCTTTCACCCAAGGGATATTTTTGGGAGCTTCAGATGCAAGAACCGTTGTGAAATTACCAAGAAAAGTGTGACTAAGCAATTAATTTTTTTTATCGATCATTTATTAACGCAAAGGACGAGCGGAGTAAAACAAAGGTCACAAAATTGGAATCAGAAAAGGGGAGTATTGTACATCTTAGGCAAAATATTGCGCAATGAAATACAACGAACAGTTTTCCATCTGGTGCGTCACTGTGATCATTCCAAAGTCCACTAAACATTACATAATATGAGCGGAGCAATCATGGACCTCCAAAACATCAGAGGTGGGATCAGGTGCCATGACGCTCAGTACCATAATGACGTTGTCACATGATGTGCATATTAAAAATAGGAAAATGGGGGGGGTTCAATCAGACTAAAGGTATGAGACAAGCTGTAAGGGAACGCTTACCGATCATAACAAGTTCATGTCCTTCAAAAAGGATTGCACGTACTGAGTGATCTATATACACGTGTTTTTAACAGAAATGTAAAGAAAAAAATTACTTTTAATAAAAATGAATATGATTTGCTTTGATATTTTTGAATCCTATAAATTTTTCATTACGATTTAACAAATCTAATTGCGTATTTAAAATTGTCACAATAAATCGTGGCATTTCCTTACTATGAAATGCTGTATATCATTGTAATGTTGCCTTTAAAATTAACCACACATGAAATAACGCGTAGTCTTGTGAAGAGGCTTTCAGGTACGTGTACTGTCGAGCATTCTAGCGCATGCGCAATATGAATTTTCACCATCGCATCCGGTTTAACCTTGCTTACATATTTTCTTCGTGAATCTCATTGTCCATGCAATAAGACTGCTTTAGTTTTTATTTGATACTGATCCCACTATCTTTTGCTTTTATTCTAGGGATATTTTTGATAGCCACAGAAGCAAGAAACCTTTTGAGTTGTGACATAATCATAACTTAGAAGAGTGTAATAACAGCAGTCAAAATGTTTTTTTTTTCTTCTTTAAATATATTAAAAAAAAACTGGTAAAGTTTTTATCTATACACTGAATTGACGACGGATTTTTCCGTTATTTCCAGATCATGACAAGGAGCACAGGGGATGCTCATTCCTCCATGGCACCTGATACCACCTCTGATGTTTTGGAGGTGCGTGTTTGCTCTGCTCCTGTTTTGTATTGTTTAATGGACGTTTGATCTTGAATACTGTTCGTTGTCTTCCTTTGTTTCATTTTTTGCCTGAATATCTAGATTTTTTAAGGATCTTTTGTATGGTTTTCTTAAAAGTTACATTTAGGTTTTAAATTGATAAAATTATCTATAAATATTGAAGTGAAAAAGATGAAAGATCTAAATTTTAACAATCCAAGGAATAGTTCAAGTTTTTTTAAGGTATGACACACTATACACACTACAGAGATGTGTTAGTGCGCATTATACATGTAGCAGTATATTTTCAGCAGAAAAAAGGTACTCACAGTTGTCAGAATATACTTGTTTTTACAAAAAGCTCCGAACAGCCCTAAGGTGGCGAACGAGAATATGAATAGACCCAGTATGATAAGTCCGATCCCTAGATTTTGGATAACAGATCCGAGACCCGCTCCCGTGACTTTGATCTCGTCTAAAACAGGTTTTATCTCGTCCGTCACAAAATCAAAGTTCGTCTGTAAGGCGATCCCTGGGATCAACATCCCGAGAGCAATCAACTGAAATAAGGAGGGCAATTCATCTACTTCGCCGAAAAATTTCACCTGATTATACATATGTTCAATTTTAACAAAGATGTTCTGTTCAAGACATACTTTTTTTTCAAATCGTCTACCCCACCTTTAATTTTTCTGTAGACATCTACAGTAAAATACACGTATAGCAGATACGCTTACACGGAATTGATGCTTATAGAGATTTTCATTCCACTTGTCTTTTTAAAAAATATATTTTACACTTAACGTACATAAGGAATTATCCTTATAACGACACGGAAGCATATTTTCCTGTTTATGGCACTTCGAGTTTTACTGCACTGTACCAATTTGACTTTGAAATATCAGCTGGGTTTTTTTTACGTTTCCTGGAATCGATTTTTTCAAAAGATAAATATTCATACATGATGTACAAGACTAGAAACCTCCTAATTTCTACAGTATTTCTTAAGCCATTTAAGCATTTTTAGTTATTTCATATAATTAAAATAACTTTTTACCACAAAAATTGTGTTGATGACAACCAAAATGATCTGCCCCATTCTGCCTCCACAGTCTAACCCCATCTTGATGTCTGCCAAAGAAAAAAAAAATCATAAATTCTCATTTGTGCAAAAGAAATACAAACAACAATATTATATGGGGAAAAAATCTTTCTGCTTGACAGAAAGACAATTCAATTGTTTAAAAAAAAATTCCCGCGTTATTGAAGAATTTACCTTAACCTTTCTGTACGCTGCTCTGTGTTATAAAACCTCTTGCAATTTTACAAGCTATTTGTCATAATTCAGAAATTATTGCAAATGGATTGATTTCCGGGTTATTTTCTAAGACGTAAACCACATCCACCTTGTCTGAAAAGATCCTGATCTGCAATAGTAAGGAAAAGTCCTCCGGGACATAATCATTAAGGTCAATATCATAATACGGGCACACAGAATTCGAAATCCTGCTATTAACAGTTTCATCAGGATATATCAAACATTGATAGTCGATCGCTTTATACTTGCTGAATACTTGTAGTTATAAACCTCACAAACGAATCGAAGTAATATATTTTTGCAGGTGAGACGGATCGGTGGGGATGCTCGATCCTCAATGGCACCAGAGTCTATCAATTAATGTTTTAGAGGTCTGCTCCAAATATGCGTCGTTTGAATGGATTTTTTTTTGCGTGAATGCTTTTCATTGTTTTCATTTTTAGTAAAATTTTCGTAGAAATTTGGAGTTTTTCAAAAGAAAAATGGATAAAATGAAAAGTATTCAAGTTTAAGGACAGATGATACAAACAATTTTTTTCTTTGAAAAAGATTTAATATCATGTCACAAGTTTAGAAAAGTGGATGGTTCTTAGAATTTTTTCTCCGAAGAACTGGAAAATGAATTAGACTTGTAAAATATTACTAATATTTCAATAAAAAAACAAATATAGACAAAACACATTCAGTAAAGGTTTACAGGTGAAAACAAATTTCAGAATATGTTATCTTGGCGCTAAAAGTGTAATATAAACTTTAGAAAAATATACCAAGCCAGGTGAATTTTAAGAGGAAGATCAAAATGACAAAAAATTAGCAATATCACATAGGCTGATTTTTACCATTTAGCTTTTCCTAATAAAATTCAGCTGGCTTGGTATATTTTTCTTAAGTTTATATTACACTTTTAGCACCATGACAACATATTCTGAAATTTGTTTTCACCTGTAAACCTTTACTGAATGTGATATATCTATATTTGTTTTTTCATTGAAATATTAGTAATATTTTCCAAGTCTTTTTCATATTCTAGTTCTTAGGAGAAAAAAATTCTAAGAACCATCCACATTTCTAAACTTGTGACATGATATTAAATCTTTTTCAAAGAAAAAATTTGTTTGTATCATCTGTCCTTAAGCCTATTTAAACAATTCAAATTGGGAGCTGAGCAAACACGTAACTCCAAAAACATTAGAGGAAGGATCAGGTTTCACAGAGGAGTAGGTATATACGGTCACATATTATAAATCCATAATATTGGCTAGTTAATCATATATTTTACCCGGGGGATATGTATAAAGAATATTGATGATGGTTCGTAACTTTTTACACTACTTTCCCAATGTTCTGACAGTCATGAAACTAAACATCCGATTCTGTACTGTGGTATATTTCACTGTATATTTTGAGTGTGTCTGCCGCGCTAGTAATCAGAGTAACACACTTGTCACAAATCATATCTAGCCTGGTTCCCTCTCCCTCTTATGATTTGTATATATACTCTGCGACACTAGGAGAGACAGGGGACCAGGATAATATCAAATATCACATCATTAAAAAGCTTCTATTTAAGTACCTTTAAGTACCCTTCATGTTACTACCCCGTACCCTTCATGTTACGAACCCGACCCCTTTTAAATGCGGGAATGTACCCATTTAAGAGAAATTCATATTTAGCATGTACTAAATAAACAAAGGGACTTGTTTGTATGCACTGGATACACAAGGGAGTTAGCCTTTCATGCTACCAATTTTGTGTGTGTGTGTGCTCCACAACTTTTATTTAGGCTACATAATTATTTATTCATTAATTACTTTTGCTGTTTAAAAGGGAAATGACGCTGTATAAAAAAATATATATTACGCCTCATATATAAATAAATACACCATGTCGTGTCACAATGTTAAATCCGCATGAAAGAAACATGACTTCCTTGGTTGAATCTTAATTCAAATTAAAATGAAAACTAGCAGATAATTGACAAGTCATAGCCAGTGTAAAGACGAAAAGTGACCCCGGTGAAACATTGACCAGGGATCATTTTCTACCTAGACATTTGAAATCCAGGTCAATACTCTATGTAAAAAACTGTTTGTAAGGCTCATTTATTTAATTGTATGAAACATATGGAGATAACGAACAGTATTCAAGATCAAAAGTCCATAAACCAATACAAAATAGGATTACAAAATATTTTTTAAAAACTGAGTTTTAATTCTACATAAAACTGGTTATCCAACTTATACCAATAGCTCCCTTTCTAAAGAAGAAATTCTGCAATATTTCATGGGTTTTTTAATAATAATTTGAATATCCCCAACAGCCACATAAATTCGAATTACCAAATCTATATTGGATTCCGGAACTTCATAAAAACCCCTACAAAAATATTCATAGCAGGTTCCAGCAAATGATTTACAAAACATCTTTCTTTGCTCCCCACTAAAAATAAAAACAGCATTGAAGGATAAACTAATGGGGTACTGTGCAAAAATATATTCGCTAAATAGTATGATTAAGATGCTGATACTTAAAAAACTTCAAGAAACTTTTTTGAAAATTTGAAATCAAAAATGTTTGCCAAAGTGAACAAGATCAAAACGTATTTTCAACACTTTATACCACTTTTCACCACGATAAGTTAAAGTCCATACTTTTTGACACAAACAGCTGCTTTTTAAATGAAAATGAAACTCGCAGATTTATTTACCTTGTCATTGGTCATTTTCAAAATTATTTTGTTAAAACATTCTGATTGTTCTCAAATGTACTCTGAAGTTGATATCAAATACTGGAGTTTCTTATCGACAATATACATGTGGTTTTTGGAGACCAGCTGATCTTCCAACAATCTGATGAAATCCCTATTGGTACCATTGCAATTAGAAGACCTATTTTTGGATTCTTGTGAAATTGAAATTGTCGACGGATTTTCCCGTTATTTCCCGATCATGACAAGGAGCACACACGGCGGGTGTGACCGGTCGGCAGGGGATGTTCACTCCTCCATGGCACATGACCCAACCTGTTGTTTTAGAGGTTGGTTGCTCTGCTCCTGATTTGTATTGTTTGAATGGAATTTGGGCTTGAATACTGCTTGTTATCTCTAAATATTTCATTTTAACCTGATCATGATCAAGTTGTTATACGAAGCATCAGTGTTTCACAAACTCACCTTGTCTGATTTTATTTTTTATTATTATTATTTAAATCAAGAATAAAAGAAAAAATATTTTATATACATGTACATGAATTATTATTTAGAAATACCGGTTTTGGAAAATTATCTTCATAAATCGTCTATGTTTAAGTCAAAATCAGCATGAGAAAACGATTTTTTGACATTATTTCATGTTAGCGATAGCAGCGAGCTCAATGGATTCAGAAGAGAGGAAATTCGGAACTAAATCTTTATATTTGTCGGGCAAATTTTCCAGTGCAACATTCCCAGAATTCCTCCGCCACTATGGGTTCGAGTTCACTGCGGGACGTGGAGACCAGTCCTTCGGATGAGACCGTATTAACAAACTAACCAAGGTCCCGTGTCGCAGAAGGTGCAGACACGAAAAAAAGATCCCTTAGGGCTCAATGGCCCTAAAAGTCCATGTATAGGCATAAATTTGCAGCCCTCAACCTACAAGTGGAGGCTTTCCATATATGTGAAAAATTCTTGGGACGTTAAAGAACAAAAAGCAACAAGTATTTACACATCACTGTTTAAGGTTTCGTCAAAGGTCAACATGTCTAAAAAATTATTTTTACAATAGCTCCAAAATTATGTGTGATATAAAGACAAAACGTTTACGGTTCATAAATATATCATTGATTAAAAGATAGAAAGTATCACTTAATAACAAATATTTTAAAAAAGATATTTTTTTTTAGAAAAATTGTATCAGAAAATGTGCATATTTAAAGAATAATGCACCTGCTTAATTCTTTCCTTTTTGTGAAAATCATCATTGCATGAATAATATATGTTTATCATTGAAGGGCAAGTTGGACGTGAATGGTCTCTGAAAGGCTGTTATTGAAAGCATGACATGTATAAAGACATGACCCCTATAGAATCCGCCATTTGCGATGTACTTTCACTTTCAAGTCTTAACATTTGGACAAAATAAACAGGGAAAACAACTTTCCAGAGGCTATCCAAGTCCAGCTTGCCCTTCATTGATAAACATATTTTGTTTCTGCAATGATGGTTTTCACTAAGAGCACGGAATTAATTAGGTGTATTTTTTGAAAATATATGCATTTTTTAAGAAGAATTTTTCTCAATTAATATTTTTTCCAAGTATTTTTTTTTATCAAGTGATACTTTCTCTGTTAATCAATAAAAAATTTATAAACTGTAAAAGTTTTAACTTTATACCTCACTTAGTTTTGGGGCTATTGTAAAAATAAATTTTTGGACATGTTGACCTTTAACGAAACCTTAATAATCTTCAACTCGACATTTAGATATATCGACGACGCATTGTCAATTAACAATGGTAATTTCCATTCCTATTACGATATATCTTGGTGAGCTTGAGATAAAAGATACCACAGAGTCTGATTATCTTTTACTTGAAAAAGACGTTAATGGTAATCTAACAACCAAGCTCTAAGATAAATGTTATGACTTTTACTTTTCTATCATCAACTTCCCTTACTTATGCAGCAATATACCTTCATCACCTGCATAGGGAGTTTATATATCTCAGTTGATTCGATGCGCAAAAGCACGGTCTAAGTATGAACAATTTCTAAAACGAGGTACATTATTGAAAAACAAGTTGATAAAACAAGAATATCAGCAGTCTCGTTTAAAATCACCATTCCGTAAGTTCTATTGTCGATATAATGACCTTGTCAGCAAATACAGTTTATCATTAAGTCAAATGCTGACTGACGTTTTTCATACTAATTGTTAGTCCATTATTTATACACTGAATTGACGATGGATTTTCCTTTATTTCCCGATCACGACAAGGAGCACACGGCGGGTGTGACCGGTCGGCAGGGGATGCTCACTCCTCCATGGCACATAATCCCACCTCTGATGTTTTGGAGGTCCATGTTTGCTCTGCTCCTGATTTGTATTGTTTTATGGACTTTGAATACTGTTCGTTATCTCCATATCCTTCATTGATCAAAGGTTCAAATAAACATAGCGATATCGATTTCATGGCAAAAATTTCCAGTTGCATTGTATGTCTGATGTAGATAATAATTATCTGCCAACCGGGGGAAAATTACACATTTATATTGATATCATAAGTAATAAAATTCTTATTTTTAAATAGTTTATTCATTAATATGCATCAAAATTATATTTTAAAAAAGTAAATGTAATGGTAATTTTATAATTCATTTAACGTATATTTACAAATGAAAGAAAAAATGGACATATTGCATATACTGTTTTGTTTAAAAAAAATATTTATCCAATACGTTCCAATACGTTCAAGTAAAGAATATTTCTCAGAGAATCATTTAATTATTTGTGCATTTACTTGTTTATCTTTGATAAATAAGAGAACACTTTGTATGCTGTTCTAGTAAAATATCAAGTAAATCTGTGTTATTGAAGTGGGTATGTAACGTCGTAAGTTATAATGCTGGAGCTGATTTCATTGGAAGTTTTTTTAATCGTCTTCAACGCCTCGGCAAATACAGATAGCAGCAATGATGGCAATTACCTACAGTTAGAGAAATATTGAAGTCAATAGTAGACAGCGTTGTATTCATTAACTTAAGCAGTCTATAATCTTATTTATATAAAATTTATAAACTTGTTTTCTTATTTTATCAATCTTGTGAGCAATTTAAATCTGCGACATAAAAACATTTTTAATACAACTTAAACTAAATAGTACATTACTTTCTTTTCTTATTTAAAAATATTTAAAAGTATTGACACTCTAAATTACTAGGATAAAACAGGCATTTAATGGTAGCCTTGAAAATAATATATTTATTTGATAAAACAGGGGTATATTCATGCGTAAGAAGAATAAGATTTATCTTTGATGTACATGTACCTAAAGTAATAAAACATATCTTTGAAAAGTGTAAATATCTATTTACATGATCAATTTAGACTAAATTGCCTTCCCCAAACTTTCCTCTGCACATCAAAATTGATGCGATGATAGCTACAAGCTGTAATTAAAATGTTTAACATATTGAAATATAATGACATACAGATATACATTCTAATGTATGATACTCAGACATATAATATATGTCTAAGTACCATCAAAGAGAGAAAATAGTGGAATATACGCATTATATATTATGTGGACATATCAAATCTTTTTATCAATAGTTTACACTTTGTTTAATTTTGTTTTATAAAAAAAACTCAGTATGATATAGAACCGCATGTTCTAAATTTGTTTTATTGACTATTCATAAATAGAAAAGAAACACATTTACTAGTTCCTTTCTTTAAATACAAGACACAATTCTAATTCGAAAATATATAAATCCAAAATTATGACTGTCAATAAAACCTTGATTCATTTATGAACAGAACAAATGCCTTTGTTCAACTCTAATGACAGGTACATATATACGTACTGTATCATTAAGTATGATAAATAACATGAGTATGGATGTATAATATGGATATAATACTAGTAAGGTACAAAGTATGTTATATTCTTAAATAATCAGATAAATGAAGTGATGAAATCTATATTTTTAAAAAAAATTGATAAAATTATCATGTTTAGCACCTACCTCTATGATGAGAACCGTTATTCCAGTACCTAGCAAAATACTGCTATATCTGGACGTATCAAACTTGGCAATCATCGCGTCATAACATCCCTAGAACAATAGTAATTCGGTCAATAAAAATGACTCTGAGTAAGAAATACTGATAATTACCTATACGCTTTACTTTACCTGGCATAGCGTTAATTTTCATCCTGAATACTGTCAGATTTAAAATTAAAACCATACATTACAAAATTCGTTACATTCAAATACAATGTACTTCATATAGTCATAAGCATAAATTTTAAGAATTTGGCTTTACATTCAAAAAATAGCAATCAAAATATATATTTTAACAAAGAATATTTTAAGGACATACTGGGGTATTACTTCATAAATAAAATGAAAAACGACAGTTAGTATTCGACTGATTGATATATTGAATGCAATTACTGACTAGGTCAATGTATCGACCAAAGACCTTGCAAGATAATGCCTTTAAACAATATAAGTGACTTCAGTGTTTAATTAACATGTTATCAGTAGTATTTGCCTTTATTTAGAAATGATAGGGCATCTTCTGTTCGAAATAACTTAAAGATGTAAACTCCATATATAGGTGATAATGGTACATGTATATTGATCATGAGTAAGTTTAACCCATATTGTGTTTTTTTCAGCAGGGGAAACACTAGCTAATTACCATCTCGGGTCTTTCCATCAGAAGTTGATGATAAAAAAATTGAAGTCTCACTTTTGTCATGAAAGTTTGGTTGTTAGATTACAAATAGATGTTTATTGATCCAATAATACTTATTAATGTGATAAGAAGTTTTTAATCATTAAAGCGGATCTTTATAAAAATGCATCGCACTTTTGGCCATGAAAATATGGATTGACAACAGATAGACCTTCTAAATGACAGATTTATTTTGGGAAATGAACCCTGTGTCTTTATTTTAAAGAAAGAAAGCAAAATATATTCAACTTGGTCCCCTGACGTGGCCAATAGATCTTGGTTGACTCGCCCCCTTGACGTGGTCATTCAGTTGTGTTGACTATCAAGGTTTTTATCCATATTGAAGGGGGGGGATTTATTAATGCTGCTTGTGATTCATGTAACATTAAAAAATTTAACTGGTTTCAGTTATTGTTTTACACTATAAAGATTATTTTTTTACTTATAGTTGTCATACAGATGTTTAAAATCAATGTTTTAGGAATAACATAAATAAAGACCCGACGTATTTGCATCATTGTGGGCGTATCTTATTTGGCAGGTATTAAGCCAATAAGAACATCACTCGGCCTTTTCCTCAATTTGAAAACGAAATACTTTCTCAACTTGACGGAAAAAGCCGAAAATTGTTCCGATTAGTATATAGCATGCAAGTACCAAGAGAAACTAACTGAACTAAGGATATTTATTTGCATAGCCTGGATTTGAGGGCAGTTTATAATTATGAGTCCGGGTTTTATATTGACCTTTCCCTGACTGTGGTCAAATTTAACCATAATATGCATACCTGCTCATAGAATGTTCCATTGGCCACGTTGTTTGTACAGTCAGTTGATGCAGTGTAGGTGGCAGCTGTGGTTTCCTTACAACAAGACGTGGGGATGAGCTGGCCTGGCATTTTATCACTCCAGTTAGGAGTATTGGCGAAATCCCCTGCTGTTTGGGCTGTTACTGCGTTCACACCACAACATTTTAGCTGAAAAAGAAACAAAAGTAAACTTAATTCTCATTTACTTCAGTCTCGTGTAGTCGAGCTATTCTATTTTCTATACACAAAATCATTTCAGATTGAGGACTTTTTTTTACATTTCCATTGAAAGTGAAAGGAACTCACCGTCAGAAAAAGGAAGTTCCATCCGTTACTCTGTTGGCTAGTTCCGTTGAGGCTGTCCTCATTGTAAGTGTTCCTTAACACAGTCGACAGCTCCTCCTTTACAGTAGAGTTAAGCTTTAAAGAAATTCAGGCATAACATTAAATTAGACAATATTAAGGTAAACCAGCAATATTAAATAGCAGGAATTAAATAAGTTACATCATCATACAGCTAATAAATAGTCTTTAATAAAATACTACCAAAATTCTAGAGAATTTTAGCGTTCAAAATCTTGACGTTTTATTGAACGCTGAGTTTGTATTACGTGTATGAGTATATCCGAAACATTCCGAATACGAGCGTTCAATATCGAACACCCCGTTGTAAACAAAAAATGTCGTCTGACCAAATTCTCCGAGCCAAATTAAAGAAATGAAGTGGCATCTAGGTAAGATGTGTTTATTTTTACGCAAAAATGAAATTATTGATTAAAAATTTAGTACGTATTAGACCCACTAAAACCTAAATAAGCAAATCATAACGCTCGGTAGGGTCATCGGAATGATGCGACATTATAGGGTTACTGAACTTATATTGGTGAATATTGGCACGAATTGGCTGTTCAAATGCACGAGCTTGCGAGTGCATTTGAACAGCCAACGAGTGCCAATATTCACCAATATAAGTTCAATAACTCCTTTATTTTATAGCTAAAACATTTCCACATAATTCATAATATTTTTAATCCAACTAAAAAAACTCAAATTAATGATTTTTTTAGTATCGGTATTCAAATTAACGTTTGTCCTGTCAGCGTTCAATATCGCATCATTCCGATGACCCTACCGAGCGATATGATTTACTTATTTAGGTTTTGATGGGTCTACTACGTACTATATTTTAATAAATAATTTCATTTTTGTATGAAAAATAAAACATCTTACCTAGATGCCACTTCCTTTCTTTAATTTAGCTCCGAGAATTTGACCAGACGACTTTTTCGTTTACAATGGGGCGTTCGATATTGAACGCTCGTATTGGGAATGTTTCGGGTATACTCATATACGTAATACAACGTTAGCGTTCAATAAAACGTCAAGATATTGAACGCTAAAATTCTCTAGATTTTTGGTAGTATTTCATTAGAGACTATTTATTAGCTATATAATAATGTACACTTACAGGACAGGCGTTAATTTGAATACCGATACCGAAAAAAAAATCATTAAATTGATTTTTTAGTTGGAAGAATTATTGTAAATTATGAGGAAATGTTTTAGCTATATAATAAAAGAGTTATTGAACTTATATTGGTGAATATTGGCACTCGTTTGCTGTGGAAATGCACTCGCAAGCTCATGCATTTGTACAGCCAACTTGTGCCAATAATACCAATAACCCTATAATATAGCCAATAGAAACAGCGCTTATAACGTTACCGTATTCTGCATGGTGAACCAAAGAATGACAACGGTGACTTGAGCCAGCAGCAACAGCAGCACGATAATGGCGTACTAAAATACAAGTATTCACATAAACTGACGTACTGGAGTACGTGATGTTACTAAGAAAAGTGTGACTAGCAATCAGATATGGTCTTTTGCTATTTTGGATCTATGCCTGAATACCGAGAAATTTGCATGGTTTTTCTCGAAGGCTGCGATTATATTATAAAATTTTATCAGATTATCAAAATAAAATCAATTAATATTGATTTAAGTAAAAAATGATACATATATAACTTTTAACTATCTCTAATATAATTCAAAGTTTTTTTTTTCGTTTAGAATACGTAATCCCCGTACAAAGATGTGTTGTAATGTACTACAGTAGTATATTAATCAGCAGAAAAAAGGCACTCACGATAGTCAGAATACACTTGCTTTTGCAACAAGCTCCCAGTAGCCCTAAGGTGGCCACCAGGAACACAAACAGGCCCAGTATGATGAATCCGATCCCGAGATTCTGAATAACGGATCCGAGACCCACTCCCGTGACTTTGATTTCGTCTAAAACAGGTTTTATTTCGTTCGTGACAAAATCAAAGTTCGTCTGTAATGCGATCCCTGGGACGAAGAGACCGAGGCCCATCAACTGAAATAAGGAGGACAATTCATCTACTTCACCGGAAAATTTCACCTGATTTTACATTATGTTCTATTTTAACAAAGATTTTCTGTTCAAAAGAACTCATTATAAGCGAATTTAACCGTATTGTACTACATCCAATTTGAATGTATCAAATATCAACAGATTTATTTTACTTTTCCTAAGATTTGATTTTTCAATTGTTAAATATACGTACATCGTGTTTAAAATGACTCAACTCATAATTTTTTGTATCTTAAAACTACTTTTATAATTAGCCTTTTTGATTATTTTCATAATTATAATAATTATTTACCATAAAAATTATGTTGATGCCAACCAAAATGATCTGCCCCATTCTGCCTCCACAATCCAACCCCATCTTGATTTCTGCAAAATAAAAGAACTAACTTCATAAACGTCCTTTTAGTATATGATCTGGAAAAAACTGTCCTATTCATTAGAAAGACAAATGAATTCAATTGTTTTCAACAAATCCATTGTTCAAAGAACCTTTCTGTAAGCTGTTATGTGTACTAAAACCTCTCGCAAACTCGGAAGCTATTGCTCTTATTTCAAAAATTCTTATAGATGAATTTCCGGGTTCTGTTCGAAGACGTCAATGATATCCCCCTTCTTACAGAAGAAATCCTGATCTACATTAGTTAAGCATCCGTGCTCGAGATAAAGTCCTGTAGGACAAAATGTTATTAAACCATTAAGGTCCGCCATATCAACGAGAACACGGAATTCAAAATTCCGCCATCACGGCAAAATCCTGCTTTCTATTTTCTACACCTTCACTAGGAATGTCGAAATATGTCGCCCGCGTGTCGCATTGGTTAGGGTGTCTGCTCTAGAGTCGCGACGTAAGGTGTTGATCCTTACGTTGAAGGAGCCCATTGTGGTATTTGGAGACCGGTTCTTCGGATGAGACCGTAGAAACCAAAGCCCCGTGTCGCAGTATAGGTGCTGGCACGAATAAGATCCCTACCTGCTCAATGGCCCTGAGTGTCGAGTAAAGGATAAAATTTGCAGCTCTCCACCGGCAAGTGGTGGCGGATCCATACGAGTGAAAAATTCTCGAGAGGGACATTAAACAGCATACAGACAAATCAAACATCGATGTTAAAGAAATTCAATCGGTTTATACTTGGTCGATAATTATAAAACCTCACAGTCGAAGTAAAATAATTTTGCGTGTGTGGCCGGTAGGCGGTGAATACGTGCTCGTACATGGCACCTGATCCTACCTCTGATGTTTTTTAGGTCCGTGTTTGATCTGCTTCTGATTCTGAATTGATTTTTCAGCTTGAATTCTTTTCTTTGTCGTTATGTTTCATCAAAATTAAATTTGGTGAAATACTTTGAACAATGAACAATAATCAAGCTCAAAATCCATTTCAACAATACAAATTGGGGAAGAGCAAACACGATCCTCTAAAAACATTACAGGCAGTATCGTGTGTCATAAAGAAGTTAGTATATCCCGTCGACCGGTCACACTCGCTCACATATAAATATATATAAATTTTTGCGGCTAGTTAATTAATATTGTATTGACAAATATGCATAAAAAATATTGAAAATGTAACAAAAACGCTTGTAACACTCTATTTCCAATGATCTTACAATGTGGCAAAAATCTGATTCTGTACTATATTTCATGAAATATTTTGAGTGCATATTCTTGCTTGTAATCGGAAAAACACTCTTGTCACATATCATATTGAAAACTAGAGGTACTGTGAGCAATGAGCTCGCTAAATGATACCCCCACTCCCCTCCCATATGTATACTAGTATTATAGCAGTGTCCATGTTTTGCGGTGGGAAACCCAAAATATGTGTCGGATCAAAAAGTAAAATAGGAGGTGCACAATGACAATATGTAATAAAGATTCTGTGAAAGTTTCATCAAATTTCATTCAGTGGTATGAGAGGAGTTGCGGATAAGAGATGAGTACCCCAAAGCGTAACAGACGGAAGGACAGACGAACGTACAGACGGACGGACATCCCGATTACTATATACCCTCCCGCTTTTCAAGCGGCGGTATAAAAATAGCTTCCTATTTAGACATAACATTATTTCTTTAAAAATCAGGGTCAAGTGTTGAAGTTACAGGCCCTTAGATGAAACATATATAGATCGCTTTCATTCGACTGACGAAAAATTGGAAGTGTTAAAAAAAAAAACTCTTTTTTTAAACACCCCCAATTTTTTTAATGTCGGATTTAAGCGATCCAAAGGCCTGTGGTTGGGGTTAAGAAAACATTGATTAAATTAAGAGGAATAGCCAAGTAATAGCCTGTTTCTTATAATTCACAAGAGAGTTATTTTTACTATCAACTAGGATATATTGTTTATTTTTAAAATTTAACCATTGCGGACTGTTAATGAAAATGTTATTATTAGATAAATAAAAGTTTAAATTACAAATTTTCTTCAAAACATTTAAACTTATAAGAAAATGCTGAAGGATCTTACCTCTTGTTGAGCTATAACTGTGTGAGTCGTAAACAGGATTTCTAACGTTTCCGATGATTTCACGAACAACGTCCGGTAATTATTATAAATGCGGACATCATACATAGCAGATATGGGTTTAGTCCAGCGCATAGAAACTATATGTGATTTTGCGCTTTATAAATTAATAAAATAATAATAATAATAAAAGTGAGATATATATATTTATAAACAATGCGTATATGTGATGTTAGGTTATAAAAATTCTAAAGCCCCCCCCCCCCCCCCCCCCCAACCCCGGTGTAGCACTCCTTTTTTAAGGCACACAACGGAATGATTAGTCTGATAAAAACTATGGCTTCATACTTTAAAAGACAATGTTACCTGCTTTGTCCACTAAGACCAATATCGTGCAATCGCGATGGTTTACCTGAGTATTTTTAAAGGTATTTTTTCATTTCATTTTTTTTTCTCTCGATTTAATCTATACAAAAAATGTTCTATGTTCCTTTTTCAAAATTACTGTATTTTATATGAGTTTTTTCCTTTTCTTCTACAGGAAGCAAAAGTAAGCTGTACACCTATAGCAGATTTATGGCGATTGCACATCAGGCACTAGTCAACGTCTTTTCCCATGATCCCTTGCACCTCGGTACCTAATAACGAAGTGCAAAGGAATCATGAGACAAGACTAAACAGGCACCGGAAAGAATAAAGTGTGACGTCATGTTGAACTCATTTTCACGTCCGGTGATGATGTTAATACCCAAACAGTTGAACAATCCCTTAAATATATAATTATAAAAATAAATCTTGCACGAATGAACAAAAGATAGAAATTCCAGAATATGGGCCAGATATGAAAAAGAAGACGTCAACTGACACTTTGTCAGAATGGATGAAATGTGTCAGATCCATGTTAAAATCACGTATTAAAATGATTGAGGGGCAATATGAAACCTATCTATCCTTCTGTGTTAGTAACCCAGAAGTGAAAAAAGAATTAGATAGATTACATGATCAGTACGTACTGGTTCCTGCCGACAAAGCAGGTAACAACATTGTCTTCGTTTGTAAGGCTCATTATATAAATTGTATTCTAGAAAAACTTGGATTTAATTCTACAAGTAGTAATCCTACTTATACTCATACTTCCCTTTCTAAGGAGGAAATTCTTCAAAATCATGCGTCAGTTTTGAATATTTTTAATATTCCACAGAGCCAAAATAAATTTGAACTACCTTATATATATTGGATTCCGAAACGTCATAAGAATCCTTACAAACAAAGATACATTGCGGGTTCCAGTAAATGTTCAACCAAGCCTCTTTCGTTACTCCTCACTAAGATACTGTCAGTAGTGAAGGAAAAACTTCAAGAGTACTGTGCAACTATATATTCAAGAGGTGGTGTGAATCAGATGTGGATACTAAAAAATTCTAAAGAACTTTTGGACAATTTGAAATCACAAGGTTTTACCAAAAGCAACAGCTTAAAAACTTACAACTTTTCAACTTTATACACAACAATTCCACAAGACAAATTAAAATCCAGGCTTTTTGATATCATTGACAGCTGCTTCTTCAATAAAAATGGAACTCGTAAATTTACTTACCTGGTCATTGGTCATTTGCAAAATTATTTTGTTAAAACAAATTCTGATTGCACACACAAGTACTCTGAAGTTGACATCAAGAAGATGCTTGAGTTTCTGATTGATAATATCTATGTGGTTTTTGGAGACCAGGTCTTCCAGCAATCTACTGGAATTCCCATGGGTACCAATTGCGCTCCGTTATTAGCAGACCTAATTTTGTATTCATATGAAGCAGAATTTATGCAAAATCTTATGCGTGAAAAACATAAAACACTTGCTGTGGCCTTCAACTCGACTTTCAGATATATCGATGACGTATTGTCAATTAACAATGGTAATTTCCATTCCTACGTTGATACGATATATCCAGGAGAGCTTGAGATTAAAGACACGGCAGAGTCTGACACATCTGTTTCATACTTAGATGTTTTACTTGAAGAACACGTTAATGGTAACCTAACAACCAAGCTATTCGATAAACGTTACGACTTTAACTTTTCTGTCGTCAACTTCCCTTACTTATACAGCAATATACCTTCATCACCTGCATACGGAGTGTATACATCTCAGTTGATTCGATACGCAAGAGCATGCTCTACGTATGAACAATTTCTAAAACGAGGTAAATTATTGTCAAACAAGTTGATGAAACAAGAATACCAACAGTCTCGTTTAAAGTCATCATTTCGTAAGTTCTATGGTCGAATCAATGACCTTGTCAGCTAATACAATTTATCATTGAGTCAAATGCTGACTGACGTTTTTCATACCAATTGTTTGTTCATTATTTATACACTGAATTGACGACGGATTTTTCCGGTATTTCCTGATCATGACAAGGAGCACACAGCGGGTGTGACCGGTCAGCAGGGGATGCTCCCTCCTCCATGGCACCTGATCCCAACTCTGATGTTTTGGAGGTCCGTGTTTGCTCTTACTTTGTATTGTTTTATGGACTTTGAGATCGAATACTGTTTGTTATCTCCATATCCTTCTTTCATGAAGTACATCTACTTTAAAATTTTTGGAAAGAGATTCGAAAAAAAGGAATGCAACTATTACAAACACTTTAAGATTACGTCAAGAAGGATACATTCTGAATGCACACTTTATATTAACAACATTTTGGAATAAATTAGATTGGAATTTTCTTAATCTCTATTCTAAATGTTGAAATTTCAATGCACAACTGTTGCATAACTTTTAAAATCCGTAAAATAAGAAAACTATCGATGATTATAAAACGTTATTGGCTTTTAAGTACATACATGAACGTAGATAAGTGATATGTCTGACAAAAGTACGTTTGTTATCATATCTTTATTTCCGATTTTCTTTTTATATAAATCTCTGTATAAACATATATTAGTATTCAAAATGGCGACTTACAATAAATTCTATACTTCTATTAACCAACACTTTGATTTTTTTTCATTTTAGGCACTAGAAGATACGGAAGCCCATTTAGGACCTATCAAAAAATATTTTTGAATTCGTTATAACGATTTTTAGAATTCGTTATAACGAATTGAATTTGTTATAACTTATAACAGATTTATTGAATTCGTTATAACGAATTAAATGTGATATAACAGATTCATTGAATTCGTTATAACGAATTTAATTCGTTATAACAGATTCATTGAATTCGTTATAATGAATTTAATTTGATATTACAGATTTATTGAATTCGTTATAACGAATTTAATCTGTTATTACAGATTTACTGAATTCGTTATAACGAATTTAATCTGTTATTACAGATTTGTTGAATTCGTTATAATCAAATTCTTGAATTGGTTATAACGAATTCAACAAACCTGTAATAACAGATTAAATTCGTTATAATGAATTCAATAAATCTGTAATAACAAATTAAATTCGTTATAACGAATTCAATGAATCTGTAAATACAAATTTAATTCGTTATAACGAATTCAAAGAATCTGTTATAACAAATTAAATTCGTTATAACGAATTCTAAAAATCTGTTATAACAAATTGAATTCGTTATAACGAATTCTAAAAATCTGTTATAACAAATTAAATTCGTTATAACGAATTCTAAAAATCGTTATAACGAATTCAAAAATATTTTTTGATTGGTCCTAAATGGGCTTCCGTAAATTCTTGATAACGAATTTAATCTGTTATTACAGATTTGTTGAATTCGTTATTATAACGAATTTAATCTGTTATTACAGATTTGTTGAATTCGTTATAACCAATTCAAGAATTTGGTTATATAAATTCATGATTCGAATATTCGTTTTTACGGAAGCCCATTTAGGACCTATCAAAAAATATTTTTGAATTCGTTATAACGATTTTTAGAATTCGTTATAACGAATTTAATTTGTTATAACGGATTTTTTGAATTCATTATAACGAATTTAATTTGTTATAAAAGATTCATTGAATTCGTTATAACGAATTTAATTTGTTATAACAGATTCATTAAATTTGTTCTAACGAATTTAATTTGTTATAACAGATTCACTAATTTGTTATAACGAATTAAATCTGTTATTACAGATTTGTTGAATTCGTTATAACCAATTCAAAAATTTGTTAAAACAAATTCTCTTGCATTGATTATAACGAATTCAACAAATCTGTAATAACAGATTTAATTCGTTATAACGAATTCAATATATCTGTAATAACAAATTAAATTCGTTATAACAAGTTAGTGAATCTGTTATAACAAATTAAATTTGTTATAACGAATTCAATGAGTCTGTTATAACAAATTAAATTCGTTAAAACGAATTCTAACAAGAGGCCCATGGGCCTTATAGGTCACCTGAGCATTATGCAACAATTTTCCAGTGATTGAATTTGATTCATGTTTTAATCCAGATGCTATGGCATTCACAATTTTGAAAGAGGCCCCATTGATCATCATAACAATACACTTAGCAGTTGCTTAGTTTGTTTACTTAATACCCATAGGCAGGGTAGGGGAACAAAAAATGCATTTCAAGTAATCAGTAATATTCAGCATGATCAGTAATGCCCCAATCACACATGAACCCCTCACCCTTAGGCCTAGATCCACACATTGCACAATTTTTGAAAAGGCACCCTTGCTTTTCAAAAATATTTGATTAATACCAAGGAGCATATTTCGAACAATTCATCCAGTTTCAGTATATAAGTACAGCCCCCCCCCTCCTTTATGGTACCCCTGACCCTGGGGCCTTGAAATTCACAATTCTGGAAGATTAGTACCCTTGCTCATCATAACTATATAGGTAGTTCATCTGCTTAATACCAAGGAGCAGAGAAGAAAACTTTCAAAGATTCAATGTATTTTCACTATATAATCAATAGAGCCCCACCCTATCACTAGAACCCCTGACCCTAGGGCCATAAAATTCACAATTTTGGAAGAGGTATTCTTGCTCATCATAACTTTGTAATTAGTTTATTTCATTCCTAGGAGCAGAGAAGAAGATTTTCAAAGAATTCATGTATTTTCACTATATAATCTATAGAGCCCTGCCCAAACACCAGAACCCCTGACCCTGTGGCCATAAAATTCACAATTTTGGTAGAGGCACTCTTGCTCATCATAACTATGCATTAGTTAGTTTATTTAATACCCAGGAGCAGAGAAGAAGATTTTCAAAGAATTCATGTATTTTCACTATATAATCTATAGAGCCCTGCCCAAACACCAGAACCCCTGACCCTGGGGCCATAAAATTCACAATTTTGGTAGAGGCACTCTTGCTCATCATAACTATGCACTTAGTTAGTTTATTTAATACCCAGGAGCAGAGAAGAAGATTTTCAAAGAATTCATGTATTTTCACTATATAATCTATAGACCCCCCCCCCCCCACCTTACACCAAAACCCCTGACCCGTGGGCCATAAAATTCACAATTTTGGTAGAGGCACTCTTGCTCATCATAACTATGCACTTAGTTAGTTTATTTAATACCCAGGAGCAGAGAAGAAGATTTTCAAAGAATTCATGTAATTTCACTATTATAATCTATAGAGCCCCACCCTTACACCAGAACCCCTCACCCTGGGGCCATAAAATTCACAATTTTGGTAGAGGCACTCTTGCTCATCATAACTATGTACTTAGTAGGTTTATTTAATACCCAGTAGCAGAGAAGAAGATTTTCAAAGAAATAATGCATCTTCACTGTATACTTATTTGGCCCCGCCCTAGCACTAGAACCCATGACCCCATGAATTTCACAATTTTGGTAGAGGACTCAATGTTGATTACAATCATGCAAACAGTTTGACTGCTTAATGTCCTGGAGTAAAGAAGAAGATTTTTAAAGATTACACTAATTTTAGTGGTTTTTGCCCCACCCCCCCAGGCCCCAGGGGGGCAGGGACCATGAAATTCACAATTTTTGTTCCCCTTTACCCATAGATGCTATATGCCAAATTTGGTTGAAATTGGTTCAGTGGTTTCAGAGAAGAAGCTGAAAATGTTCAAATGTTAACGCACGACGCACGACGAATGACGGACGACGACGGACGAAAAGTGATAGCAATAGGTCACCTGAGTTTACTCAGGTGACCTAAAAATCGTTATAACGAATTCAAAAATATTTTTTGATAGGTCCTAAATAGGCTTCCGTATAAATGGGCTTCCGTACAGGAGCAATACGACTGCCGCATAAATCTGACAGTTAAAGTTTATTTTGAGGTCACCAAAATGTCTTAAATAGCTATAGACTATCAAATGGTTAAGCAAGATTGAGAAGACTAATCTAAAATTATGCACATTATGATATGAAACACCAATGTCCGTGCAGTTAATGATTAAATGTTTTACAAAAGCCTTGAGATTTGTTTGTTTGTTGAAAGTCCCTTCCAAAATTTTTCTCTGATATTGAGAAGCCATCATTTGCCGGTGAGGGCTGTAAATTAGCCCCTTATTCGGCACTTAGGCCCTCTGTTCAGTGATGGATCCTTTTTTGTGCTAGCACCTACTGTGACACAGACCTTGAGTTTTCCCAAGCATACAAAGGTTTTTTGTCTTTAAAAGATAACACCAAAAAATTAGACCGAATTAATTTTAATAAAATTAGCTTTTTAAATACATGTGTGTACACAAAATGAAAAAAAGTGTTACAGTGTACTTGCCGCATGGTTTTTGCAATTGTTCTTAAATATTTTTGAGGTGTGATTTCAATAATGCCCATCAAAAGTAAATGTATTGGTTCGATTTAAATACTATAAAATATATTTTCCACATAACACTAACGATGATTACTGAATTACTGACCATCAAAGATCTTCTGAAGTAATGGGTTGAGGAGCCACAGACAATCGACTCCTCCAAAACAAATAACAGCAGGCTTAATTACCAAAGTGTATAGAGAGAGCTAATTTCTGCTCCCAAAAATAAAACAGCACGCGCAGCTGTGATTTCTTAAGTAGACAACTGGTGAAAGTTTTTAACATAAAATTACGTATGTTTGCTTGGCATCTTCATTTCATTGCAAAAGCTGTGTACAGCAGTATGGCGGATTTTGCATCTTGGGTACAGCGCCACCTGTCGAGGATACAGGAAGACTTCGATGAGGTTGACAAGGACAAGAATGGGTCGCTGGACTTCCCGGAGGTCTGTAATGTGTTACAAAGGTCAGGGTTCAAAGGAACACAGGAGGAGGCAAAGGTAGGTACAGCATTCTCAGCCACGCCCCTTAAAACTTCGGTATTATTTTAGAGACATTTGGATGCATTTTTAAGAATTTAAGTAAAGTTTTCGTATTATGTATTTTGTATTTTAGAGGATATTCCAGTCTTTGGATGTGGACAAGAATAATAAAATATCAAAAGATGAATTTGTGAAATCTATGGCCAATGTTCCCAAAATAGACTTCAAGTGGGTATTAAAAAAATCAGAAACTCCTGACATAACTTCAGAATAGCTAAGAAAATTGGTATTTATAGTTTTTTGAACATCAATGCAAACTTGAAAACAAAATAGTTCTGTGATATAACTAGTAAGATATACAATGTGTAAACGATCCTTAACTCATAAATCGGGCACCATGCAAGTGTGCAGCATTGCAGATGTTTGGCAAATGTTCCTAAATCAAAAAGAAACAATCATCTTTCTGCCGATACACGGACAAGTTACTCGGTACTCATTAATGGCATCTTTATTCCTCGACATAACTTTTCTTTGAAACTCTCTGTTCTCTTCCTTGCATTTTTAGTCTGAAGTAGAGAGATTTTTTTTTCAAACGATTTAAAAGAAATAATATGAGCATTTAAATAATCTTTTTAGTTATGTAAACCAACATATATTATGTCTGATGCAAAAAGGTGCTTATAAATTTTTGCTATTTTATATATAAATTACTATGAAGCCGATTTTCTTTTCTTCAGACAAATCGTACTTCGGCGGGCTTTCCGGAAGTTGGATAAAGACGGAAGTGGATTTCTGACACGGGATGAAATTCTGGACGCGGCTAGCAATGAGGCGGAAATTAACGTGTCCGCGGAAAAAATCTCCGAGATGCTCATCTATCTCGTCAAAGACGAAGACAAGAAGGTGAAGTCTTCTTTATATATACAGGATACATGTATTAAGAATTCATCTTCTCGATCAGTCAATGCCAGGGTTCTGAGATTTCAACCGAATCCTTTCTGTTTACACTATATCTATTGAGGAAAGCTGTAATTTTATTAGAGCTTCTTAATGAGAGAGGCAAGCTTTAAAATTTCTAATGAAATTGTCAGGAGTCCAATGGCAACGTATTGACTTAGCACCCCTGGCATGTTAAGACTTTTTAACCAAGCAATATTTGCACTATCCACATTCCGCATTTTGATTCAAATAATCCATTGATTAAAACAGAATATTCTCAGAATCATTTTTTAACATCTCGACTTTTCTTGCATAATTTTTATGCGTTTTACAGATAGACTATGAAGAGTTTTTGAAAATATGGAACGTGAAGTCGACAACACCCGTCATGCGATCATTGTTCCAGAAGTTGGACACAGACGGAAGCGGAAAAGTGGACCGGAAGGAGTTGTTAGACGGCCTTCACAGAGATAGTGAGCTGCATTTACAGGCGCCAAAAATCTCGGACATTCTGATCAAATGGAGCAAAAATCACACGGGGCCGTTATCTTACGAAGAATTTCTTAAGGCTTACGAAAGCGTGTGATATATACAGTGTAAAGACCTCACGTCTTTGAGAAATGTATGGACACTTATAAACATCAGTGTTGTGTTTAATTATGAATTTATATCATTGATATCTAATTTGCTTTATAGTTTATATTACAATCAATTGAAATCCAAATGAAATGAGAGCTATTTGCAGTGTGTCTAGAGCATGCCTTGGACCAAGATGAAACACTTCATATTACTCAAATTTGTTTTCTTTTGCATCAATTTCCAAATTATTTTGTATTTATATAAATATACATGTATGGTTTATTTTGTCAACGTTGTGAAAAGCTGATTAAAATTTTTTACAATCTCAGAGAAATTGATTAAAGAACTTGAAAGACACACCGCTTTGCAACAATGAAACTGTAAAATGGTTATCAAACTCAGTTGAATTAAACTCTATGATGTTTAAATAAATCCTTAGAATCATGTTCCTATCGTCAAATTTCAGAAGACACTAGATAACTTGAAGTACTTAGAAAACTCCCGCAGTCCGATTCTTCTGATCTCTCACTGACCGTGTTAATGTCCACCTGTATCCTTATTGTTTTATCCTCCCTACTCCTAAAATCTGACATTTGTTCTTCGAATTTTTCTCTTAAATCCATGAAAGGTTCATCACCTATCCCACTGTCTATCCTTGACTCTGCATTGAGTCCTGGGTATGATTTTGCCTTTTTCCGTCGGGAAAAAGCACGAGATATATTTTTTATACGATTCCATGAGGTCCTTCGTGACTTCCGGACCCCACCACTATAACGTTCCCGTGACATCACTACCGGAATAGCCATCACATTAGCTAGGCCTCTTCCAAGAGCACTTCCGGTGTTTCGATCCTTCCGACTTTTCCATTGTAGATCTAGATTCCCTAGCGTTTTATACACAGCATTCAATTCACTCTCTTTTGTACATCGTATTCTTGTTTTTTCAATGTCTCTTAAAAATGAATTAACCTGCTTGTCTTCATCGTCGTGGTTTCTGGAAAGTCCGCGTAAGAACCCGAGCAGCAACACGCCAAAAACAGCACCCCCGTACACCATAACCACAGACACGGTAAACTTCATAGCGCCTTCAGCGTCCGTCGTCCTGTCGTAAACAAAACCTGTCGTGTTTGTTATGTTGCTCATGCTTCCTTGTTGAAGGTTAGTTTTGTTTTGTTTTGTTTTTTGCGGTTCACATTACATCCTCTAAGACCATTTTCCCAATCGCTCATAGATTGAATTAGATTGTATTAGGCCATCTAAGGTGATGGTTGTAATATTACCCACACCTCCTACATCAGGCTGCTCTCTCCCATGCTATATATTATTCATGAACTTTGAGACTTTTCGGCAAGATGGACAAGAAAGTTGAGAAAACGACCACGTTCATTTCGAGAGAGAGTTCATTATTTTCCTTTAATGTTCTTGCCACTACAAACTTCATCCGATTTAAGACTTCGTTTTACAGGCACCGAATTGTAAGTTGTTTGACGGGGAGATTTAGAGCGTAATGCGTTCATAATCACTTTAAAGTTCTCTTCAAGTTTTAATACCACTCTAATTGGATATATTAGAACTTTTAAAAGGTAGTTTCTATAAGATGTAATATATATAAACACATAATATGTCTGAAAACCACGCCAGGGGATATTAATATAGGGTTTATTACTGTGGTTCGAATTCATCAACTGGAATCAGTGATTTTGGAATTAAATGTCAATTTTAGTTAATCACACACAGAACAGTTACCCGCTTTACAATTTTAAAGCACGGAGAGATGATAATAGACTATATGTAAATGTACTTCAGTGTCGCTCTTACACTCATTTTTGTGTAATGCAGATTTGGATGTATATTAAAAGTCTTTATTTTCATAATACGCAAAGAAGAACCATGAAACATATTGGTGATATGTCCATTCCCCTGGCAGTCGGAGGAATGTAACATCAGTCTGTTTGAAAGAATTTGCCATGAGATCGTTTAAACCGAGGCCCTGTGTCGCAGTAGGTGCTGGCACGAAAAAGATCCCTCACTAAGTGCCAAGTATAGGACAGAAGTTGAAGTTTTCAACCTGAAAGTGGTGGCTTCTCCAATTGAGTGAAAAATTCTCTAGAGGGGACGTTAAACAACGTATAAACAAAACAATCAATAAAATTATGGATTAAATTTCTCCATTCTTTCTTTAATCAATTCCTCATAATATTTTTAAAAGTTTTTAAATGCGTCCGAATCGATAAATTCGGGGCGTACACGTATATTGTACTTGTCCTGTTTGTCTGTCTGTTGTCAACTTTAACCTTCGCCATAACTTTTGAACCGTGAGAGATAGAGACTTCATATTTGGTATGCATACTCCACTTAGTAAGCTCTTTCAAATGACACCAAGGTCAATGACCTGGTGACCTTGACTGTGACCTTTATGTTAAAATAGCTTTTTCGAACTTTGTTGCCTCCGGGCGCATAGTGTTTCACAAACGCATCTTGTTTCTTTTAAATATTAATTCATTTACAGTGTTAATATAATATATATATTTGTCAGCCTAATTCCAATTATTCGAAATCAGATTTGCTGTCATATAATACTAGTGGTACATAAAAGAACGCAATAAGTCCGATGGTCAATATCGTATTGCTTATGACACTACTTAGAATTATTCCATACACAGAACTCTGTTCGAAGGCTATTGATCTTTATTGGTGAATATTATATATGTAGCTAAATGCGAAATGTTTATCGCAGGGGCATGATACAAGAAGCCGTCTTATCTCTCATTCTGTCTATATAACACTATCACGATTTACCTATTAATTTCTCACTTAGTCACAATGAGACAACTGTTGGCAATAGTCCTTGCTGTCAGTGCTTTGGGTATGTAAGGGGTATAGATAATTCTACTTCTTTACGTAATATTAATTCATTATCATTTGCATAATTATGACAACGTCATTGTTTAACTCTTTACAACTTACTGAACTGTTATACAACATACACTTAATGTTCACGTCATGGAAATAGAAATTTACCATTTCCCCGCAAGCACCTTATAGCGTGGTACACGTTTCTCTACACTTTAGCGTAAATAATATCATGACGTAGAATTATAATACAAATATAACTTTTCTTAATTTATGAGATCTTTGCAAGTATAAAAATGAATGAAATTGGCATTAAATTAAAGATTAAATGAACTTTTTAAAGTGCGTGAAAATGCGTGATTGCGGGGAAACGGTATATGCGTGATTTTGCGTTAGAAATAGGAAATGGTATATGCGTTAAAATGCGTGACTGCGGGGAAGGGGGTTAAAACACCTTGTACCAAAACGTATTCTACTTTTAATGTAATAAAGGATAAGACTCCGAAAACGCACATAAGTATGATTTCAATTGATCAATTTTAAGATCTGAAATATTAAGATATAAAAGTGTTCAAGTTCAAAAGTCCATCGGAACAATACAAATTGGGAGCAGAGCAAGAGCAGACTAAAAACGTCAAAGGTAGGATCAGGTGTCATAGAGGATGAAGCATCCACTGTCAACCGGTCACACCCGCCGTGTGCTCCTGGTCATGATCGGGCAAAAAGAGAAAAATCTAGACAATTTAGTGTAGAAATACTCGGTAATGACTTGTATGAAAAAATGTCAATGAAGACCAATTTTATTTGGTCATTAGGTCATACATATAGTATCGACCATTTAATGAATTCGCAAAATGTTTATTTCAAAAGAGAACCTCGATATCTTTTTATGCGCCCGGATCGATAGATCCGAGGCGTATATTGTTTTTGTCCTGTCTGTTTGTCTGTTTATCTGTTTGTCTGTTTGTCTGTTTGTCTGTCTGTCTGTTGTCAACTTTAACCTTCGCCATAATTTTTGAACCATCAAAGATAGAGACTTCATATTTGGTATGCATACTCCACCAATAAAGTTCTTTCGAATGACACCAAGGTCAATGACCTTGTGACCTTGACTATGACCTATTTGCTAAAAATAGCTTTTTTGAATTTTCGCCATATCTTTTGAACCATGAGAGATAGAGACTACATATTTGATATCCTTACTCCACCAATGACGCTCTTTCAAATGACACCAAAGTCAATGACCTTGTGACCTTGACTGTAACCTATATGCTAAAAATAGATTTTACACAATTTTCGCCATAACTTTTGAACCGTGAGAAATAGAGACTTCATATTTGGTGTGCATACTCCACTAATGAAGTTCTTCAAATGACACCAAGGTTAATGACCTTGTGACCTTGACTTTCACTTATCTGCTGAAAATAGTTTTTTTAAACTTTGTTGCCGCCGGGCGCATAGTGTTTCACAAACACATCTTGTTCTAACTTATTTCTCATTATCTTTCCTCAACATTTAAACTTATTCTACATGTAATACAGAGAATGCTCTTGCTTTTCTAATCAGCTGGGGGACGTAGACTCATATTCAGATGAAAATGATTTAAACAGGACGATAGAAAAAATGAAAAGTATTTTGTTTTTTGTTAGTCTGCCATTAATCAAGTAAACCTTTTCTATAAAAAAAAAAACGTTTTTATGTGCCCGGATCGATAGATCAGAGGCGTATCTTGTTTTTGTCCTGTCTGTTTGTCTGTCTGTTGTCAACTTTAACCTTCGCCATAACTTTTGAACAATGAGAGATATAGACTTCATATTTAGTATGCATACTTCACTAATTAAGCTCTAAGACTTCGAAATGACATCAACGTCAATGACTTATGTCCTTGACCGTTACCTTTATGCAAAAAATAGCTTTTTCAAACCTTTGCCATTACTTTTAAACCATAGGAAATAAAGATAAACACCAAGGTCAATGACCTTGTGACCTTGACCTACATGCTAAAAATAGCTTTTTCGAACTTTCGCCATAACTTTTGAACCATGAAAGATAAAGACTTCCTAATTGGTATGTATACTTCACTTATTAAACTCTAAGACTTCAAAATGACATCAAGATCAATGACTTTTGTCCTTGACCGTTACCTTTAAGCAAGAATAGCTATTTCAAACCTTTGCCATTACTTTTGAACCATAGGAGATAAAGCCTTTATTTTTGGTATGTATACTTAGATAATTAAGTTCATTCAAATGGCACCAAGGTCAATGACCTTGTGACCTTGACTGTGACCTACAAGTTAAAGATAGTTTTTGGAACTTTGTTGCATTGTGTTTCACAAACACATCTTGTATTCAAATTATTTTGCATAAGTATTGATCAGTTAAAAGGAAAGAGTGTTGGCAAATTCGGAACATTTTTATTGGAATTCATAAATGAATCAGAGTGTAAAAATAGATTAAGAACTGCTTGTTCCTACAATTTTTAGATAAAATGACTTTATCACCATTTTTTTACTTGATTGACCTTATCACAATTTTTTCACTTGATAACCCAGATGATTTTTTCGAATTTAAATCTTCACGTATAATCATTACACAACTTTGAAAAATCGATGTTTCATGTCCCCGTAAACGAAGTTTCGGGGTGTATAATTTTTGTCGTGTCCGTCCGTCCGTCTGTCTGTCTGTGTGTCCGCAAAAACTTTAACCTTGCCCATAACTTTTGATTTAGTGGAGCTATGACATTTATATTTCACATGTGTATTCTTTGTGACAAGATCTTTCTTTTGGGTACCACCAAATTTGACCTTGACCTTAGAGTTTGATCCACAAAAATTCCAAACTTTTATTTTGGCCATATCTTTTGAACAGTAGACACCAGGCCCCAAAACATAAACTGAAAATAGACTTTAGTCAAAATTTTGATTTTTAATCTCTTCAGTTCCATTCGATGTATTAGCTTTAAAGTTTGCAAATGTGCAAAATACATCAATTGAAACATATGTTGACAATTTTATTTTGATATCGAAATTATTTTGAAAGTTATATCGATTTGAAATTTTGACTTATGTCTGTTCTCAGTTTATGGTTTGGGGGCCTGGACTTTCATACGTCATATACCAACAACTTTGACCTTTTGATCTTGACCATGCAGATTTCCATACTTATGAAAAAACGTTTACCTTGGCCATAACTTTTGAAAGTAAGGGCTAGTGCTTTCACACTTCACATGTGTAATTCTTGTGAAAAGACCTTTCATTGGATACCAAGAACTTTGACCCTTTGACCTTGGAGTTTGACCTACTTTTAAAACGAAAACCTTGACCTTTACTTTTAAAGGGTTAGGGCTAGTGATTTCTTACTTTACATATCTAATCCTTGTGACAAGACCTTTCATTTGATATCAAGAACTTTGACCCTTTGAGCTTGGAGTTTGACCTACTTTTTTAAAATGTATAACCTTGGACATAACTTTTGAACGGTTAGGACTAGGGCTTCCATACTTCACATATGTATTCTTTGTGGCAAGACCTTTCATTGGATACCAATTACCTTGAACTTTTGGCCGTGACCTTGGAGATTTCCCTATTTATGAAATTTCCAGTGAGAATAACCTACTTTGGGTACCAATATATTAAATTTGCGTTTTAAAAAAGTTTAAATCTTCGCTATGATGCTATACGGGGGCATCAGTGTTTCACAAACACATCTTGTTTTTCTAGCACTCGTTATTGCCGAGAGATGCAGTCACGTGGATTCTTGTAAACTGACCATCTGTCCTAACAATTCCACACACCTGTCCTGTCATAACAGTCACTGTACCTGTGACGCTTCTCAGAGTAAGTATCTGACCGTATACTGCTGATTGAGGGTCACTGTCCCTCTCCTTCATTGCGCAAAGAATTAGACAAGAACAACCTGTTACCTGGACATTTCCTCTAAAAGAATAATGGTAATTATAATTCCAGTGAGAGTTATCTCTCTTCTCAGAGTGGCAATGAACCTTAATTTTCTGGTTTTGTTTCAATTATTTTAAGTAAGAGGCAGATGTAAATAAATCTATTCCAGATAAAGAAATTTGAACTGGCATATATTTTTATAGACCTAAGGTAATTGAAATATGCGAGTTATTTTATAGCATGCAGCGACATACTGGACTGTGCAGCGATTGGTCGTTGTCATGACAGCAAGTCCCATTATCACTGTGTGGAGAGTGTGTGTAAATGTATCCCCGACTACATTGGAAAATAAAAATACTCACTCAATCTCATATCGACTTGTGATGTTTATTACATGTGAATTTATTCTTTTTGTATAAAGGAATACTCAGGACAAAGCATATCACAAATCAGCCTATATTTATAAATACGTTAACCATGTGACAAGATAAAATATACCACAATGTCATAAACAATTTCCGTCAGGTTTTGGTTTCTAACGTTTCTATGCCAGTTATGGAACCAACACAATTTTCCTCCTTTAATAAGTTTTTGTTTAACTGACCTTTTATGGTCCAACCACAACTAAGGTTAAACGTTGTTTATCAAGTTTCCAATGTTTTTCCATTATAAAATATTGCCTTTACATGGGTAATACGATTTTCCATCACTAACCTTGAACTAACACAAATGACTCCGAGTCAAGGCTAAAATACTTCAGTTCATAAATAAATTTTGTATGTAGAATTACCTCCATTAGAAAATTAATGAAAGACATTACTATAATATTATTGATATCAATTTTTTTTCTCCTAATGACATTGAACCTGGCAAAATGACTTTCATGTCATAATACAATGTACACAACTAGTGCTAATTGTAACGGGGACCGTTACAGATGTTCCCCAAACGCTCCCCAACTCCCTTTTGGTGCCATATTCCCTGTAAGCTTCGTTAAAGAAGACAAACTCTATGCATTTGAGATTTTAATAACGTTTACCCAGAAGTGTACCAAGTTCATTCAAATTCTAGCATTGCACGCGTGCGCATCTGAATGCATCTGCGTAATGACCATATCATCTTGTCTACACAATCTATATATTTTAATACACTAAATATTAAAGTATTTAATCCAAAATTATTTAAAAATACGCTCATTCAAGTATATTTTTGATTTTACTCATTTCACATGCACGCACGTGCATACATGAGCATGGTGACCACACCTTCTTGTAGAAGTCCATTACATCTATCTATGTTCTAAATCCCACCCCGTTTGGTTGAAAACCAAGGGAGTTATAGCTGTTTAAAGTTTCAGCCAATCAGATTGCAGTGCACGTACACGCACGTGTATGCATGTACATGGTGACCATACTTTCTTGTAGAAGTCCATTATATCTATATATGTTCCAAATCCCATCCTGTTGGTTGAAAACCAAGGGAGTTATAGCTATTTAAAGTTTAAGCCAATCAGATTGCAGCGCACGTGCATGCACGTGTTTTCATGATAATTGCTATATATCATGTTGTAGGATATCCTAATGCATGGCTATGTTCAAAATTTCAAAGGAATTTGTCTAAAAACAAGAAAGATATTGAGACTTTAGTTTCAGCCAATCAGAGCGAAGCGCACGTGCATGCGCGTGAGATCTTGCTATTTTGACCATGTCATCATGTCTATGCTACTAATATATCCTCACATTATGAGTTTCAAAGCATTTCGTCCAAAATTAGAAAAGTTATGGCTATATCTATTATATTGGTCATTTCAAGCGTTGCACGTGCACGCTCCTGCAAGCACGTGCGCGCAAAATGACCTTCGTTCCGCAAATCTACATAACATGCCTACTGACCCTAAAAAGGTTTTACCTAAGTCGGATGTGTAGTTTACAAGATCACTCCCGGACAAAAAAGTACCCAGGAAGAAGAAGAAGAAGAAGAAGAAGAAGAAGAAGAAGAAGAAGAAAAATAATAATAACTAGAATCTTGTTGCCATGGCAACAAATAAGTCTTCCGTTCTTCTAAATCTGTAAGGAATTTGCTTTTCCTCTGCAACAAACATAGATATCACATGTACTCTGAAAGAAAAAAAATGCAAAAAAGTCCTTCAGTACTTAAAGTACTTTGATTTTCATGATCAATCTTGTTCCGATGCATTTTGGCACTCACAAGAGCTACACGTGTATCATAGACAAACCAACAGACAAACGAACACCGTACTCTCATAAACTTCACTGTGTTTATGTTCTGGGACAATTGTGATGTTGTTATAAAAATGTCATGAACTAAGTTAGTACCACATTAAACGTAAAGTCGTTGATTTTTAAAGTAATGATATCGAGATTTGCCAGGAAGAAATATTATTCATCAATGACAAGAATTATTCAGCAATCGATTAATTGATTACATGTTGTTTAGCGTCCTTCTCGAGAATTGTTCACACGGAGAAGCCTCCACTCGCCGTTGGAGACTGTAAAATGTTGTACTATCGCCATTGAGCAGCGAGGAATCTTTTTGAGCCAGTACCATCTGACACACGGGACCTCGATTTAAACGATCTCACCTGAGGGACCGGTCTCCACGTCCCACAATTGAAGTCCATTATACAGATATATGGTGCTCTAGCCATGTTTTTATTTTATTTTTCATTTCACAAATGTGTTGCATCAGATTTTCTTAAAGATCATACTTAATAAACTTTATTGCAATGCATACAGCGTCCGGTGATTTTGATTGACAGGTCAATACATGTGCACTTAGTGTAATACTTCTTAAGCAGAAAAAATATACAGAGAGTGACTATGACGGACTATGAAATCAGAAAATATTTAATAAAGAATGGGTACAACTGATATAGAACTGATTTTTTGTCTATATAAATGGATAGGATAATCAAGATTAAAAGGGAATCTCTCTCTCTCTCTCTCTCTCTCTCTCTCTCTCTCTCTCTCTCTCTCTCTCTCTCTCTCTCTCTCTCTCTCTCTCTCTCTCAGATATGTAAATTTCAGTATCTTGCGTAATGAAAAATCTACTATTATAGAATATGAATTCTGTATACATGTTAATGGTAATTATAACCAAATGTTCCAGATTTAATTTATAATTCAAAGGCCTATAGTTGCAATAATGTCTCCGAATAAAATCAAGAGGGGGGAGGGGGCTTCAAAAGAATTACATACTCGGTAATTTTATGTTTTATGAATTAAAAGGAAAATACTTAAGGTTGCATGTACATACATATAATTATATAGCATTGCATAAAATTGTGTTCATTCGTATACTTTATCTAACATATCAACAGACCTTTGCAGATGTTTTTGTATCATGTTTTTAGCGTAGCATTATTTCACACAGAAACGCGTAACTTTCACATAATGTTAATCCTTTGAGTACTAGTATTTCACAAAAATCCAAGAATCGCTTTTTCTTATCTTTAATAACTTCTTGGGTATATAAAAGTATAGATCATGTATAATAAATAACACTATAAGACTTTTAATCAATGAAATATACGTGTTAAAACCAAATCCAATCTATAGATTGATTTTCTTTCTTTTAAGTTGCAGATATCAATTTATTTCTAAAGCCTTTACACCTACTCTTCTATCTCTCAGTTCCCTTTTGAGTACATATAATATTTTAGAATCGAAAATAAAACTCGGATTCCGGGATAATTTCGCATTCAAATTAAAGAATGAATTAAGAATATTTTTTTTTAATATAATCATAACAGACATTACAGATTTACACTACGCTGACAACTTTAAACTATGCATATACTAAAAGCAGTAACCAACGTAATCTTTCATGCAGAAGTGGATATGGAAACTCAGAGTTTAAATTTTTTTTTTATGTGAAAAGTGTGGATATAGACGTCTGCGACGTCATGGATACTACCTCCGCCTTTATCTCGAAAGTTCTATTCCCACTTACAAGTCAGAGTTTTCTATCTTTGATAAAAACTATTATTTTTTTTAACTACAACAATTTCTTAGATTATCACGAAATTTTTTATAAAATCTGTTAAGAAATGTTGTCATCAATGAAATATATAGAGAAAAAATAAAATTATCTTCACTTTTGGCACGCCATTGTCTTACAAGTCAGAGTTATCTATCTTTGCTCACTACGTAAATAGAGAAAATGAATTTATTGACGGAACCTTAAATCTCCAAAATGCAGAATCCGACTGAATAAATATTATGTTTAGTATTTTTGTAGAATAATTTGTATATACATCGCTGTAATGTATACTGCGTACAATATTATTTTCTTCAAAGTGCTTAGTTGACACAGAACGGATAATTTTTTTTAGATATAAATTTGTAAATCAAAAACTTTCAATATACAGACTAACACTACACAGCCAAATTTAAACTAATATGCATATAGTGAATTAAGTAACATGCAAAAGAGATTATTGAATGTGTAAATATGTTGATCTGGAGAGCTTATATATGTCTCTAACATCATCAATACTATTTCCGCCTTTATCTCGAAAGTTCTATTCTCATTCACAGGTCAGAGTTATCTTTCTTTGCCCACCTTATACATACTACGTAAATAGAGAAAATTTCGGTACCGAAAATATACAAAATGCGGAATCTGATTTAAAAACAAATTATATATTTAGTATTTGTAGAAAAATGTCTGTTTTACATAAGAATATCTCGAAAAAATATCTAAAAACAAAAAAATCAAAAATTGACCAAAAACAAATTCACTTCCGGTTCGGACAGGAAGTACTGGAAACACACGAAAACAACTTCAAAAACAAATAGAATATCATGATCTAATACTCCTGTAAATTTTATATCTTTACCTCAAACCGTTTCCGAGAAAACTGCCGGACAAAAGTCCATTTTAAAATTCGAATATCGGCCATAACTTCGGACCGGAAGTGAATTTTTCAAAAAACGGAATTTTATATAAACTTCATATATCAACCTACTTACATGAGAAAATTTGTTAAAATCTATCCAGCCATCTCTGAGTAATCGCGCTCACAAAATTTGGGAGGAATAATAATAATAATAACTAGACTCTTGTTGCCATGGCAACAAAAAAGTCTTCCGTTCCTGTATGATACCGTTTGTATTTATTTTTGTATGTAGTGAAACGTGTGCATTAATATGTAATAATATTAATATTGTCAAGAAACTAGGTTTTTCTTTTCGGTACTTGCAGTCCTTTGATTTTTACTTCAATGTATCTGTTGTTCTCATATATGATAATGTATGCGTGCAGTGTTGTTTTGTTTTATCAAGAAGCATATTTTAACTATTTTGAATTTAAAAATTAATGGTTGAGTATCTAGAAAACAATGTCTCAGAACTTATGGTACTTTGATTTTTACTACAAAAAATATCCCTTCAGTACTTGCGGTACATGTTCTTTGATTTTTATTGGCTGACGAAAATAGCTTTCATAGGTTACTTCTTGTATGCATTGATGTTTCTGTGTAGAAAACATGCCAGTTTATACTACATGTACACTGTAGTGAGAAAAAGGTTGGTATGTAAACAGTTCTCTCAGTACTTTGATTTGTATTGCAACTTTGAAGTCGTCAACCTAATATATATGACACTGTATGTATGATTTTGTATGAAGAGAAACATGTAAATATAACCTTCATGTAATTTAAAGAAAAAAAATTGCCCCGTCAATACTTTCAGTACTTTGATTTTATAAATGCAAAACGAAAGTAGCTGAAATCTACAAAACGCCTGATCTGATTTTAAAACAAATTAAATATTTGGCTTCTATGGACCTATCTCTATCATGCCTGGAAACATCTTGAAAAAAGATTCAAAAACAAAAAAGTCGAAAATTGACCGAAACACAAATTCACTTCCGGTGCGGACAGGAAGTACCAGAAACGCTTGAAAACTACTTCAAAACAAGGACAATGTCATAATATAAAACTCCTGTAAATTTTACATCTTTACCTCAACCCGTTCTCAAGAAAAATTCCGGACAAAAGTTCATTTAAAAATTGGAAATTCGGCGATAACTTCGTACCGGAAGTGAATTTTTCAAAAAACGGAATTTTATATAAACTTCATATATCAGCCTACTACCATGTGAAAAATTGTCGAAATCTATCCAACCATCTCTGAGTAATCGCGCTCACAAAATTTGGGAGGAATAATAATAATAATAAAAAGAAACAATACAAACACTATAAGTCTTCCGTTGTGAACGGAAGACTTAATAATAAGAAACAGAGTAAAAACAATATGTTCCCCAACTTCGTTTGGGGAACATAATTACGTCATAAGCAATTTTATAGTCGAGTATGAGACTTCAATGTACATGTATAATCTTCATTATGAAGTTTTTGTCCATACATTATTGAGTGGAAATGTAGGCAGACAGAGAGAGAGGATTACTCCTATATGAATATTTCACACTTTTTTGTGGGAGGTAAAATTACAGCAATATCAATTAATATTAAATACTAGTAGCAGCTCATGACAGAAAAGCCTGCTGATAAAAAGAAGGCTACAAATACAACCTTATGTTGCATATACAAAACATAAAACTGAGAAACTGAAACATTATAATCATTTATTCAATTTTCAACCATGACAATCATTCCGCTTGCCAATCCTTGTCATATAATATCCAATACTGCCATATTTTACACACCTGAATTTTATAATAAATTATTATCGCAAGTCTCAGACATTTCTATTGAAGTTGTTTTAAACCTATGATGTAAAAAAAACTTATTACCAAACCAGTGCTGTGATCCTTTATGAAATAAAAAAAAAGTTTTTCTTTATAGTATGGATTAAAAACAAAACTAGTACATGTAATTCCTAATTGGTTACTTGACTCCATAATCAACTTGACTGAAGTACATTATCAATAAGATTTCGTACAGTTTTTTGCATTTTTCTTTTTTTTTTTAAAAATTATATATGCTAGAAAGTAATTCACATTAGTACAGCACTTTGGAAACATATGAATATATCAAACAGCAAATGTATACACACACTGTTTATACAATGTAAGCTTAAAATTTTTTCATCAAATGCAGATATATATACACTGTAAAAGATCTGTGCATCACAATCAATATATTTGTTTACCATGATTGGTGGTTAGCCTTTTTCACATTGAACACAAACTTTTATAACAGAAAAAATGCATAATAAACCATTAAATATTTTTATTTTTTACAAAACTTAAATTTCATAATACATTATTTCATTTTATAAAGGGAATCCTTAGATTAATTAACACATTTATCACGACTACATTGTACATGTTACTGTAGCATTTTTAATGTTAGTTGGGGACCAATGATAATGAATTTTTTTGACAATTCTTATGAATTTACATATCTTCTAATCCCAACTTGATCAATGCACACTCTGTATACTAATGTCAGTAACCAGAGTTTTTTTTTTTTAACATGTGCAGAAATTTAAATGACCCCACAGTTGTATAATCATTTTGATATGTAGTATAATTAACCTTCGAAACAGTACTTTTTTTTATTCTTTTCATTCAAAATGACAACATATCAACTAGAGCTGAAGTATATATTATGACACCTGTATTTCTTTCACAATTCAAGTATTCAGATTTAATTGCAAGATTTTGTTTTTGCATTCAGTTTGGAAAATATTAAGGCATATAAACTGAGGGAAACATGGAACAGATAAATAAATCAAGGGACAGCACTGCTATTCATCCTCAAGATCTAGAGTGTCTAGTTCATCTTCCACATCGTCAATATCATCACCACCGAAAAGTTCCTCGTCAATCTCCACCTCCTCACCGTTCACCGTGGCAGCCATTGCCGCAGCTATCGCGGCATCCGTGTCTGTGGCAGGTTTGTCTTCTGGAGGTAGGGCGGCTGCTTCATCCAGCTTCGTAGATTCATCTTCAGGAAAAAGAATTTAAAGTAACCTTGAATTTATTTTAATACCAGCAGGTGTAAATTTCTAAAAACAATAAGCATTTTGACTCTATAAAGTAATCTTTAAACCTTAAATACTGTAAAACTGAACAATTTATAAACTAACATACACATATTGTTAGTAATCTAGTGTTATATGATAAAATTATGTATTCATTGCATCTACATGTTTTTCAGAATCAAGATATACATTGTACTGAAACATTGGAGATTTTGCAACACTAATCAGCTATGCTAAAGTGACCTGATTTGTTACATTGACCCTTGTTGCTATATACATGTATATTAACCTGTAACACTGACCTGTTTTATTTGACATCGCTGATGAAGGCTCGCCTCCTGCCCCCGAGGAAACCTCAAATGTCCGCTCTGTAACCACGGTACCTGAGCCATCAGATTCTTGAGCCGTTGACATTAAATAGTCCAGGTTTATATCATGTACCTTCACTCGCTCTTCAGCCTTAATAAATACAACATCCATCTTCATTCATGTAAATACACATGTGAACTCTTAGAAATCAAGAAACTTGATAAATTATTTCATTCCTGTATATCTGGGTTTACTGCCATGACTAATAAAAAGCATCATTTTATAATCCAGAAAACAGACTTTCATTTACCCCGTAATTTATAATTTTGAAGATTTGATATTAATTACAAAATAAATCTTAAGATTGCTCTAACCTCATCATCAGAATCCAGCTCTCTCTCTATCACCCCTTCTGTGGCCTCATCATCGTCCTCTCCCACAAGGTCAGGGTTAAACTCAAACATCTCCCTTCCACTGATCTGTAACAATCATCAACATACAAGTATGTTAAAGAAGGTTTATTTCACTTGGTAATCTAATCCAACTATGAATACATGTATACTTTTTCACAAATCTCTTTCAGCAAAGTATTACAGCTAATTTCTTAATTTCTTTTTTTTTCTTTTTTTCTTTTTTTTTTGGGGGGGGGGGTAATCTTTAAAAACAGCTCTGATTAACCTTTCTATAACTGCTGGTGAAAAATGACCACTTACTCCAAATGCCTTGCCAGCTTTGTAGTCAGCTCTCTTCTTGTCTTGGGCAGCTTTAGCTTGCTCAATCTTCTCTTTCCTCTGCAAAAAAATTACATCACAAAATATCTAATTAAAATCTCACAAAACCCAGAAAATTTGATCATTACCAACTATTGTCAAAAACTTGGACTGAGATTATTTGTTAACAAATACTGTATAAGACAAAGATTATTCATGACTACCGGTAATAAAGCTATTTAATGTTGATTAATCTTGTCATACCCACCTTTCTCTCTTTCCATTTCAGAAATGATTCTAACGTGACTTTTGTGGTTCCACCTCCAAGTGCTGCACGCTGTTATAAAAAAAAAGATCAGAGCACAAGATTTAATGTTGGCCCTAGGGTAATGGTTAATGTATACACCCATTACTCTTTATATTCTTATAGCTATCAATTAGACAAACGTAAATAAAACCATGAAATTATTGCTAAACTGAAAGTATCTTAAAAGAAGTTCATGCTCATCTGGGTAAAAATGAAACTTCACCAGCAGATTTTTTTTCTTTAATTTTATGCAATAAGAAAATTTTGATTTCATACTGCTTAAAAGAGCTATGATTTAAGCAAAACTGAATCCTTTCAACATTGGGATTAGTTGAAATACCCCAAAAGCTGGTTCAGTATTAATATTGCTGATGCTGTTCTAGAGAAGATATTAAACTTCCCTTTACGTAGAGAGGGGGTTGTAGAAAATATTGTGTAAATGTATGTTTGCCAACATAAAAATCCAAATTTGTGTCACAAACCTCTTTTTCAATTAACTCCTCTATCGTAATAGTTTCTCCTTTCTCTTCTTTCTTTTGGTCTTTCTTTAAAACAAAACCTAAAAAAAAAAACAGCTTGTGTAAAAAAATTTTTTAAAAAGCTTTTTTTTTTTACTCATTTAAGAATTTTAATTATCTAATGTATATGTATGATTACCTGAAAGGGCACTTCACTTGCTGGTGGACAATACTTGTACTCTATTAACCTAAGACAAGGATCATTATTTTTTTTTTGGGGGGGGGGGGTGTTTAAATCAATCCCTGATCTTAGCTGATCTTACCTGGGGGTAGACAATGTTTGTAGTGACATTTCTTCCCTCCATTGGGACATTCCCAAAACCAGCCATATTTGCTTGATTCCACAGCTTCTAGGAAATATTTACATATCTACAGAAGAAAATGTGAAAAAAAAAATTATGAAAGTATACCATACGTCATCCTTTTACAGGCTTTGCCATTATCCGAAATATCAAGCTATCGTTGATGCCCTAATATACCCTACAAACTAGACAATGATTCTGTTATCATGTTCTCTGTGTTTTGTGTTTACCAGTGATACTTACAATTGTGGTTTTGGGTAGTGACTTTTTGTGTTTACTAGTGGTACTTAAAATTGTGGTTTTGGGTAGTGACTTTTTGTGTTTACTAGTGGTACTTACAATGGTTGTTTTGGGTAGTGACTTTTTGTGTTTACCAGTAGTACTTACAATTGTTGTTTTAGGTAGCGACTTTTTGTGTTTACCAGTAGGACTTATAATTGTGGTTTTGGGTAGTGACTTTTTGTGTTTACCAGTAGTACTTATAATTGTGGTTTTGGGTAGTGACTTTTCCTATTCTCCGTGTTTACAGCAGTACTTATAATTGGGGATTTGGGTTGTGATTTTTCCTATTCTCCGTGTTTACCAGCAGTACTTACAATGGTGGTTTTGGGTAGTGACTTTTCCTGTTCTCCGTGTTTCTTGTTTACGACATCTCTGAGTTGATCTTCGTCCCAATTCTCCATTGTATCTGCAGTGAACAGTGTAATTTACTTTACCACACAGATTACAACAAAATGACCTAACAAGGTGGAGACTAGCTTATTGAACATATCTAAGCCTTTGATATGAAAATACTTGAAGTTTAATATCTAAACATTGATATCAAGTGTAAGTAAGATATGCTTTCAAAAAATAAAATTGTTTAAGCATATTTTTTCAGAAATGTTCAAGTATCGCTTTAAATTTGTTGAATTCTGATCTTGGGAATGGAACAAAAAAAGGAAATCTGCATAATTTTTGACACAGAGGAAATAACTCTATAGAAATGTAATTAATCAGTACTGTAGATTCCTTTAATATATTTTACATTGCAGGTATTGATTCTCGCAAAATTACCTGAGAATAACTTAAGGAATCAACAGTAAGTTCACCTACCCTCCTCCCTGGAATCAGCGTATATATTGATCTTCTCTCCTTTCCTGTCTATGTTCAGGTCATGTGAAAATTTACACTTAGCTCCCTTTGAGCACTGTCCTTGTTTAAAAAATGCACACAACACAGATTTGGGATCAGCACCTAAAATCAACAGAAAAAAGTTGATTGTTAACGGTGATTTACTTACCCAATACTGTTATTTATTAGTAATCTAGTTTTATTAAAGCTTACTTTAAAGTAAGGCTGAGGCAATACAACTTTTTCTATATTGATACTTATGAGAGCACCTTCAGTTTATGCTTATTAGGAAAATTTGTTGTTTGCAATAGAATAAGACAAATTTCATTTGATAACGTTTTAACATAAACCAACATGTGTTGAAAAAATTTCGTGACAATTGATTTTAAAATTTTCTATCAATTGTGGCTGACATGTTGCCATCAGCATCAATTTTCAAAAGTCGTCAACTATCATATCAATAATTCTACCTTTAGAGTTTAGCTGGCCTGAACAAGATGTTCTGTTCTTCTCTAGCATAAATCTACTGTGTGATTATTAAAAATAAAAGTTGAAATCCAACCTTTGGAGATTGTTTGTACAGGCCTGAATAAAGTGTTTAGCTCTTCAGCTTCTTTTTTCTTGTCCAATTTCTTCTTTCCCTTTTCTGCTTCCAGCTGTGCCTAAATATACAGTACAAGTCTGATGAGACATACAACATTTAAAAACAAGCAATAAAACTGTACTGTCTGTACTGTTTTCAGTCAGACATTTTGAACGAAACAGAACGAGAACTTTCTTATGATGAAACTTTGCTTTTTCTGGTTTGTTGTATCGATATTAAAGGAAGAGAAAAGCAGCACCTGGACTTTCTTAAGTTTCATATTTACAAAACCATGTAACTTGGTGTCTTCTAAGCCAATTTTACTGAAATCAAAACTATAAAAAGAGTAACCTTTAGCAGTTTTATATTTTTATTTTTTTTTTTACGAGTGGTGTAAATATTCACTTTTACACCAAAAACATAACCTTGGTTTAAATATCATCTTACCGGTAGTTCAGTTTCAGTATGATTCCAGAATTCAGTTCAGATAAGGCTTACTTTTATAATCTACTTATTTTTGCTGTGTATTTTTACTAAATCAACTACAAAATTTATTTTAATATCATTTTCCAATAAATTTACACACAGAAATGTAAATGGAAAAAGTACCACTACAGCGTCTTCACAAGTCTTAAATCAGAGATTCTGCTGTTTACAGAACAAAAAGATTCATTACCTGTGTGTTGTAATATTCAATAAGAACACCCTACAGGTGTAACTCCTTACCAATTTACTGGCCTTCTGGTTCCCAAACTTGACCTGCTGGGTGACATTCTGTATGTACTTCTGCTGTTTGGCTCCCTTCTTGTTTTTTAAACCAAAAGTTTTGTCCTAAAATTTATCAATCTAATATCAGTCATTTCAATCATTGTTTTTTTAACGTACCTGAATCACAACAGGCTCAAAGGCCACATTGAATAACCTAAACACACTGGTTAGAAAAAAAGCACAAATTAGTTCAGTATTGAACAACTTACAGGGAGGGGGGTGAATTTAAAACTACATGAGGATGCTTCCATATTAATATAACAAATAGCTTTGCTGTTCTTGAGCAGAATTTTTTTTTAGGTTATCGTTTGAATAAACTTGAACTTTATACACTAAGTAAAAAGGGATCTCTTAAGTTAAAACTTTACTGACCTAAGGATTCTTGAAATTAAGATTTTTATAAAATATGCCACCCAATTTTCACTATTTCTGAATTATCTCCCCTTGAATGAGGCTCTAGTCCTCTATTTTTTTTTTCAAATTAATCCCTTCTTCCCAAGCATGCCTTATGTCATTTAAAATTTGATTGAAATTGGTCCCAAAGTTCCAGAGAAGAAGTCGAAAACATGAAAAAAAAATTACAGAAAGACAGACAGCTAGACAGACAAAATGTGATCAGAATAAGTCACTCGAGTTTTCAGAACAGGAGAGCAGAAAAGAAAAATTCCTAGGCTTTCCTTAACAAAGTTGAATAAAAATCATAGTAGGTTATAAACACAGGCCTTTGGTTCCCTAAAAAAATAAGTGTGTAAAAAAAATAAAGGTATGGAACTCTTACAGTGGGTGCCCAATTTCGCTAACAAAATATCTTTTTTATCAAATGCTCTTAAATTTTACTTTCTATTAAATTCTATTCAGAGATAAACAATTCTCATTTCTACCAAAGCTCATCCCAAAATTCCATATACTTCTCAAAATATTCTGATATCAATTCCCAAAATGACCTAATTTTTTTTTTTTACACGACATTAGTTTGGGCCCCTAGTCATTCAAATGTAAACAGACGGTGCTTGAAGTGCAGCGAAGAGTTGCATAGTATTTGCAAAATCTTTCAAAATTTTAAAGTTGATTTCTTCCTCCAAATTGTAAGATTAAGTCCATAATAATTCCTTTCACGAGAAATTAATTTGAAAATGTTTATATCCACAACTGCACCGCCATGTTGATTATGAATATAAAAGAGGCTATGGTTGAACGAATTTTTCCCAGAATGTATAATTTACCTTTCGATTTTAAAAACAATTAGACCGATAAAATTTTGTTGGTGACTTAGTAAGCTCATATGATCAAATTAAAGAAAATCTTGTACGCTCAAATGCAAATGAGGCAAATATGCATTGGTTATAGAATAAATTCCGGTGAAAATTTGTCCTATTGTTCTCATTTAACAATTAATTTAGTTCTTCAAAGGCCCAAGCTGATGTCAAGTAAAAAATTAAGATCAATTTTGGGATTGATTTCAGAATATCTCGAGAAGTATACGGAATGAATTTTGGTAGTAATGAAGATTGTTTATATTATATAAATAGATATGGATAGTAAGTAAAATTGTAAAGCATTTGATTTAAAAGAATTTTATTGGCGAAAGTAGGTACCCTATGTAAAAAGTTCCATACCTTTTATTTTTTTTTTTCCACCTCAGTTTTTTTTTTCTAAGCGATCTAACGGCCTGTGGTTATAAATATTCAATAAAAACAAAATATGGGCCTATAAATCTATTTCTTTGGAATTGAAAAACCATATATCCTGACATGGTCTTCCGATATTTTAAAGGAGAAAAAAGCATGTAAAAGATATCAAACTGTAGGTCTTTTTAAGTTCAAGGATCTCTCTATCATTGGTTTGTTTATGACAAATATCTCTATGTATCGATAGTTTTCAATAGACCCAAGTTAACAAGAGTTATTTCCCATTGGCCGCCATATTGGGGGGGGGGGGGTTCAACATGCTCATACCATTCCTTCTTCACTCAAACAACTTTAACTTTTTACACTGGAAATTGCAGGGTAGGAAGCATTGTTTTCTGAAAAATATACATTTGTTAGAGCCTACTTTATTTCATAATTTTTATTCCATTAAGATTTCCCCCAAAATATTTCTGCTACACCTTCTTATATTTGGTAGGACAAAGATGGAAAATTACCAGGTTGACCCCCAATATGGCAGCCAATGGGAAATAACTCCTGTTAATTCTGGTCTACTGAAAACTTTCTATAGTTTGTATACAATGTTGTATATACTCCCATGTACATCTGTTTAACAGGTCCAGCACAATACCCCGATAAAGGTATATAGCTTGATAAAGCTATATAGCTTTATCAAGGTATTTAAAATACCTTGATCAAGGTCTTTTATGTAATGAAAATTCAAAAAATTTCTTTATAAATTAAATACTGAAAGTCGAGTTCTGAGTTATTGTAAGTGTGTCTACTTGTGCATGAAAAACACTCTGGTATCAAAAGGAAAGCCTAAAATAACGCCTCCTCACACGACACGTTTTTCTACTGATTTGTTTGAGTTTGAGTACTTTACATGCATGGGTGAATTCACTGACAACAACTCAGAACTCGACTTTCAGTAATTAATTTTTAAAGAATTTTTTAAAATTTTCATTACATGAAATACCTTGATCAAGGTATTTTAAATACCTTGATAAAGCTATATATCTTTATCAAGCTATATACCTTTATCGGGGTATTGTGCTGGACCTGTTTAACATGTCATACCTAGTCATATTATATGACTGTCAGTCACTGGCTGTCATATCTTTGAAATATTATAAATCTTCTTCAATATGCCTGCCACTGAACATTTCTTTCATAAAAATTTATTGATGTCAACCTAGATAGAGTAGTTTCATATGATCTCTTGTTTATTGATATACTGTGCCTGATAATTGTCATTCTGGGAATCTTTTTTAAAACAGAGTTGGGCGATTTACCTCTATAACCTTGTCCTTTTTCTTTTCAACCGTCTTTTTGCCAGGTTCATTTTTCTTTGGTGGCATTTTGACTCATAAATATAGCTTTTCTTTCGCGGTTTGTTGCAAAGTCTGGCGAAATGTGCCTCGAGAAAATTTAATCGGAAGTGACAATTTAAGGAGAACGCCGATCCCGATAGAAAAGGCTCTCTCTCTCTCTCGTTATGTTATCCCAGCATCTGAAAAAATGGGGTACATATTTTTGGGGCATTTTTTTTATTTTTAAGATAATAAAATATTTTAATAAGCACACGTATTTATAATGCTATTTATTGTTTACAAAAAGATATATTTCCTAGTCGTCGGACGCAAATTAAAAGTAGGAGTGGGTTAATTGAAAGGGGGGCTTAACCAGACATAAATTATTTATGTCTCTGGCTTAACCAAAAAAAAAAAAACGCTTGGGGACGAAGCCCCAAATTTTTAATGCCTATATTATGTCTATCTTTGCAAAAAAGCCCCTCCCCCCTTTTAAGGTTCCGACGCCTATGGTTTCTTATGCAAAATTTATACAAATATCAAATATTTTCTTTCTTGTTACAAACAGAATTACATTGATTGGTAAGGGACAGTATATATATATATATATATATACATGACAATAACATGAGTAAGACAACAAAATAATATAACAACATGATTATAGTCACGTTCAAATTTTGGATAAGAAATATATATATCTTCTTTATTTTCTTTCTGCAAATATGACAATTATACTGTATAAAAGAAAAACATTGCAGAATATCAACTAAAATTTAATCATGTAGAAATTGTAAAAATAGTATATTTTGTAAACGACAGTTTAAAATAAATATCGAAAATCAATTATGTTTCATTAGTGTAGAATTGCAAAATTAGGATTTTTTCACAGTAAGTACTTATTTTTTGAACGACTGATACGAATGGCTTTTTTCCTCACAGTTTATATCATACATGTACATGTGTATTAAGTGTTTTTTTAGCATCCTGTCTGAAAAAAAACAAAGAAAAGAAGTCGGACCGAATTATATAAGGTCTAGAGGTCGGGAGATTAAGAAAATAATTATTGGCTATCGATGTGTGGGGCGTATAAAGTATACACATAAACTGATAAACAACCCTTAGTCGTTCTAATATAAAGTCATGCAGTTCCCTGGCTCGGTGTCTTTCTTTCGCAGTACGCGTGATTCCGATCAATAACCGTGGAATTGATTTTGAGATGTATTGCCTCCGCCCCTACAAATCAATGCTTCAAGATGCTACCTGTTCAAGGTAATAGGGAGTGATATATTGGCAAAAGAATCTGTCCGTAACTGATGCTTTCTGATTAAATTCTATGATTCCTGGCTGGTAAGGCTTCAAAAACAGACAAAGAGAAGATCGCGGTGTGGGATTTCCTGGGATATTATTAGTGTGTGTTTTCATTAGATGTAATTATTTTGGCGAACAAGTGATTCCGCGGCGAGGAATGTGCATTAGATTAATGAAAACAGCTGGAAAATGCAAACATCTGTACTGCATGCTAGTTCTCACATCGGAATGCTCCGCCAGCGCCTTTTCGTGTCTTGTAACATTATATATTATATAAGTGAATAAGTCTGTGTCATGGAGTAATCCCGGGATGTGATAGAATTAATTGGGTTCTGACTCTAGACTGTCCTTAAGTGTAATGAAACCTTTTACATTGTTAATTTACTCCTCTAAATGCAATTCTTGGAAATGTCTCGAGACAATTCAGCGATGCGCATATTCTTTGTTCGGTGATTTATTCCAGAGGACATGGGATCCAGAGACTGAGCGCTATTTGATACGTACACTGGTGCAATGATGAATATTACAGCTGAGAATGTTGTGGACGGTTTTAACGACGAGATGTCAGACAATAATCTCAAGATGGGCACGCTACTCGGAGTGTTGGCGCCCATTTTGGTGGTGGTTGTGATGTTTATTATTCTACTTTTTTCGTTCTATAACTTTCACAGACGACTTCATCTTAAAAAGAAACACCATATCGACTATATCCGGGCTAATCTTCCCCTGAAGCGCCCGAGAATCTCGCCCCCTACCATGAACACCTTTAGAGCGCTCGACTGGAAACGCGGGAGCGCTGGCAACGAATCGTACTCAGGTTATTCGTATGTGTGTGTTCCTAAGGAAGATATTAGTGAACATGAAACAGAGAATCGTAATGCAAAAAGTTCAAACAATGAAACTGAAACAAAAGTGAATTCAGATAAATGTGAGAGGACTAGTTCCAGGGTCAAAAGATCATCGAGCGCGCGGTGGAAATATGGGGACAAATTTGAAAAATACCGTTTTGAACTTGTCCCTACATTATGTCAACCAGAATCGGATTATCTTCCAGGAGATGAATTAGTTAGTATACAGTGTTAATGTGATTAATTTTCCACACCATCATCATTGCTTTCTTCTCAACTACACTTTGGTAATTTTTGGCAATTAGGTTTTAGCTATACTTTAAACGTGTTCGATTATTATATCCAGTATATTTTCTTAGCAATCGTTTTTCCTTTTATTCGATTTATTGACCTAAAGTTATAAAAAAGATCTTTGAAAACAATTTGCGGAAATCTAAAGAAAAGAATTTTTTCAAAGTGAAAAATTCTGTTCAGAGGCAGACATGTTGCGGCTTATTCCAGCAGCAAGTACAATATTTATTACAGGAACGATACAAAACACGGACAATATAAACGAACATTGACAAAGACCATTTAAACAGACTAGACTTAATAGTTACCAAATCATTTTATTACTTTAAATATCGAATAGCTAAATATTTGACAGCTAGGCTAGGTAGAAGTGCGAGTTGTGAGTGAAAAGAAGGGATGAGAGTAGAATTTGAAGTCATGTGACTGGCTGTCCAGTGCCTATAGTAAAATCATTACAATCTCTTTCATACCCAATAAATACTCGTATATACATGAACTTAAGTACTGAGCACAAGATGTAATTGTATATTTGTTATTTAAATACATAACTCTGTTACATTTGAATATTTCTCAGATGTATTTATTGCTTGCAAATATCAGGTATCTTAGATTAAGATGATATAGAAGCTTTCATGTATCCTGTTTTTAAGTCTGTGCCCCTACTCCTGATGATGTGGGCTTTTGTTTGTAGGGCATACTGCCCAATCCAATTTTGTTACTGTTTGTTATCAATTTTTTCTTAATTTTTATTTTGAAATAAAAAAGGTTGTTGAGATTCTATTTCTGTCCAATGTTTTATTTCTCTTATATTAATGGCGCCGTATGTGCTATGTTACCTGAAATTTCACAATCAAAGTACTAAAAGTACTGAAGCAATTATCGACAGTAGCTAAAATAAAATTGTGAGCTTTTCTGCATTATATGTATATTTTTTAATTATTTACATAAAAATATAAAGCATCGTGGAAGTCATACACACCAGGGAAGCTAAGACGTTAACAACAAATTTTATTCAAATAACTTAAGTAAATATTCCCATTTTTACATTACAATGCCGATTTACCCTTTTATTTGATGTGTCGTTGATGACATTTTATGAACTGAAAAAGATATATTTTACTGTTACCCATTAAAAAAATATATAACCACAGAAAATGATACATATATACATTCATGGATATAGTTGTGCAGTGTAAAATGTTTCGAGCTCTATATAGAAGTCCCTCCACCTTTGAAGGAAATATTGTACAATGTACATGTAGATCATAAAATGTAGCGATCAGAGAAGTCGATCCCTTTTTGGATGGCCGCGGATATGCCAGACAGACTCGTGTTACCTTGAAATTTGGAAATTAGTTATTGATTCATGTAAATGTCACTGACACCCGACGGAATTTAGTGTATTCTGTGCACTTTTATCATGTACGATTAACAACTTGGAACGCGCGCCTGTTTGGCGAAACTGAACACTCCTTGTTCAGTGTTCATCAAATTTCATTTATGTATAAGGAGTCGTTAATTGTGTTGCTGATTCCTATCTTCGTTTAATGATCAAACTAAAGAAAAAATATTCAGTTATTGACGTCATATCTCGATCAGCACGAAACCTCAAACTCTTAAAGGGAACAGTCTACATTAATTACTATGACTTTGACAAGAAACAGTTTAGTTCTATACCACACTGGACTTCCCCCTTGCCGGCTTTAATTACGGCATGGCCATGTTTGATAAGAACAAATGTGTGGAGTTTATAGAACTGTAGAATTAGACAAGAATAATTGATAAAGTTCCAAATGGTTCCATAATTATCGTGACACTCGGATATTAATCACTCAGCAGCATGTGTAAACATCAAAGATGACATTCTGTTGGGAATTCGAAAGTCCGAATGCATATATAGGCATTATATTAGATTTTATCCATTCAGTTTTTATCAGTATTCCTCGCTGATCGGAAGTGTCCTAACATTTTGGATTCTTCATACAAAATTTTAATGTTCATAACACTGTTTGATAAACCAATCAATGATCGGTGTACCGCTCTCAAGTTCCCACCTTTGTTTTTCTGGCACCTCATTCCCTGGCATTGCCATCATAAACTCTAAGTTTTAACTCTTCCAAGATTGATTTTGATTCAATTCACAATATTCGTGGGGCATTTAATAATTTAAGAGATTTTAAGGTCAAATACCACATTTTGAAAAGTGTCATAAACTTTCAAGTGTATCAGTAAATGGAAAATGGTCAGATCAAAGTAAGATTCGCTTCTGAGCTATCTGAACCCAGGTGAATGAACCTGTATGTTCTCCACATTTCTTTCTCCTTAAATGCCTTTGCCCATGAAGACAAGTAACCCAGATTCTTTTGCCTCTGGCATCACCCCTACATGTAAGTCAGAGAAGGTGCTGAAAGAACCAAACGACCCACCCGAAACCCCTGATCTACACACCTGATAACTCAAAGTACCACATTTATCTCAAATCCTGGTCACGGCACCAAATTGTAAGTGAAAGAAAGTGTGACAGGATCAACATACCAGGATTCGAACCAAGGGTTCCCGCACAAATAGTTAAGTGCTTTAGCAACTGAGCTGTCTGGCGAACGGACGTGACGAAAACTACAAATCTGATACTTACACGTGTCTTTGCCATTAACAAGTGACCTTAAATTAAATAAGAGGTAAGCATCCATATGTAGCACCACTGAGAGTAGTAAAGAAACATTGCTTGCATTCAACTGAAAAGTTGGGTTAATTTATTTTGAGAATAATTATAAAATGGATTGAAATTAATCGATGAGCATGCAGATCCACATTTTACATAGAGTCATTGAATTATGTAGGTGTATATTAAAGCCATATATGGCGTATGTACAATGAAAATTATTAGACTAAAATTATAAGAACTTATTATTTGTATCATTACTTTATATAAAGAAAATGTAAATTACAAAATCTAAGTCAATTGCGTTATAAAGATATCACAATTTAATTTGGATTCTCGGAATTTTCTCCGACTCGGAAGAAAATACAAAAGATTTAAATAACACATTTCAGAGAAGATAAAATCGTATTATTAGATGAAACGAGGTGTTCTCCGTGTTCGGAATTGTATGAAAAGCTTTAATTTAAATGTATTAACTATAATTTTGTATTTTTCAAAAATGTATTTTTTTTGATCAGTTACGCCATATATGGCTTTAAGTGTTCTAAAAGTGAGTTCTTCGTTGAAGTCAACTGTCAATATGGTTAATGTGTGATATTACATGTAGTACCAGTTGATTTTGTTCATTAATTATTAAAATATCTATCAGACTATCTACCTATTAATTAAATGCCAAAAGCCTACTTTAGCTAGTAGCTGTTGTTTCACAAGTCATATTGACTGGCTATATTTTATTATTACGTGTTACAGAATTTTAAATTTTGTCTACGCCACATCTAATCAATAAACTTCTGTTTCAATGTTGTTATCTGCATTTTTAACAAATTGCAATAAAACTTTTTTTTGTCCCGTACGTAGTCTATGCCCTTGCGACCTACTATACGTATCACAATTCAAGGAGAAACGCTAATTGGTTACATCAACAAAATCTCATTTTCTAATTTCATTTATATTCATTACTCATTTTAATTGCAATATAAGTGATGAAGAGAAGTGGATTTAATTGTACCATAAGGCGATTTCCTGTCATTCCAAGTTTCAGAGGCAATTTAGCGTTATTCTGACGTCATCGTTTGTACATTAAGGAAACTTGTAAGTGAAAGAACATAGCGCCATGACATCGGTAACAGATATAGTGGCTCTCATTACCTTTCATGTTATTCCCCCGTAAATATGGCTAATTTGAGATATACTTTTATTAATTATTAATTACTCTACACCGAATATGATTCATCTTCCACGGGAAGTTCGGTTTATTTTCGCAGACTCTCTGGTGCAACATAAAATATTCTGAGCTTTAGCTTTGGTTGCCTTCATGAAAACCTTCATCTATGCAATTGCGTCAGAAGTTTTTGCATCGGACAGGTTTTAGTCTTTTAAAAACATTTTTGAATCAATGTAATGAGAAGATGGAGGAACGTTTCTTATTTAAAAATCTCGAAAATATCATTTTAAAAACATATAAATTCCTTATACGTTTTTGTAAAAAAAAAAAATGCTGCTAGATTTTGTTTACTTTATATGCTAAAAATGTACAAGAAAGAACCTCGACACCAAATTGATAGCCTTTCCTTTAATATATTTCACGTCAGATGGGGGGGGGGGGGGGTGGTCTGGAAACACTTAAGGTGGGATCAGTTGCCTAGCTGGAGTAGCATCCCTTGTCGACTGTCAGAGATCAATGTATAGCTAGTGAAGACAGTGTTCTCAGTAGTCAATTATGTACAAGAACATTGACCTAAAAATGGTCAAAAGACTTTAGGCTGAATTTAAACACGGATTTTGAAATCCCTGTAACCTCAACTCATTTGCCCTCAGCTTGTCTCGTTTAAAAAAAAAAAGAACGTTCTGAGAGCATAATATTGCATATCGTATCAGGAGGGGCATAAACACCATTTGCCAGTGATGCTGGAATATAACCACATAAAAAGGGAAATTTTGTCATCCCCTTTGTCAGACGACTCTTTTATTTGTATGCTTTATCGTCTATAGAAAGTAAAATATCCAAATATGAAACAAGTGAGTCTTTTTTTTTAATGCACTAGGATATTTCGAGTGGACGAGTTCAACATTCTTTATCAATGATAAAAATAGAAATCAATATTCTATACATATTTCGTCATCTTCATTAAAATAATAGCAATGGGTAGGTGTGTTTATTTTGTAAAATTCAGCTTAGAAATAGATTAACCGTAAACAATGGGAATCCATGTTTGAAACGTAAATAATTATTAAAATTAAACATGGACGTGTATAACTGTGTAACTATAATTATAAAAACGTGCTTGTCTTATAAAATATTAAACTTATTTATCACTGATTTTAAGGATTCCTTTTAAACTCTATTCAGACATGTTAACCCCCCCCCCTCCCGATTTCATTCCAATGGTTTTTGTCATGTTCTCTGACAACCTGCTAGAGTTAGGCATATTTATTGACAGGTTTCAAAACAAATTCAGGGAGATTTGCTTAACTAATTTTAAGTTTCGCAAACAGTATTAGAAATGTTTACTAGGATGAGTCCACAAACGCCTTCTTTTTATCCGGGAAATGGCGAGAGCGGAGCAGCTGTTCAATCAGAATTTACTTTAGGCAATCAAGAGTCGGACTTCTGTTCTTTACACCTTTTAAATTTTTAATATTATTGTTTATATTTATAGGGGAGGCAATATGTCATCTTTAAAATTTTAGAAATATGTTTTGATCCGTGCTCCGGCTAAATGAGCTATTATTTACTTACTTCTATCCCCCTTTTTTTAAGTAAACTTTGTGTGAAATTCCCAAAACGCATTTTTTTCTAATTCATTTTTAGGTTATAAAAATAATACCTTTATATGCTTATTTTTACACAGGAGAGGCAAAAATGTAAAAAATTTTATTTTGATGTAATGCTAAAAAGAAACAAAAATGTCAAATCACATTCAAAATCATCAGGTATTTAATTCATATCACTTGTATCTTTAAAATGAAGGCAAATTCATTGGACGTGAAAAATTATAATGGAGCAAATTACCGCTGTTGTATTTGTTAAATTTAATAACAGGTTTGTTATGTGTGAAAATGTTACACTGATTTAATATGTCAACAATGTTTCCGGAATTCCGTCATTAGTGTATTCCTTAAGCGGTCTATTTGCACACGTATTCTTTAAAGAAAAGTGTCCTTTAAGCAAAACAGAGCTTGTATTCAAAGGGTTAAAAGAAAAATGATTTAAACTATAAACGAAACAAAAGATCGTAATTCAATCAACCGTATTCTTGACTTACGTTGAATGCAAAAGTTAGTGTCCCAATTTACAGACATCGTTGAAAATTCCATTTTGAAAGGAAATTAATAGGAAATTTAATTTTGTTCTTTAAGGGGAAAGAAGTTGATCACCATTTACCAAGTTTGACTTCGTACTGCTGAATTATCAAGGTAAAAATGAACTTCTTAGTAGTTTTTAAAACACTGGATGTGCATTGTGCAATGTAGCAAATGGGTTCATTGAATTAAATTCTCGTTATAATGTGTTCTTTCCATCATAATTTAACGAAAAGTTCACCGTTTCTCATTTTTTAACTGTCATCTCAACCTTACAGAAACATTGAAACAATAGAAGAAGGTCGAGAGATTCGGAGATGCTCCTCGTACTCGAATAAAATTTGGTTGGTGAATGTGCATGGACTAAGAATAAACATAAAAGATTCAATTACTTATGTTTTTGTGTTTAACTTCCATTAACTGTAAATTCATTGTAAATTTATGCAGTTTTACTGCATGACATTGTGCAATATATTAAATTAAAAAATTTTCTGATGATGAAGTGACTCATTTTTTGAGTGTAATGACCCATGAGACCATTTTGGCGACCAATGTTTTTCGCTAACCTGAGTCAAATTAGTTCTTTCGTTTTCCCCAAATACACATTGTAGAGTAGGTATCGGATCGGAAACCCTTGGCTAGCGAAGATGTTGTAGAGTTATGTACCCATGAGACCATTTTGGCGACCAAATTTTTTGGCTAGCGAAGATGCAAATACAATACGGAACCAAATTTAAAATACAAGTATAATCAGGGCTTTTGTTATCTTGAAAATAATTAATTTCTATGTTATTATTTGATTAATGCTTATTGTGGCCCCACTCTATGATTTGAACAAGTTTGAACCTAAACACAACTTGATGATGCTGTCATATTTTGTATGACTAAGTAGGGTTTACTGTTCTTGAAAGGAAGGTTTAAAAAATAACATTGATTGATTACCTTTACCGATCTTTCTCCATCATCGGGGCTTTGTCGTTCTCAAGACCATTTTTAGAGATTAAATTGATTCTTTTATATTCCCATGTAAAACTTAGATCACTTATTGTAATCCAACCCTACCTTAATGGGTCGTAATTTGAAGAAAAACTGAGTCTACACATTGCCATGAGCTTTCAGATGAATCATCTTTTCAAACCTAAAGTTTCTTGAGAGGGAGACTTTAATTGGATGCCAAAACATTATCACTTAATCTTATTTAATTATCTCACCTTGAAAGAGGTGTGACTCGTGCTTTGAGGCAAGATTGGTCAAAATTGACTTCTAGTGTTCTTCAAGTCAAAATTGTGAAAAGTTTACTTCAAAAACGATCCTTCTGCTCAGACGAGCTATAAAAAATGTTATCTTGAATGGTTCACAGTTACCTGTCCAAAACATCGAAATCTTAGGATGTTTCATTAAATTTTAACAAAATCATAGATGGTACATTTTCAATGCAATGAAAATATCAGATTAGTACTATGGGCACAAAAAGCTTTCTCTCTGCTTTACAGATCACAAAGGACACGAAGCTTTTAAATGGCACAAAAGAGTCAGAGAAACCCACAAACCAGAAGCTGGGGAGGTAGGAGACGTGAGGAGGGTGACTTAGATCTGGAATTTTCCCACAAAATAAACTGTCGGGGCAAGAAAGATAAGAACGAATGCTCCATTCAAAAAGTGTGCAGTTTCCGAGACGGGAAGTACGTTATGTTTGATGAGAAGAACAGCAAGATTAAGTTGTTTGACCGCCATTTTAACTTCCTGCTGGACGCTGCTGTCCCATCAGACTGCCGAGATATGACCTACACCAGCGAAAACGAAATCGCTCTTACACAACAGGACAGCATCATTTTTGTCAACGTGGATGATCATAGATTCAAGAACTCTAGAAAGAAGTTCACAATCCCAGGAAATTCCCAATGTTTTGGCCTTGTTTACGGTAAATCACGTCTGTTTGTGACGTGTGACATTATGGATCCTGATGCTACTCTAAGAATGATGGACATGAAAGGAAGGATAAAATTGACCATTGACAGCGTACGAGGTCTTACAGAGAATAAGGATTTCGGAGGATTCACAAGGCCGTTCGGAAAATTTCTTGCCATTTCAGATCCATCGGCAAAGATGGGTTCAATTTATTTGAGTGACAATGAAGGAAGTCGGGTTGTGTGTTGTGACTTTAGCGGGAATTTCCAGTGGGAGGTACCTATGTATGACACGCCTCTTGGTATTGCATCAGTCCGAGATTACGTCATCACGTGTCTCGATAGTAACCAGCTGGGACTAATTCACAAAGATGGCCACTTTGTAAAAACATTTCCAGAGATGAATTTCATACCAAAGAATCTGTTCTATGATATTAACAATGGAAAACTACTTGTGACTGAATCTGGGGTTTCTGATTTTATACATGCATATGACATAAAAATATCACAAGAAAATTAAGATTTCTGAAACAATTAGAAATGACACAACCTACTGTCATACTGTCATAAATTGTAAAATCACTGGAATATTCATATTAAATAAAAAAGACGGGCATACTTTCTTTCATCAATTTCAAGTTTAATGATACCAAAGCATGGAGTACATAGAATATATGGTTCAATTGTATAAGATTATGGAATTCCTCTTAAATCAGATCCCTAAAATATAAATGAGCACTCTCAAAGTATCTGATGCAATGACTGAATCACCGCAAAAAATATCACGTATATAAGCATAGACTTCTCTGTAAATAAATGTCTCAAAATACTTTATAAATATTATGAACATATTCTTATAGCAAAGCAATAGGAAAATAGATATTTAATGAATATGAAAGTGTTAATAAATTACTATATACATGTACAAATAACAAACTCATTTAGAATGAAATCGTTCAAAACGTTTACAGAAAGTAATGAAGGAACAAAAATGGCATGTTGGGAATGATGTTGGCAGTGCATTCTGGGAGATTGCCATGGTAACACTAGAGGATGATTTGGTTCTTGCAGCTTCCACTGAGTGATTTGTCGGGTAACACTATGGCATTCAGTAAGATCACCTCAGAGGGTACCTGTACATTACTCCCTATAAAGGAAAGAAATAATAAAATTATTTACTAGTTAACATCCTGCGATATAGGCCCCAACAAATGTACACTATTGATATGACGAACTTTCAAAATCAGGATTTTTTTTAACAAAAACAAACTTTATCTGTTTTTGATTTTAAAAAATGATCCTTTTATTTTTCTTACTTTGAACTTAATACAAATACAGCTGTACCTCTTTCAATAATGGGATGGATTTGCATTTTCCGCACTCAATATTATAGATGTATATGTTTATGAACCTATGTGAGTATACAAGCTATATAACTCACCAATGACAGTGATGGATGGATTGAGTTTCCCCTCAGGACTAAATGTGTCCTTGACATCGACTTTGGCAAATGGTTTGTTGGGGTTGGGGTCATTAGGTGTGCCTTCCACACGAGTCCACATTCCTATGGTAACGTTCCAGCCAATCACGCTGTACAGCACACAGCAGTTATCCTACAATACAAACGAGCGGGATTCACGATAAAGTCACCATAGGATTACAATAATGATATTACCCATCTCAAATTACATTTAAAGCCTAAGACATATCAACTACATGTACTAGTACTTGGAACATCGTGTCATACAGCATTATATCTTATGAGTGTACCTGTAGAACAGCGCCCTCTAGAACAATGGATTCCCTGACCCTCACACCTTCTCCAATCACAGCATGTTTACCAACACTTACATTGGGACCAAGCTACAAATCAGAATATCAACAAATTAGGAGAAATTCATTTCATTAGAGTATTCAGAAACTTTTGTCTAGAAAGTGGCAAATAAATGCTTCTTACTTTTAAAATGACTATTAATCAAACAAAAAAGACTGTTCAATTTAAACAAGAGGCCCATGGGCCTTATAGGTCACCTGAGCATTATGCAACAACTTTCCAGTGATTGAATTTGATTCATGTTTTAAGCCAGATGCTATGCTATTCACAATTTTGAAAGAGGCACCATTGATCATCATAACAATACACTTAGCAGTTGCTTAGTTTGTTTACTTAATACCAATAGGCAGGGTAGGGGAACAAAAAATGCATTTCAAGTAATCAGTAATATTCAGTAATAATCAGTAATGCCCCTATCACACATGAACCCCTGACCCTTAAGCCTAGATACACACATTGCACAATTTTTGAAAAGGCACCCTTGCTTTTCAAAAATATTTGATTAATACCAAGGAGCAGAATTCAAACAATTCATCCAGTTTCAGTATATAAGTACAGCCTCCTCCCCCCCCCCCCATGGTACCCCTGACCCTAGGGGCTTGAAATTCACAATTCTGGAAGATTAGTGCCCTTGCTCATCATAACTATATAGGAGCAGAGAAGAAGATTTTCAAAGAATTCATGTATTTTCACTATACAATCAATAGAGCCCCACCCTAACACCAGAACCCCTGACCCTGGGGCCATAAAATTCACAATTTTGGTACAGGCACTCTTGATCATCATATTGATGCACTTAGTTAGTTTATTTAATACGCAGGAGCAGAGAAGAAGATTTTCAAAGAATTCATGTATTTTCACTATATAATCAATAGAGCCCCACCCTAACACCTGAACCCCTGACCCTGGGGCCATAAAATTCACAATTTTGGTAGAAGTACTCTTGCTCATCATAACTATGCACTTAGTTAGTTTATTTAATACCCAGGAGCAGAGAAGATTTTCAAAGAATTCATGTATTTGCACTATATAATCTATAGAGCCCCACCCTTGCACCAGAACCCCTGACCCTGGGGCCATAAAATTCACAATTTTGGTAGAGGCACTCTTGCTCATCATAACTATGCACTTAGTTAGTTTATTTAATACGCAGGAGCAGAGAAGAAGATTTTCAAAGAATTCATGTATTTTCACTATATAATCTATAGAGCCCCACCCTAACACCAGAACCCCTGACCCTGGGGCCATAAAATTCACAATTGTGGTAGAGGCACTCTTGCTCATCATAACTATGCACTTAGTTAGTTTATTTAATACCCAGGAGCAGAGAAGAAGATTTTCAAAGAATTCATGTATTTTCACTATATAATCTATAGAGCCCCGCCCTAACACCAGAACCCCTAACCCTGGGGCCATAAAATTCACAATTTTGGTAGAAGTACTCTTGCTCATCATAACTATGCACTTAGTTAGTTTATTTAATACCCAGGAGCAGAGAAGAAGATTTTCAAAGAATTCATGTATTTTCACTATATAATCTATAGAGCCCCACCCTAACACCAAAACCCCTGACCCTGGGGCCATAAAATTCACAATTTTGGTAGAGGCACTCTTGCTCATCATAACTATGTACTTAGTTGGTTTATTTAATACCCAGTAGTAGAGAAGAAGATTTTAAAAGAAATAATGCATTTTCACTATATACTTAGCCCCGCCCTAGCACTAGAACCCCTGACCCAGGGGCCATGAATTTCACAATTTTGGTAGAGAATTCAATGCTGATTACAATCATGCAAACAGTTTGACTGCTTGATGTCCAGGAGTAAAGAAGAAGATTTTTAAAGATTGCATTAATTTTAGTGGTTTTTGCCCCACCCCCAGGCCCCAGGGGGGCAGGGACCATGAAATTCACAATTTTTGTTCCCCTTCACCCATAAATGCTTTGTGCCAAATTTGGTTGAAATTGGTTCAGTGGTTGCAGAGAAGAAGATGAAAATGTTCAAATGTTAACGCACGACACACAACACACGACGCACGACGACGGAGGAAAACAGATAGCAATAGGTCACCTGAGTTTACTCAGGTGACCTAAAAATTCATAAAGTAATGAGACATTTGTGTCATTAAAGAGTTACCTCTTTTATCAGAGTATCAATAAACCTTAAAACATGTAGACTTTTCACAATTACATTGTGGTCATAAATGGTAACATTTTATGTAATCTGCTCTTATATGTTTGTGATTTACTTTAAAGAAAACAAGAGGCCCACGGGCCTTATAGGTCACCTGAGCATTATGCAACAACTTTCCAGTTACAGTGTATTGAATTTGATTCATGTTTTAAGCCAGATGCTATATGGCATTCACAATTTTGAAAGAGGCACCATTGATCATCATAACAATACACTTAGCAATTGCTTAGCTTGGTTACTGAATACCCATACGCAGGGTAGGGGAACAAAAATGCACTCCAACTAATCAATAATATTCAGCAATAATCAGTAGTGCCCCTAACACTGTGACATAAACCCCTGACCCTAGGTCCACACTTTGCACAAATTTTTAAAGGCACCCTTAAAATTGCCTATCAAAAAATAAATAAATGTTTTATAAATACAAAGGAGCAGATTTCAAACAATTAATTCATTTTCAGTATATAAGTAGAGCCCCCCCCCTGACCCCGGGGCCTTGAAATGTACAATTCTGCAAGATTAGGGCCCTTGCTCATCATAACTATATAGGTAGTTCATCTGCTTCATACCCAGAGACAGAGAAGAAAATTTTCAAAGAATTCATGTATTTTCATTATATAATCAATAGAGCCCCCCCTAACACCAGAATCCTTGACCCTGGGGCCATAAAATTCACAACTTTTGTAGAGGCACTCTTGCTCATCATAACTATGTACTTAGTTAGTTTATTTAATTCCTATGAGCAGAGAAGAAGATTTTCAAAGAATTCATGTATTTTCACTATATAATCAATAGAACACCCCCTCCCCCCAACACCAGAACCCTTGACAATGGGGACATAAAATTCACAATTTTGGTTGTGGCACTTTTAACTCATTATAACTATGTACTTAGTTAGTTTATTAAATTCTTAGGAGCAGAGAAGAAGATTTTCAAAGAATTCATGTGTTTTCACTTTATAATCAATAGAGCCCCACCCCCCCCAAACACCAGAACCCTTGACGATTGGGCCATAAAATTCTCAATTTTGGTAGAGGCACTCTTGCTCATCATAACTATGCACTTAATTAGTTTATTTAATACATAGGAGCAGAGAAGAAGATTTTCAAAGAATTCATGTATTTCACTATATAATCAATAGAGCCCCCCCCACACCAGAACCCTTTACCCTGGGGCCTTAAAATTCACAATTTTGGTAGAGGCACTCTTGCTCATCATAACTATGTACTTGGTTGGTTTATTTAATACCCAAGGGAAGAGAAGAAGATTTTCAAAGAAATCATGTATTTTCACTATATATAATCAATAGAGCCCCACCCTAACACCAGAACCCCTGACCCTGGGGCCATAAAATTCACAATTTTGGTAGAGGCACCCTTGCTCATCATAACTATGTACTTAGTTGGTTTATCTAATACCCAGGAGCAGAGAAGAAGATTTTCAAAGAAATAATGCTTTTTCACTATATACTTATTTAGCCCCGCCCTAGCACTAGAACCCCTGACCCCAGGGCCATGAATTTCACAATTTTGAAAGAGGACTCAATGTTGATTACAATCATGCTAATGGTTTGACTGCTTGATGTCCAGGAGTAAAGAAGAAGATTTTTAAAGATTGCACTAATTTTAGTGGTTTTGGCCCCACCCCTCAGGCCCCTGGGGGGGCAGGGATCATGAAATTCAAAATTTTTGTTCCCCTTAACCCATAGATGCTTTGTGCCAAATTTGGTTGAAATTGGTTCAGTGGTTGCAGAGAAGAAGCTGAAAATGTTCAAATGTTAACACACGACACACGACGGACGCCGCACGACAGACGAAAACAGATAGCAATAGGTCACCTGAGTTTACTCAGGTGACCTAAAAATAAACACCTTTTTTATTACATCAAAATAACCAACTTAATCAATCAAATACAGGGAATTCAAGTATTTTCAATGCATTTAAATTGGAAGTATTAAGCATTTGTGAATTTTTTTTCTAATTAACTGCACACATAACAAGATAACACAGCATTAATCTGTTAACAATCTGCAGCCTTACCACAGCTGATAAGATAACACTGTGTTAATCTGTTAACAATCTGCGGCCTTACCACAGCTGATAAGATAACACTGTGTTAATCTGTTAACAATCTGCGGCCTTACCAAGGCTGACAAGCTAACACTGTGTTAATCTATTAAAGTGGCACAGTGACGCACAAGGGGGAAAATTGACAAATGTAGAATTTTCGCATGACCTCTGTAAATTTTGTTCAATTCCTTAAAGTATTAGGTTTCAGAAAATTACAGGTTTCAGAACCTAAAAATTAAAATTTTATGGGGAAAAATAAAAGTAAAAATAATTTCTGTCTGCCCCAGAACGAAAATATTGCAATATACCTTGGTACTTCTTCCTTCCTATCATACGCGTGCGCAGAAAAGTGTTTAATAAGTTTCCATAGTTACCATGGTCTCAGGTATCCACGAATGAATATAAGTAAACCAAAAAAATTGATGCAATCTTTTTAAAAAGTTGTTAGAACATATCTCTCACCTTTGCATGCTCCAGTTGAATTTGTTTACAAGTTTGAGCTAAAAATAAGAGAAGCGTGACCTTGACATATACGAAACAACGAAACGGTTAATACAACCTGTGTTTTTCCGGCACTTATATTGTGCAGTCAATTCTTGCAGTTGAATTGTCATAGCTTCGCTATATACTCCTAATTTTCTTAAGTCTTTCTCTGTATGCTACAGAATCTTAAAATTAAGATATGATTTTGACTCACTGTGCCGCTTTAACAATCTGTGGCCTTACCACAGCTGACAAGATAACACTGTGTTAATCTGTTCACAATCTGCGGCCTTACCTTAGCTGTTGCAGATAACACTGTGCTATTATTTTAATAATCTGCCGCCTTACCACAGTGTTATTATATTCACAATCTGTGGCCTTACCACGGCTGTTGGATGGACATCCGCTGTGGGGTGGATGTACACGTCCCCGATGATCTGGGGCTTCAGCTCCCCATTTCTAGCCAGCCTCTCTCTGTGCAGATCCTGGTATAGAGCTAAGTAATGTCGGTTTGCATAAATGGCAGCTCTGAAAGTAAAGGAACAAAGTCATTCAATAGAACTTCTAATCATCAGCAAGATTAATCTATGCAGACCACCGAAATAGCTGTGTGTATACCTCAGAATATGTTATTTACTTAAAGTACATTTATAGGTAGAGTGACAATCTAAGAAATCTAGGCAATTTTCTACCATGAATTTAAAAAAAATATTATGCAGTATTATTGACTGCTGATGTATAAAACTTTTTTTTACAGTAGTAGATATATCTACTATTTCTATATATGTTTACAGTCTTAATAAAAATGGTACCAGTTATATCTACTATTCTAAGACTTCCTGTAACCCCCCTACCCTGTGGTTTTGATCTGGCTCCAGAATCTATCGGTGTGGTACACATACAGCTTCCCTGAACCAGCCATGGGAACAAAGATGTCCTGTTCTAGTCTGATCTTCTCATTCAACTGAAGACTGGGGTCATAGCTGTCAAAAGATGTAGGGGATTAAACATTTTCCACAAAAAATATGGCTACGGTAATAACAAAATAACATACATCTGTAGTTCAAAAAAAAAGATTATAATTCTTAGACTTTTTAAGCCATTGTGTATAAAAGATTGCTATTAAGAAATAAATTCAAGCAAAATAAAAAGAAAGAAAGAAAGAAAAACAAGAGGCCCATGGGCCACATCGCTCACCTGAGCACTAAGGGTAGGAAAAAGTAGAAAATGGCTTTTTATTGTAAAGTTTAAATCCAAAAGTAGTCCCATGACCAATCATGGAATTGCTATTTTTTAGAAAATGATTTTTAAAGAATTTTCTTATATGTATCTTTAAAAACTTTGGTCAGCCATTTTGGCCCCGCCCTACACCTGGGGGTCACGATTTGAACAAACTTGAATCTACACTACTTGAGAATGCTTCCATATAAATATGATGAATTATGGCTTTGTCATTCTTCAGAAGAAGATGTTTAAAGAATTTTCCTATATATTTCTATGTAAAACTTTGATCGGCCATTTTGGCCCCGCCCTACCCCCGGGGGTCATGATTTGAACAAACTTGAATCTGCAATTTTCACTCCTTTATTTTAATAATTTGCACACTACCTGAGCATGCTTCCATATAAATATGATGAATTATGGCTTTGTCATTCTTCAGAAGAAGATGTTTAAAGAATTTTCCTATATTTCTATGTAAAACTTTGGTCGGCCATTTTGGCCCCGCCCTACCCCCAGGGGTCATGATTTGAACAAACTTGAATCTACACTACCTGAGCATGCTTCCATATAAATATGATAAATTATGGCTTTGTCATTTTTGAGAAGAAGATTTTTAAAGAATTTTCCTATATATTTCTATGTAAAACTTTGGTCGGCCATTTTGGCCCCGCCCTACCCCCAGGGGTCATGATTTGAACAAAATTAAATCTACACTACTTGAGCATGCTTCCATATAAATATGATAAATTATGGCTTTGTCATTCTTGAGAAGAAGATTTTTAAAGAATTTTCCTATATATTTCCATTTAAAACTTTGGTCGGCCATTTTGGCCCCGCCCTACCCCCAGGGGTCATGATTTGAATAAACTTGAATCTACACTACCTGAGCATACTTCCATATAAATATGATGAATTATGGCTTTGTCATTCTTGAGAAGAAGATTTTTAAAGAATTTTCCTATATATTTCTATGTAAAACCTAGGTCGGCCATTTTGGCCCCGCCCTACCCCCGGGGGTAATGATTTGAACAAACTTGAATCTACACTACCTGAGGATGTTTCCCCATAAGTTTCATCTTTCCTGGCACAGTGGTTCTTGAGAAGAAGATTTTTAAAATCTGCCACCAAATTTTCATTAATTCCCAATTATCTCCCCTTGAGTAAGGGCGTGGCCCTTCATTTGAACAAACTTGAATCCCCTTTACCCAAAGATACTTTGTGGCAAGTTTGGTTGAAATTGGCACAGCGGTTCTTGAGAAGAAGTCGAAAATGTGAAAAGTTTACAGACAGACGGACAGACAGACGGCCGGACAGACGGACGGACAGACGGACGCCGGACAAAATGTGATCAGAAAAGCTCACTTGAGCTTTCAGCTCAGGTGAGCTAAAAAGAAATTACTGAACCTGATCAATTTTTACAGTCAATTTTAAAAGCTTGTAAGAATAGTTTTCCTGTTTATTAGTATAATTAACATTGTACAACAGAAAAGGCTAGGTGTCTAGATGGGACACTCTTTAATCCCTATGGCATGCAGTTAGACTATTCCCTACACCATTCAATGTTTGCATGCTTTATCTGAATCATAAACAATGAAAGACATCCACTGATAGACATGTACTTTAAGGAAACATATCATGATGTCATCTACTCCTTTTAAAATTTTACAAATCACAAACACCACGATATATTGAGTATTTCTAAAACATTGTGGGTTAAACCTGTTTTCCCAACAATATGAACAAGAGAGGACCATTAGGGTTGACAGACAGAGAAATTGATACTTACTCCCGTTCATGAGACCTCAAATCAAAATGTTCAGTTCAAAGTCATTCTGGGAAGCTTAATTCACAAACATAAATAAAGGCGAGAAAAACAAAATGTGCAATTTCTGTATTGGTAGCTCCTAAGTTACTGCATGTTGGCATTCTTCATGACAATTTAAATGTAGCAAACAAAATCATGCACAATTACCCAGAATAACACCCACTTCCTGTCTGGAAACTGAAAGTACCATAATTCATATTCTGCATCATTCATTCATTCATTCTACAAACTACAGGTCTAATAAATGTCTGTGGTGCCAAGACAGAAGAGAGATAAAGAAGTGTGATGTGTTTTCTTTAATGTGAAACCTCATTTGAAAAATTGAACAAATTCAAGGCCACCTTTTTGTAATTTTAGGATGCAGTGTTTAATCAATGCAATTTTCACTCACTGCAGTTGTAAATATTTTGCATTCATTAAAAACCAGTTATCTATATAAATGTACCTACTATGATCATTATTAAAAGATTAAAGAAAAATATAGCTCAAATATTCTATTCATTCTAACCATGTATACATTTAGTAGTTACATACAGGTTGTTTTGTTACAAATCCTCTAAGCTACAGTGATTATCTCCCCTTTATGTACTGATTATCTCCCTTACTTGTAGTTGTCTTCCTGGTTCTTTTTGAAGATCTTCTCCAGGGTACAGAAAATGTCGGGAGAGAACAAGTAGACCCCACAGTTAATGATGGTACTGATGTAAGTTTCTGGCTTTTCCACATAATGTAAAACCTACAGTAATCAACAGTAGTCTAATGACAAAAAAAGCAAAGCTGATGCATAATCTTTAATTAAATCTGCACTAATTTTAAATAAATGTACTCATTAATTTCATTAAATATTAATACTGAATTTCAGCAAGAGATATGATTTTTTCTTTTTTTTTTTTTTAAATAATTTTAACAAAGAAATTATCAATATCATGATATGCATAGAGAAAATTTCGAAATGTAACTGATGAGCAAAGTTGATGCACATCCTTATCAAACAATACCTCATGAGTAGTTTTGTTCTCAACAATGCAGCCATAATTTAGGGACTGTTGTCTTGTTGCCTTAAAAAGAAGAAGATAATTCTCCATATAAAAAATATAATATGAAAAAACCAATATTTTTTAAAACAAAATTAATGTGAATGTAAATGTTATACATGTACACATAATTCTGATAAGGAGACCCAATCTTACCTCTGTGCCTAGTATTGTACAGTGGGATCCACCCCCCTTCTGAACTGTGAAGGATAACATTTCCTTGAGAGGGAAATCCCCACACACATCCGAGTTCATCACAAAGAAGCTGTCTGGATTCCCCGCCAGGATCTGGTCCCTAAAGTGATACAATCCTCCCGCTGTCCCTAGTGCTGTGTACTCCTGGAGGTATCTAATGTCGTATATAAAAAAAAATACGGCAAATCTATAGTAAGATGTCATACTGAAATCACTTTTCATTATAGCCTGAACTTCTTTTCATGAAATTATGCGAAGCAGTCTGTTTGTGAAAATATATTTTATTTGTTATATAAAAAAATATCAGTAAGATGCAAATTTTCTGCATGCATTTACTTATAGAATCAATAAATAAGATGTAAAAAAGGAAAAATTCAGTGTCTTATTACCAAGAGTTACCAGGTGGTTAAAAATAAAAATCAGCAAAATTTCTAATCCATCTAATATATATTTTTCTCAATCACCTTTCTATGTAACTTTAAAATTCTACCAGTCACAAATTGACAATACACTTCAAATAACTTCTGGCTTAATATGAAAACACATATTGGAAGTAAATGAAAAATCATATGACAAGTGAAATTTAATTTTGATTACAAAAATTTTAGATATTTCCTTATCTTACCACAAGAGAATATTACATATCTGTACATGTAATAGATGGTTTTCTGTGCCCTTTGTCTATGTTTACCTGACTTGGATTTTGAACTCTTGCTGTACACTACTGATGAACTTGTTTAAGGCATCATTTGGCTGGTAAAATCCAATCAGTATCACTTCCTTCATGTGGGGAACCTAAAAAAGGAATGATTCACATTAAGGATAACACAATAACAGTACCATGGCAACAAAACCTGTAACAGTTCATGACAACCAAACCTGTAACAGTTCATGACAACAAAACCTGTAACAGTTCATGACAACCAAACCTGTAACAGTACCATGACAACTAAACCTGTAACAGCTCCATGACAACAAAACCTGTAACAGTACCATGACAACAAAACCTGTAACAGTTCCATGACAACAAGACCTGTAACAGTTCCATGACAACAAAACCTGTAACAGTTCCATGACAACAAAATCTGTAACAGTTCCATGACAACAAAATCTGTAACAGTTCCATGACAACAAAACCTGTAACAGTTCCATGACAACAAATCCTGTAACAGTTCATGACAACAAAACCTGTAACAGTTCCATGACAACAAAATCTGTAACAGTTCCATGACAACAAAACCTGTAACAGTTCCATGACAACAAATCCTGTAACAGTTCATGACAACAAAACCTGTAACAGTTCCATGACAACAAAACCTGTAACAGTTCATGACAACAAAAACCTGTAACAGTTCCATGACAACAAAATCTGTAACAGTTCCATGACAACAAAACCTGTAACAGTTCCATGACAACAAATCCTGTAACAGTTCATGACAACAAAACCTGTAACAGTTCTATGACAACAAAACCAGGAAGTGTCCATGACAACAAAATGAGTGACAGTTCCATGACAACAAAACCTGTAAAGTGTCCATGACAACAAAACCTATAAAGTGTCCATGACAACAAAACCTGTTACAGTTCCATGACAACATGACCTGTAAAGTGTCCATGACAACCAAACCTGTAACAGTTCATGACAACCAAACCTGTAACAGTTCATGACAACCAAACCTGTAAAGGTTCATGACAACAAAACCAGTAACAGTTCCATGAAAACAACACCTGTAACAGTTCCATGACAACAAAACCTGAAAAGGTTCATGACAATAAAACCTACAGCAGTTTCATGACAAATAAACCTATAACAGTTCCATAACAACTAAACCTGCAACAGTTCTATGACAACAAAATCTGTAACAGTTCCATGACAAAACCTATAACAGTTCCATATCAACAAAAGCTGAAAATGTTCATGACAACAAAACCTATAGCAGTTTCATGACAAATAAACCTATAACAGTTCCATAACAACTAAACCTGTAACAGTTCTATGACAACAAAAGCTGTAACAGTTCCATGACAACAAAACCTGTAACAGCTCCATGACAACAAACCTGTAACAGTTCTATGACAACAAAACCTGTAACAGCTTCATGACAACAAAACCTATAACAGTTCTATGACAACAAAACCTGTAACAGCTTCATGACAACTAAACCTGTAACAGTTCTATGACAACAAAACCTGTAACAGCTTCATGACAACAAAACCTATAACAGTTCCATGACAACAAAACCTATAACGAAATGGGTCCTGAAAGTTCACGATGCTAAAAGCAAAGACCAAGATGACATACTTATCTAGATTCAATGCTTTTTAATAAAAAATTGACTATATGTTTTCACAACTATTTACAATCCAAAAAAAACCCCAGTAACTTTGATATAGTTTTAATGGGGGGGGAGGGGAATGGGGGATATTAAGCCGTAAAGTTGTACAACTGTCTGTGTCAGTTCTTATATATAATGATTGTGAAGTTTGACGCGAGAGAAAAAATTCGTCAATATAGTCAAAATTAGCACGTTGTCAATATTTCCATGTTTACAGTAATTATAGTAACCAAATCAAGAATTTTGAATTATGTAATATGCATATCAATGAAAGTAGATTTGAAATTTAAGAGTGGCTTAATCATCAGAAATGGAACATATTGATGTGCACTGAACACTGAAAGTGTCAAATTATTTGTCAATTTAAGAAAATAATGAAAATATTCCATGTGCATATTAATGATTTACCCTGGTAATCCATTTTGCACTTTTTGTAAGTTATAATTCCCTACTTGTAATATTGTGAAAGATTGGTTCTCTTAGTTTGAGATACTAGTATTTGTGTGAAAAGCTGTTTTTTTTTCATCATAGTACATAACACACATAACCCAAATATGGATCAGAAACCTCAATTCATGTAACATTATATATTCAATACCATCAAGTTAGGTGTGTGGCGCAGTGGTTAAAGCATCTGCTTTAGAGTCACAAATTAAGGAGTTTATTCTTTCATCGTGCGTTCGAATCCCACTGTGGGATGTGGCGACCACTCCTTCAGATGAGACCGTATAAATCGAAGTTCCGTGTTGCAGTAGATGCTGGTATGAAAAAGATCCCCCACTGCTCAGTGGCCCTAAAGTGCCAAGTTTAGGTCTCCACTGGCAAGTGGTGGCGTCTAGTCATATGAGTAAAAATTCTCGAGAGGGATGTTAAACTATATACAAACAATACCATCAACTCGTAGCAGTACTTTCAGTACTTTGATTTTTATTTTCTGTTTATTATGTTTTTCTTCCTAGACTCTTCTTAGAAATGGAGTGTAATAATAAGTTTAATAAACCATCCTGACACAGAGACTTAAACTGCCCAGAGTTTTTAAAATATCCAGATTGATGTTAATTAAATTCCATGTAAACCCGATCATTATTGCAAAGCTATAGGTACAGGTATATGCCATTCAACAAATAACATGATGTATTGTGAAGTTTAACCTTCACCTTTTCAATTTTAAAGGGAACACATGCTTTAAATAAAGTACCCAATCTGGTCATTCGAAAATATTAGAATATTAGTACGTACATTTACTTGTTACCAGGGACTTGTATGCTATATAAACATTCGTATATGAAATAAACAAAAGTCCATTCTGAGGGCAACTGAATTCAAATTAAATAATAAGGTCATCCACACAATATTGTACGTGTTATTCTGCATTTTGAAATAATTATCCCTTGATAACACATTTGAGCCATTTAAAGACATTACCAAATTGCTTTTAAAATACATGCTAAAGCCTCTCTTTAAAAAAAAAACAAGCATAAAAAGCCTTCAAAGGTTGAATGAAATATTTGTCCTTGCAATTCAGTTTCCATGGTAATGAAGGGTGGCCATTTCGAATGTTGCTTGCATTTTACTATATGGACAAATATTAGTTCAAGAAAACAGTATATGCTTCCAAAATTTTATTCAAGGTAACTTTAAAGAAATCAATTAAACAACAAAACAATTAAAAACACCATAAAATTCTAACTCTCTGTTGTGAACCAAACAGGATAAAACTGGTTATTCTAAAAATAAATCTTATTAATTTTCCCATGATACCTGAAATCTTAGTCTTTATCATCAAGATGCTTCAAATCTATCGCATTATAAAAACAAGCGTATTGATGATCAAGATTACTGAAATCTATAAATAGTAATTACATCATCAAAACCAGAGAGATCCAGAATTGACCAGTTTTTGCTTCAATAAGAATACTTAGTCTATTAAATTTAAAAATTCTCAGTAATAAAAATTGCTAGACTGGTTGCAAGTCTGCCACCCAAAGGTATATTTCTGTTAAATTGACCTCGTAAAGTCTGCATATTTCAACCTAAAGATGTTGGATTAATTTTTGGTTACTTATGAATAAAGGCAGTTTATTTTACTTTGTGTAATAAAGGTATTTTTGTTACAGCTGACTAAGTAAAGGAAAAACAAGAGGCCCATGGGCCACATCGCTCACCTGAGAAGCTTTGACCATTCTGTTCTTTACCAGATTTCACCCTTGTTATACATAATACATCCCCACCCTACCCCACTGATCATAATTTAGACATTTTGAAATCTACACTACCCCATGATCCTTCCATGGGCACATATGTTTCAGCTTTTTTGGCCCAGTGGTTCCTGAGAAGAAGATTTTCAAAGATTTTTCCTATATATTTCTATGTAAAACTTTGATTCCCTATAATGGCCCCGCCCTTCCCCCGGGGGTCATGATTCCTACAATTTAGAATTTACACTACCCCAGAATGCTTCCACATAAGCTTCACTTTTTCTGGCCCAGTGGTTCTTGAGAAGAAAATTTTCAAAGATTTTTCCTATATATTTCTATGTAAAACTTTGATTCCCCATTATGGCCCCGCCCTTCCCCCGGGTGTCATTATTTGAACAATTTAGAATCTACATTATACCAGGATGCTTCCACATAAGTTTCAGCTTTTCTGGCCCAGTGGTTCTTGAGAAGAAGATTTTCAAAGATTTTTCCTATATATTTCTATGTAAAACTTTGATACCCCATTGTGGCCCCGCCCTTCCCCTGGGGGTCATGATTTGAACAATTTAGAATCTACACTATACCAGGATGCTTCCACATAAGTTTCAGCTTTTCTGGCCCAGTGGTTCTTGAGAAGAAAATTTTCAAAGATTTTTCCTATATATTTCTATATAAAACTTTGATTCCCCATTGTGGCCCCGCCCTTGCCCCGGGGGTCATGATTTGAACAATTTAGAATCTACACTACCCCAGGATGCTTCCACATAAGTTTCAGCTTTTCTGGCCCAGTGGTTCTTGAGAAGAAGATTTTCAAAGATTTTTCCTATATATTTCTATATAAAACTTTGATTCCCCATTGTAGCCCCGCCCTTCCCCTGGGGGTCATGATTTGAACAATTTAGAATCTACACTACCCCAGAATGCTTTCACATAAGTTTCAGCTTTACTGGCCCAGTGGTTCTTGAGAAGAAGATTTTTTAATGACCCCACCCTATTTTTGTCTTTTCTTGATTATCTCCCCTTGCGAGGGGATATGTCCCTTCATTTTAACAATTTAAATTCCCCTTTACCCAAGGATGCTTTGTACCAAGTTTGGTCAAAATTGGCCCAGTGGTTCTTGAGAAGAAGTCGAAAATGTGAAAAGTTTACAGACGGACAGACAGACGGACAGACGGACGGACGACGGACAAAATGTGATCAGAAAAGCTCACTTGAGCCTTCGGCTCAGGTGAGCTAAAAAAAGAGAGAATACCAGTCAAAATGGGCAGAACAAAGCCAACTTATAGAAAGTCAACTGGGGGAAGGGCTCCTACAAAACAATTGGCCACCATAACAGGAAGGAAAACCACTATATCAACAGGTAAGTCATCTTTGTCCTAGCAGTCAGGAAGACAGGAACACCCCCTCCTCTTACAGATAATTAACTCAGTCCTAGTAACCAGGACCACCCCCTCCTCTAATAGGTAATTCATCTAAGTCTTAGCAGTCAGGAACAACCCCTTCTCTAACAAGTAATTCATATCAGTCCTAGCAGTCAGGAACAACCCCTTCCCTAACAAGTAATTCATATCAGTCCTAGCAGTCAGGAACAACCCCTTCTCTAACAAGTAATTCATATCAGTCCTAGCAGTCAGGAACAACCCCTTCTCTAACAAGCAATTCACATCAGTCCTAACAGTCAGGAACAACCCCCTCCTCTAACAAGTAATTCATATCAGTCCTAACAGACAGGAACAACCCCTTCTCTAACAAGCAATTCATATCAGTCCTAACAGTCAGGAACAACCCCTTCTCTAACAAGTAATTCATATCAGTCCTAACAGTCAGGAACAACCCCCTCCTCTAACAAGTAATTCATATCAGTCCTAGCAGTCAGGAACAACCCCTTCTCTAACAAGTAATTCATATCAGTCCTAACAGTCAGGAACAACCCCTTCTCTAACAAGTAATTCATATCAGTCCTAACAGTCAGGAACAACCCCTTCTCTAACAAGTAATTCATATCAGTCCTAGCAGTCAGGAACAACCCCTTCTCTAACAAGTTATTCATATCAGTCCTAACAGTCAGGAACAACCCCTTCTCTAACAAGTAATTCATATCAGTCCTAGTAACCAGGACCACCCCCTCCTCTAATAGGTAATTCATCTAAGTCTTAGCAGTCAGGAACAACCCCTTCTCTAACAAGTAATTTATATCAGTCCTAGCAGTCAGGAACAACCCCTTCCCTAACAAGTAATTCATATCAGTCCTAGCAGTCAGGAACAACCCCTTCTCTAACAAGTAATTCATATCAGTCCTAGCAGTCAGGAACAACCCCTTCTCTAACAAGCAATTCATATCAGTCCTAACAGTCAGGAACAACCCCCTCCTCTAACAAGTAATTCATATCAGTCCTAGCAGTCAGGAACAACCCCTTCTCTAACAAGTAATTCATATCAGTCCTAACAGTCAGGAACAACCCCTTTTCTAATAAGTAATTCATATCAGTCCTAACAGTCAGGAACAACCCCTTCTCTAACAAGTAATTCATATCAGTCCTAACAGTCAGGAACAACCCCTTCTCTAACAAGTAATTCATATCAGTCCTAGCAGTCAGGAACAACCCCTTCTCTAACAAGTAATTCATATCAGTCCTAACAGTCAGGAACAACCCCTTCTCTAACAAGTAATTCATATCAGTCCTAGCAGTCAGGAACAACCCCTTCTCTAACAAGTAATTCATATCAGTCCTAACAGTCAGGAACAACCCCTTCTCTAACAAGTAATTCATATCAGTCCTAACAGTCAGGAACAACCCCTTCTCTAACAAGTAATTCATATCAGTCCTAACAGTCAGGAACAACTCCAACAGGTAATTCATCTCAGACACCCCTCCCAACCACCATCGCCACTACCGTCATCAACACAACCATACATTCCAGTCTCAGCAGCCAGGATCACACACGTTCCCACCGACAGGTAATCTATTGAAGTCTTGTTAACCATGACAACCCCTCCCAAAAAAGGTCTTCTATCTCCATCTTAGCAGCCAGGACTGCAGCATTATAATTTGCCAAAAAAGATATAAAATCAAAAAAAATTATTTTGTTTATAGAAAGAGCCAGAAAAGTGAAAACAAACTCGGAAAGCACAACATTTTTCCCTTCCAAGGAATGGAGTGATTATTTCAGCAGCTCGAGTGTGTCCCAGAACCATGCCTGTGAACAAGTGTGTGACACTCAACGGTCCACCACCAAAACGCAATGTGATGTCAGAGAACCAACCAATGGCAAAGATAGACAAGAGGCCCATGGGCCACATCACTCACCTGAGAAGCTTTGAACATTCTGTTCTTTACCAGATTTCCTCCTTGTAATACATATTGTGACCCCACCGTACCCAACTGATCATAATTTAAACAATTTGAAATCTACCCTACGATAGGATGCTTTGATTCAACATTGTAAAAATTGATTCCCAATTGTGGCCCCGTCCTACCCCCGGGGGTCATGATTTGAACAATTTAGAATCTACACTATCCCAGGATGCTTCCACATAATTCTCTGCTTTTCTGGCCCAGTGGTTCTTGAGAAGAAGATTTTTCCTATATATTTCTATGTAAAACTTTGATTCCCCATTGTGGCCCCGCCCAACCCCCGGGGATCATGATTTGAACAATTTAGAATCTACACTTCCCCGGGATGCTTCCACATAAGTTTCAGCTTTTCTGGCTCATTGGTTCTTGAATAGAAGGTTTTCAAAGATTTTTGCTATATATTGCAATGTAAAACTTTGATCCCCCATTATGGCCCCGCCCAACCCCCGGGGGTCATGACTTTAGCAATTTAGAATCTACACTACCCCGGGATGCTTCCACATAAGTTTCAGCTTTTCTGGCCCAGTAGTTCTTGAGAAGAAGATTTTCAAAGATTTTCCCTATATATTTCTATGTATAACTTTGATTCCCCATTGGGGCCCCGCCCTATCCCCAGGGGTCATGATTTTTACTATTTAGAATCTACACTACCCAAGGATGCTTCCATATAAGTTTCAGCTTTTCTGGCACAGTGGTTCTTGAGAAGAAGATTTTTAAAGATTTTTCCTATATATTTCTTTGTAAAACTTGGATTCCCCATTGTGGCCCCGCCCTACCCCCGGGGGTCATGACTTTAGCAATTTAGAATCTACACTACCCCGGGATGCTTCCACATAAGTTTTAGCTTTTCTGGCCCAGTAGTTTTGAGAACAAGATTTTCAAAGATTTTTCCTATATATTTCTATGTATAACTTTGATTCCCTTCTGGGGCCTCGCCCAACCCCCCGGGGGTCATGATTTTAACAATTTAGAATCTGCACTACCTAAGGATGCTTCCACATAAGTTTCAGCTTTTCTGGCCCAGTGGTTCTTGAGAAGAAGATTTTTAAAGATTTTTCCTATATATTGCTATGTAAAACTTTGATTCCCTATTGGGGCCCCGCCCTACCCCCGGGGGTCATGATTTTAACAATTTAGAATCTGCACTACCTAAGGATGCTTCCACATAAGTTTCAGCTTTTCTGGCACAGTGGTTCTTGAGAAGAAGATTTTTAACGATTTTTCCTATATATTTCTATGCAAGACTTTGATTCCCCATTGAGGCCCCGCCCTACCCCCGGGGGTCATGATTTTAAGAATTTAGAATCTACACTACCCCAGGATGCTTCCACATAAGTTTCAGCTTTTCTGGCCCAGTGGTTCTTGAGAAGAAGATTTTTTAATGACCCAACCCTATTTTTGTCTTTTCTTGATTATCTCCCCTTGTGAGGGGACTTGGCCCTTCATTTTCACAATTTAAATTCCCCTTCACCCAAGAATACTTTGTAATAAGTTTGGTCAAAATTGGCCCAGTGGTTCTTGAGAAGAAGTCGAAAATGTGAAAAGTTTACAGACGGACAGACAGACAGCTAGACAGACGGACGGACAAAATGTGATCAGAAAAGCTCACTTGAGCCTTCGGCTCAGGTGAGCTAAAAAGGTAATATCTACAGCAATTCAACTCTATGGATAATAAACTTGTATAATTAAATATATATATAAAATAAATACCCGGTAATGCAAAGAATAATTTCTCAGAGTACACAAAAAAGATAGAACAAAGTGGTGGAGAGAAATTGCAGGGAAAAAATATGGGCTTGATGGGAGAATAAATTGATGTCATGAAGGAAAGCACAAAGAAATAACATTACAGAGCCATGAATAAAGGAGATTGATGATGCAAAACTTGTACAAAAATAGTATTTGATTTAGCAGGTCTGGAAAACTTTAACATAAATCTTAAATGTAATCTTCATTTGAAGCAAACTGAAAATGGTTTATTAAAAAACTGGATTAAGACAGACTTGTATCAACAGTCTCTATTTTACAAAACTTCAGGGGGAGGGGAGGGGGGGTGATTACAATAACTTTCATCAGCCTATGTTCATTATTTTTATTCTCTTTTCAGAATGTGTGATCTGTATGGAGGCAGCTCCTGGTTGTGTCTTTGGTGATTGTGATCTGTATGGAGGCAGCTCCTGGTTGTGTCTTTGGTGATTGTGATCTGTATGGAGGCAGCTCCTGGTTGTGTCTTTGGTGATTGTGATCTGTATGGAGGCAGCTCCTGGTTGTGTCTTTGGTGATTGTGGTCATTTAGTCACATGTATGGAATGTGGGCAAAAAATTAATAACTGTCCAGTGTGCCGAGTTCAGATCAGACAAAGAATTAAAGTTTTCATGTGAAGTTTGTTAAAGTTCATTTGTACCATTAATTTAATATCTTGTGTTTTAAATAAAAAAAATCAAATAAAACAGACATTAATGCTAGAAGCATTGAGAAGGATGGCATTGACTAGTAAATGAGGTTCTATTTTATAACTTACTTTTAAGAATCTAATAAATATCTGTATATATTTTATTTATAATTTTTATTTACTGAGTAGCTAGTACATGTATGCAAATAACCATGTCAACTTGTACAATGTATATTATCATAAACTTAATAAACTATTTAAAATCTATTTAAATTCTAGTAATTGTATTTTAAATTCAAGAGGATCAGCAGCATACTTCTCTACATGAGCCTATCATTGGTTCAATCAACATTCAACAGTTTCTTATGCAATACAGTGAAAACATTTTTGAAATCTAATAATTCACTATAAAATTTAATAAGTTATCTTCTTCTAAATTTCAATCGGAACTCGTTTGTAGTGGAGTCGCCTGCATGGCGCAGTATATGGTAAGAGCATCTGCTCTAGAGTGGTGGAGTAAGGAGTTGATCATTATGTTCGAATCCCACAGTGGGATGTGGCATGGAGGTCGGTCTTTCAGATGAAACTGAAGTGCTGTGTTACAGTAGATGCTGGCATGAAAAAGATCCCTCACTGCTCAAAGGCCCTAAAGTGTCAAGTATACAATGAAGCGCATTGAAGTGGTAAAATTTTCCGTTCGAATGGAACGTTTTGAGCTATCTTTAGAACATTTATTGACATCTTATGACACGCCCATTTCTTTAGAAATGGGTAAAACGGTCAATTTGTTTATTCGAATACCTGTAGAACAGGTTTTCCATAAATATAATAACCAATGAAATTGACGGTCTAAATAAACACCGAGTAAACACGTGTTCGACCGAAACATGTGTTGTGGTGACTTCAATAGACATGATAAGTTCAAAAATATGTACATTTTCGTTGCAAATTTTGTTTTACAGAAGCGGAGAGTCTCCAAACTCTCTCTTCTAATTTTTTTAAAGCTCCATTTCAGTGTAACTCATATTGCTTGTCGCGAAGAATGGAGTGTCCTAAAACATTACGACGAATATTTCTTTCTCGTTTCTAAAAATATGGTCGTGTCATTATGTTGTAATTGACGTTCAAAACATGACTCAGAACGTTTCATCCAAACGGAAAATTTTACCACTTCAATGCGCTTCATTGTAGGTCAAAATTTGCTGCTCTTCACTGGTAAGTGTTGGAGTCTCCATGTGAGTAAAAATTCTTGAGAGGGAGGTATAACAACAAACAAACACAACAAAGGAAAGCATTGGATTGTTTAAATTACATCTACAAATGTTAGTTTGTTTGTTAAGTATTAATTTGCAGCTGTTGCACAAAACACAGCATTCCGACCACAAAACATGTTGCTTGTATTAAGGTTAAAACTTTCATATTTCCATTTCAATTTTTTTTCTCTGTGATAACTCTTTGAAAGTTAGGGGTAGTTTATTTCTTGATAATTCTGCCGGAATGTAAATTAGGCAGGTCGATAGGTCGGGAGCTAAAAAGGCCTAATACGCATGCAATTCTCGTGCGCATCTGTCTCTGTGTCTGACGCTAAGGAGGCCAAATATGCATGTAAATCTCGTGCGGCTGCCTTTGTGTTTGACGTCGGTTGGCGAGGACTATTGAAATTGGCATGGAAGTCATCATGTGATTTAAATCTATTTATCTACATTTTTAAAGTCTAAATCTACAATTTTATTTCACAATGAAATGGAAATATAAGGAATCACTGTCTAGTTAGGAGGGTATGTCAGGGACATCAACAATAGTGGGAAACATGGGATAATTTAAGCATAACGGGCGAAGCCCGTTATGCAAATTATCCCATGTTTCCCACTATTGTTGATGCCCTGACATACCCTCCTAACTAGACAGTGATTCCTTAACGAGGCTGGGGGGTGACAGCCATTTTTAGACTATTTCTATCTCCTTTAAAAGGAGAGCTCCATATAAAGATATAGAAAATGGTCAAAATTTAAAACTAAAATTTAAGAATTTTTTCTTTGTCAAATGAATGTTAACAGCTTAAGATACCATATCTAAAAAAATAAGTTAAATCTGGTGGTTACTTTGTGGTTAAATTGTTGACCCCCCAGCCTCCTTAAATAATGTGAAATAATTTTTTTTTTTTTTTTCAAAATTGATAAGGTATTCTGAATGAGATATATATCTCTACCATATCTAAAATTGCAAATACAAAACAAATATATGTTATTCAGCTAGAGTCTTTTTGTATTTCTTTTAAAACCAAATGCAGAACAAAACAATGACAGACCCCCCCCCCCCCCCGAAAATATAGCAAACAATAGCATGTGTCACTCTGATCTTCCCCCCTCTATTTCCATGGCAACAGTGGCCATTTTGAATGTTGCTTGCACAAGTTCACATGGTAATTAATAATTGCTACTGTTGAGTTTCATTGAGACTTCTTTAGACAAAACTTAAGGTGGAACAATAAATGTCCTCTCCAATACTTTGATCAAGTGACATATAAAAATTAAATGAAAACATTTTGCAATAACTTGAAAATATTTGAGGAATACATCCTCAATTCACCTTTGACAGAACAGGATAAAACTGGTTATTCTAAAAATAAATCTTACCAAAGAAATTTATTTATAGTTATTACATCATCAAATTTTGGACTCTGTTTCTTACCACAGGAATTTATTTATAGTTATTACATCATCAAATTTTGGGACCCTGTTTGGTGAGGAAAACCAGACTGATCCAGATTTAACCAGTTTTGCCTCAGTCATTATAATAATCCTCACACAACTGGTTATAGGTTCACACTTGACAGGTAATTCTGTGTGACCTGAGTACTGATCAGTCCTCAACAAACAATTAATTAATTTACCCTTAGGATGTCTGTTTAATCACTTGTCACTTTTGTACACATAATAAAGACCTTTCACTTTACAGCTGCCTATATATAACAGAAAAAACTTGAAGTGAAATTACATTGAAAACCAAAATGGCCAGAACAAAGCAGACAGCAAGAAAGTCGACAGGAGGAAAAGCTCCCAGGAAACAACTGGCCACCAAAGCAGCCAGGAAAAGTGCCCCATCAACAGGTAATTTATCTCTTTATTATATGTTTATTTATTTATGTCCTTCCTCTCCCTTTCTCTCTTTATTTATCTTATAGACTTTTATCAACAGAGAAAATACCTAATATCATTTCTAAATTTTAAAATCTTCCAATCTTTCTGAGCCTGAATTCCCAGGTGTGAATAATGTTTACACCACAGGACTTGCTGGTAGATGTTATAGATTACAATACTCAAAATCTGATTTTCAAGTAAATGTAATCTGCATATACATAAATTAACAATACCAGTTCATGACCATGATGGTAAGTAAGAAATACAATATAAGAAAATAATTTAAAACATTGCTGTGACGTCATGCCTTTGTTCTTGCGGTCTAAATATTTACCTGTAGCCGTCCGATAATAATAATTACCAGTCTGATAATTTATTATCGGACGGCAATGATAACAAAATCGGACGGTATTTAAAAAACAAAAAGAAGAGTGAAATTGAGGTAAAATGTGTCCAGAAACACCCAATAAAAATGTTAGGAAAAAATTCAGGGAAAGCAAACACAAGGAATTTAAGTTACTACAAAATCGCAAATCCATGAAAAAAAATCCGAGTTTAAACATTCCACAACATTAATACTTTCCACTCTTTAAAAGAATTTTTGATACAGCACTTTAAATAAGCGAATTTAAATCCATTTCTGAAAAAGAGTCTGCAAGTCTCCTTATTTTATGTTTGTTCTCCGATGGCCACTTTTAAAACCTGAGAATATTTCCATTATCAAAACTAAAACTTAAAGGGTAAAAATCCGCATTTTTACTTTCCATGGTGATAGTTATAATAGCGCCCAAAATTATGTCAGTATCAATGTCAATTTATGCACATCATAAATAAAAATGTTCCCCCCAAAAACTCTTTCACCACCAGACCCCTGTCCTGCTAAACTAAACGACAGCCATTGAATGAATGAAATGAAACTAGAGTTCAGTTTTTTACTATCTCATCTCTTTTATCTACTTATCAGACGGGTAGAAAACAATGGATGCCTAAACTCCCATTGTGTTATTATCGGACTCCTACAGGTAACTTTTGGACATTTAAATGGCAATGTTTTAAGTAAGATATATGCCTCATACTATTCTATATGTAAAATTATCAGACAGTTTTCGGCCCTAACGGGCCTCAAACAGTCTGATAATTTTACATATAGAACAGTATTCGGCATATATCCATTACTTAACTGATACATTTATATCTTATCAGGTGGAGTAAAGAAGCCCCACAGATACCGACCCGGGACAGTAGCTCTCCGTGAAATCAGGAGATATCAGAAGAGCACAGAACTACTCATCAGGAAGCTCCCATTCCAGCGTCTTGTTCGTGAAATTGCACAGGACTTTAAGACGGACCTGAGATTCCAGAGTGCTGCTATCGGGGCCCTGCAGGAGGCCAGTGAGGCTTACCTGGTGGGACTGTTTGAGGACACCAACTTGTGTGCTATTCATGCCAAAAGAGTCACAATCATGCCAAAGGATATCCAACTGGCAAGGCGAATTAGAGGCGAGAGAGCTTAGTTTGACTGATATTATGGATTAATTTTCTCTTACTTTCTTACTTTTTACATACAGAATTTTATTGAATGTTTCATCTCTATTGTATAAAACATAAATAATAATACTGAAGTGTTGTTTTTTTTTTGTGTATTTGATCTCAGTAAAACTTGTATTGGAGTTATAAAGCTTTATTCTTATGTCTTCTGGTTTGAGTTTTCCTACCTTGCTGCAGGCTTCAATGTGATGATAAATTATTGGGTACCCGGCGACAGGAAACAGGGGCTTAGGAAGCTCCAGGGACATTGGTCGAAAACGAGTACCTTTAAAAACAATTAAAGCACAGAATTATGAAAAACTCATACTGTGAAAAGGAAGCCAAGCCAACGTTGAAGTGAAGCTGAAGGGGTATTGTGTATATGTGACTCTCCCTTGAGTCATCTTTGGATCAAAAAACTTAATGTGAAAACAGGCAAATGTTATAAGATAAATATGGTAGTATATGCCACTACTATAGAGTATTGTGTATGTTCAACATAATGATAACTAGTCTATACCATTTTCAAGTTTTCTAATGCACAGTAATGGCAATGTAATATGAGACCCCAAGCACCTGTAATCTGGTTTTTCACTGCTTTTTCAACGTAATATTTGATTCACAATAACGAAAATGCACTTGACTCCACATTTGATATTTATTCATTACCTTTCATTGGCCCTCCGATCAGTATAATGGTCTTGATCATGGTTGCTAAAAAGAAGTTTTTGTTACACGTCAAAATTTCAACACGGAAACTGGAATATCTCAATAATGTTAAAGTGTGTTCAGCCAAACCAATGAATTCCGAAATAATCAAGAAGACACTTCTGGTTTTTTCAACAGGTGGAAAAAATTAACCAGTGGCAAATCATCAATTAAAAGTAGGTAAAATTAACAGTCCTCATTACTTTAACGATATAAACTTCCTATCTATATGTAATTTGCATTATTCCAATGAACATTTTTCTGTAAAAGTGGTAATGCGTTTTGCGTTTAGTGTTCAGAAATTAATGCCCGAGGCAATTTTTCACATATCAAGGTGACACTAAATATTATGTGTGAATTGTAATTTTAAAAAATCTTAATGAAAGTAGAGGGAAGAAAGAGGTAGGAGTTTTTTGTTGTATTCCGCTTAAATATATTAAAATTCTGCATCCATGTGGTAGGCCTAACCAGCCTAGGCCTAATTAAGCATGGTATAAGTTGAATGATGAATCATTACAAAAACCAATGTGATTCGGGACCAGAAAATTAATTATTTAACTTCTCCTTGACGAACAAATTCTTTGATTGTCGACTGTGTTTTCATCACTGAAAATAATCGAGCTTGACAAAGGTTTGCAAGAAAGGCCGCGGGTTGGTGGTGGTGGTGGTGGTGGTGGTGGTGGTGGGGGGGGGGGGGTGTCAGAGGGTTCCCAGATACGTAATAACTTCAGGGACGTAGCAACCGGGGGGGGGGGGCAGGGGGGCCTGCCCCCCCCCCCCACTTTTTTTTGCCAACAATACTTTTACTATTGAAAATGTTCACTGAAAGGCTGGTTGGCCCCCCACTTTATACTAAAGTAAAGTAATATGAAGGAAATATAGTATTGTAAGCTTAAAAAATGGATATCGAAAGAAATTGGTAGTGAAAAAAGTTTGCCCTTTTAACCCCCCCCCCCCCCCCGCACGAAATAGGATTTTCGACTTTGGGCAATTTTCCTTTTTTTTTTTTTTTTTTTTGCTTATTAACTTTCTTAGGTAAGTAAAAAAAAAATTCAGTGGCTGGCCCCCCCACTTTCAAAATCGATGCTACGGTCCTGAACTTAGCTGTATGTTGAAGAGAGCAGTAGTTTTTTTTAAGACTTGTATTAGGACTATACCTTCCATACTATCAAAATTTCAGTTTCTGTGTTTTCTGTGTACTGCTATCTTTGACTACAAAAATGCTGGTTGCAGTTAACAAAAAAAAAAAAAAGAATAAATATTTTTATAAACCATTTATTTAGCCTTCGACCTGAAAAGGGGGATAAGAAGCCTGTAGAGAAAGAGGTTACCAAACCCCTGAAGTCAGAGACGCATTCCTCCCTCACCAAAGACGACAAAACGTGAGTAAATGTAAACGTACCCCTTTTAAAACCTTTATATATCTAATTCTTGATTCAAAATTTCTCACATTTTTACTTTACTATAATTAATGCGCATAGGCGTCGGAAGCAAATTGAAAGTGTGTGTGTGTGTGTGTGTGTGTGTGCAAGGGGGAGGGGGGCTAATTGAAAGTCAGGAAAATTGGGGGGGGGGGGGCTAAACCACAAAAAAAGGTAAACCCCAATTTTCAATGCCTATATAATGTATATATTTGCAAAAAAGGGAGCTAAGCCCCCTTCTAGCCCCCCCCCCCCCCGGTTCCGACGCCTATGCGTTTTCCTGCATAGGTATTTGATATGTAGTGGTCAAATGACAAACACAAACTGTTTATGAAAGGAAGGAGGCCAATTTAAGTTGTAGGGGGTATATTTTCAACTAACCCCCCCTTGATTATGCGTGGATTTAGAGGTGGGTCCAGGGTCCGGACCCCTTTCATCCCTCCCTCTTGGAATTTGTAGAGTTATGAAATTTATATATACTAACCCAACTAAAAGTGACCTTGAACCCCCCTGGAAAACCTGGACCCTTTAGAAAAGGTGGAATCTGTAAAGTTTCTTTGGAAATTAAGTCCCGCTTTTTTCGACCATGTCTTGAGATTATTAAGTACCATATCCTCTTTCTCTCGGCACTCTCTTTCCTCTTTTTAATTAAAAATACATTAAATACATGTATATGGTTCACAAATATTTCCAGTTAACACATATTATTCATTATTCATACTACGTATTACAGAAAAAAATGCTGTCGACATTCGATCAATACATCGACGAAGTTTTATATCGACACAGAACGAACACATGGACAGGGCGATAATCCAGTAACGTAACTTCCTCTTTTTACTTCAGCATCATGACGACTTCTATCTTTTTTGTGGCCATGTTCCTCTTGTTTTGGGAGGGACTGAAGGCCTGTCAGCTCCCCCAGGATAACTGCCCCTCCGACTCCACAAGGAAGCTCACCCTGTCCAGCCCCGGGGGTGGGGCAGTGTACACCGAGTGTGGGGCTACGATTGACAAGGCAGCGGCTAAAGATGCTCCGACGGTCAAATTTGAACATGCAAGGGCTGTAAGTGAATGAGATAAATTGTTTTTTTCACTTATTTTAAAAACTGAAATAAAAGATAAATTGCATCAAAATACTGAATGCCTGTAGACAAAAGCCACACTGCAGGGTTCGCTGCATGCCTAAAGCACAGAAAACTCTACAAGAGTTGGTGTAACATCAAAATATTTCTTGTTAACTTCGGAAAATAAAGTTTGGATAAATTTATGCAACTTTCTCGTTTTGATAAATGCAATCCTGAAAAGTGAGAGAGAGAGAGAGAGAGAGAGGGTAATTTGCGATAAAAGTAAGTCAAATACTTATCAGTTGTCATTGCCATGCTTTGTATAAAATCTCTATATTATAATCAGATTGATCAGCCGTTTCCTGCTCTGTTTCAGGATGCGGTATACACTCTGGTGATGGCGGATCCTGACGCTCCATATAAGGATAATCCGACCCAGAAATACTGGCTCCACTGGCTAGTCACCAATATTAAGGTCTTCATCAGAATACTGAGTTCAGAAATCTTTAAAATACTTTGATTTACAGAAACTGGGAGAGTGTTCAGGAATAAAACATGAAAACACCAATTTACTAAAATTTTAAGGCTTTTGATTTTTTTTTTATAGGGAGATGATTTAATTAATGGAAATGTAAGAGGTGATACTGTAATGGGTAAGTTTACCTGTTACTTATAGATGACTCACTTGAAGCAATTGTGACTGTTCGAAATCTAGATTTTATTTAAGGTACAGATGACTTCTTCTCCCCTTTCTTTGTAGAATACAACCCTCCCACTCCCCCGAAGCCCCACCCTGGGAGCAGTAACCCCCACAGGTACATATTTTACCTCCTGGAGCAGAGCGGGGACCCGGACACCTCCCTAGTTAACAGTCAGTGGAGGGGGAAGTTCAGACTGGAGGATTTTATATCTGTCAATGGCTGTAAGATCGTGGCGTCCTTCCAGTACACAACAAATTACTGAAGTTACCATAAATTTACAAAATAAAGTTACTTTTTTCTTGTGTTACTAAATCCCCTGCTTACAAACAGGCTGGGATATTAATAACATAAGAAGTAATTTAATTCTCTATATGCAAGTTACATGTATTTGTTTTTGAAAAATGGCTTTAATAAATATGAATTGTTAATTTTTGTTGTGTTTTTATTTTTTAAACAAAATATTGTCCCAACTCCATCTCTGTTGTAAGAGGATAATAATTAAAGACTTAGTATACAAGTAGACTACGTTTATTACCAGTAAGATATCTTCCAACACTTTTAATCACTGCAGTTCTCCTACACTTTCGTTGACAAGTAGTCAATAGATATAAACATCTTGCAAGTCAATGTTGCCAGAGAAATTTTGCATTTTCTTTTCAAAGTACTGCTTCTTTATTTTTTGGCCTGATTACTCTTTACACAAGTAGACATAATAAAATACATTTTTTCCAATGATAATTTTAATAATTTCACATCAGTAGAGATACAGCCTCTTCAGAGACTTCTGCTATTTTTTCTGATAAAAAAAATCTTTGCATGATATGAGACATGAATTTATTGTCAAATTTACAGAAAGGACAAATCCGACATTATGAAATATAACAATAGCAAAAAATAAACAAAAATACACATACACTAATATCACAATAAAATAATATTGGAAAAAAATGCCCCACAACCTTCATGCTGGATTTCATCGAATAAAGAAAAGCTGAGCCAATAAAGCTGTCATAAAACGAGATCTCAACAGGTAATAATTTTTCTGGAATGGAATGTAATTGAATCCACATGGAATGAGAGAGATTCACAACAGAATTTTAGGAATTTTCAAAATGTAAATACAATGTAATACTTGAACTCAATTTGTGTATACATGTATTGATAAAAACAATTGCAAATACACTGTATCACTCATTCCTTTTTAAATACCTTTAATTAATGAAGATTTTGTGCATTGCTTGCAAATCTGGGTGCTTCAAATAAAAGAAATATATGAAGATAAATCTACATGATAATATGTATAAATATTTTTCTACATATTAAAGATAATGCGTTAATATTTCATGTATTGCACTCCTAAACATTAACAACAGAAACGAGATAAATGTCTCTCAATCATTCTTAATGCGTAAACATTCAGTCTCATCTAACAATGCTAGATATATCACTAATATACCACTCAATAAATCTTGCTGAAAGATGGACCCTCCCACCCAATGCCCTTCTTCCCTATCAATTAATAATTTTAGCTTGTTACTACTGGTACATGACCAATACTGTCAGAATGTTACACAAGTATTCGAATACCAAAATCTGACTTACTGTAGATCACTAAATTTTCGCGATACCTTATTTTCGCGAGATAGTCATTGACTCTTGATTAGCGAGACAAAATATTCACGAATTGTGGTTATTGCTCTATATAATCTTAAGGAATGCTATTATACGCGAGAATTAAAATTTCGTAAGCATTCTGTTTTGCGTAATAACGCGAAAATAAAGTTCTCGCGAATAAAAATTGATTTACAGTAGTTAGAACTGATTACAAAACAATGAAATAAACTGCAAAACAAAACAATTGCATTCATTTAGTTACAAAGGCAAAGAAAACTTTACATAATTTCTACAAAATAAACTTGTTTCTAAATTGAATATTGAAAAAAATCTGAACAGTCAATTTTTTCAAAATTTTGCATAATAGTTATTAAACATCTTCCATATATAATATACCTGCATTTGTGTCATAAACTGCTCATAAGATATGCACATCTATGAATATAAAATCTACAAAATCTATAACATAACAACAGTAAGGAATGTCACTATAACAAAAGATACAAACAATAGTACAATCTTAGAGGACACAGAGTCAGTTGATATCATTATTACTTATATCACAATCTGAGATTCAGTTCATACAGATCAACTGAAAATAAAATATTACCTAAAGTTCATCTATAAAGAGATTACTTGAATATTATTAAAAAAAAAAAAACATGTATGTTAACAACTGAGCACATAAGGATTGATTATTGAATTGTTATTCAAAGAGGATTTCTTTTAGGAATACACTACACAAATACTTGTAGAACAAGATTATTTAGATATCCAAATATAATACCCTGTCAGTAACCCACTGAATGATAGCTGAGAAGAAATATAACAAATAGGATCTGTTGTAAAACTAACATTTCTGAAAACATTACTTTATACTGGGAGAAAGATATCAACAGAATGAAGGAGAATGAATTTATAAGCTTAAATGCCGTATGTAGATAATAGAGTTCACAATCACGAGATGAGGAGAATGGTGTTGTTGTCATGACAAGTTAATGAGTTCAGCGTAGGACTAGAACTGGGCACTCTGCATGTCGTCCGACGTCTTCCCGACCGCGTCAGGATTAGAGAGAGGGTCAAGGTCAGCAAAGAGACTGAACCACGCCGACATGTCCTTCCTCCCCTACAAAAGAGTTAGAATTTACTCTGCAGAGTTGTCTCTCTTTATAAATCTTATCTTCATCATCTTGAAGTACATGTATCTAAAGAATTAATCCTCATGGTGAGGAATCTAGATGCTTCATTAATCTGGAAGATGTGCACAAGTGTCAAGATAAATGAGGCTGGACAGTATATTTGTACATAGTTACTGTACCTGTTTACTGGTTTTTGATTTGGTTTGCTGTATATATTTGTATATTTTACCTGTTTACTGGTTTTTGATTTGGTTTGCTGTATATTTGTACACTTTACCTGTTTACTGGTTTTTGATTTGGTTTGCTGTATATTTGTAAACTGTACCTGTTAAGTGGTTTTTGATTTGGTTTACTGTATATTTGTAAACTGTACCTAGTTACTGGTTTTTGATTTCGTTTGCTGTATATTTGTTTACTGTACCTGTTTACTGGTTTTTGATTTCGTTTGCTGTATATTTGTTTACTGTACCTGTTTACTGGTTTTTGATTTCGTTTGCTGTATATTTGTTTACTGTACCTGTTTACTGGTTTTTGATTTGGTTTACTGTATATTTGTAAACTGTACCTGTTTACTGGTTTTTGATTTGGTTTGCTGTATATTTGTATACTTTACCTGTTTACTGGTTTTTGATTTAGTTTGCTGTATATTTGTATACTTTACCTGTTTACTGGTTTTTGATTTAGTTTGCTGTATATTTGTATACTTTACCTGTTTACTGGTTTTTGATTTGGTTTGCTGTATATTTGTTTACTGTACCTGTTTACTGGTTTTTGATTTGGTTTGCTGTATATTTGTATAGTTACTTTACCTGTTTACTGGTTTTTGATTTGGTTTGCTGTGGCTGTGACTTGTTGGAGACGGGGGGCTTACTTGAAGCCTGGGCTCCAGCAGATGGGGTACCTATTGAACACATGTACTGACAATTATTACATTGAAAAAGTGAAAATCTAAATAAAACCATTTGATTTAAGCATATAAACTAGGTACTGTAATCAACAAAATACAGTAGTGTATATAAAAACTCATGCCTGACACTGTCTACTCACTGTGAGATAAATTCCTGTATGACACTGTCTACTCACTCTGATATAAACTTATGCCTAATACTGTCTACTCAGTCTGATATAAACTTATGCCTAATACTGTCTACTCACTCTGATATGCCTAATACTGTCTACTCACTCTGATATAAACTTATGCCTAATACTGTCTACTCACTCTGATATAAACTTATGCCTAATACTGTCTACTCACTCTGACATAAACTCATGTCTGACACTGTCTACTCACTCTGAGATAAACTCATGTCTGACACTGTCTACTGATAAACTTTTGTCTGACACTGTCTACTCACTCTGACATAAACTCATCTCTGACACTGTCTACTCACTCAGAGATAAACTTGTCTGATGCTGTATACTCATTCTTAGATAAGCTCATGTCTAACACTGTCTACTCACTCTGAGATAAACTCATGTCTGATGCTGTCTACTCACTCTGAGATAAACTCATGTCTGATGCTGTCTACTCACTTTGAGATAAACTCATGTCTGATCTGTCTATTCACTCTGAGATAAACTCATCTCTGACACTGTCTACTCTCTCTGAGATAAACTCATGCCTAACACTGTCTACTCACTTTGATAAACTCATCTGACTCTGTGATAAACTCATGTCTGACACTGTCATTTATTATATACCTAATGCGTATCACTCAATTTTACTATTGAATTTATGCTATCACATGACGTCGTGATCCGACTTTCTGGATCACCACACTGTGGTTTTCTGAATCCATATCACCACTCTCTGAAACTGATGAGGTAGTACGCAGAAATATGATGTTATTTTTATTGCGCATTAAAAAAATTACAATTGATCTCTAAAGGTTTACTTTAATATATTTAGCCATTGATAAGGGGGTATATAATGAATTTATCATCAAACTCATGTCTGACACTTTCTACTCACTCTGATATAAGCTGACACTGTCTACTCACTTTGAGATAAACTCATGCCTGACACTGTCTACTCACTCTGAGATAAATTCACACTGAAACTGTCTACTCATTTTGAGATAAACTCATGCCCAATTCTGTCTACTCACTCTGAAATGAGATACTGTCTACTCACTCTGAGATAAGCTCATGTCTGACATCTGTTTGTTGAGATCCAGGAGGTTAGAGGGCATGAACTCGGCCTGATCCGTCTCCCCCTGGGTGTAGGTGGTGCCGGTAGAGAGGGGCATGGTTCCGAACACTGCCTGCCACTCCTTGGAGAAGTCGTCACCGCCTGTGGAGGGGGCGTTCAGGATCTCGTTAAGAATTGTCAGGTCGTCCTTGTCCGTGTCGTCCTGACCCAGAGGAAGGTCATCGGCCAAAAGGTCAGAGATCACTACAAAATCAAAACAAAAATCTATAGAAACTGTATACATATAATAAGTATCTCACAGTATTAAATGCTTCATTGGAATATACAAATTTCCAAGTTGCAGGATCTCTGAAAGATACTCATACATATAAAATTAACATTGCTGATCTGGGCCAATTTAAAGTATTAAATAGTATCAAAAAATTTCAATGAGTTCAAATATGATATTTTGCATCAAATCTGTACTGTATTCTAATAAAATTTATATAACACTTCAAACGACTAGGAAAAGTTAATTAAATTGAGAGTATATTGCTTTGTAAACATTTTGTCTGTGAACAAAGTATGAGATATTGTCAGATATCAACAGTTTACAACCGAGAAGGTAGCTGTCATTTGAAGAGAAATTATTGATTTGAAAGCCCCTGTATACCTCACTTATCATCTACAAGGGGATTATCTAGTGAAAATCAGACCCCGTCAAGTGGTAGCTATAAAATACACGCCAATCTGTCAACAAAGTCTACACACATAAAACAGGAGTCAGACCCCCATATACAGGGCAATTAATGTACTTCACTTTTAACTGCAGTAAATCTTAAAAGTATGCTCTTTATTTTTCATATGAAAAACAATTCTTGGAGATCATAAGTATCAATTTTTCAGAATTTATTTTCTGACTTAAAATTACTTATGAATATTTGTTTCTCCATTCTATGGATTTTTTTCCATTCGAAATGAGTTTCTGAAGGTTATGAGAACATGATTACAACTTTTATAGAAATTCAATGGACATTGTTGAGCTTTATAATTGTCTGCAGGTCCATAATCAGGAAATCTTTACTGCTTTATAAAATTATAGCTTTATAAAGCCTTCCTATACTTCTTTCAATAACAGTAAAGTTTCCTTTAAATGCTTTCAAAGCTAATTGAAATTGGTTTTCCTCTTTAGAATTTCTTTAACTTCCAGTGAAATATTTGCTCTTTTCCTTAGCAGTATGTTTTTTCTACAGATTAAATACACAGAGCACCCTGGCACACTTAAATACCACATAACAATGGTTTATACCTATGTAGGGACATATAATTCAGGATTGGAATTGGATACAGGAAAATAAGAAACTTTAGAGGCTTAAATGATTTATCCTCATTAAATGGATTTACCTCAACATGCAAAGTTTACCTGTAGACCAAAGTGCAACACCACAGAACTTATAAATATGTGTAAATGTGCACTTCACTAGTAACTCAAATATAATTTGTAAAAAAAAAAAAAAATCAGAAATATCTATTTTGTTTTAAAAATTCATTTTATAAGGAGGTATCTAGTCTTCAGTCTTGTAATAAATTTACGTGACTTAATATTCATTCAGTTACAAGTGAGAGCAGGTGACAATGGATAGAAATGCTAATAAAATTTAAAAAACAACCTTTAATGCACATTTATTAAAAAAATTCCATCTCTGTGTTGATAAAAAAAAATTCCATACATTCATATGACAACCAGTGTGAGATAACATTAAAATAGCTGTACATGGATCAATACTTCTTTTTTGTATCTGACTTAAATGTCATTATGAGCCGTCAATTTGATCTGATCATGACCCAATCAATGCCCGGAAAATCATCTCCAGCTTTAAACCATTGACAGGTTCCACCCCAATGTCTGAATACCATGTAGGAACAAAATAAGTAGGAGTAATTTAAATGCTAGTAAGGAAATAGAAAAGTGAATTCAATTTTGGTAGATTTAAATGAGAGCAGACTATAGCAGTTTACGGATTTAGTTGTCAGGATCGCTGTTGGTGATCGCAGGTCATCAGAGTTGTACCTGACGAGTCATAGAGTCAGCAGAATATCAGATCCAAGGGCTGGCTGGACAATTCAGCATCAGATAGAAACAGCAAATAGAGATAGGTGACGGAATTAAATCAGACATATATACCAATAGGTAAGATAAACTAGATTCATCAAATTGCTTTGAATAAATTGTTTTTTTTGTCTATTTACTCGTATTTTCCTTATTTATTGGTATAAGACTATTCCTATGTAATAATTTAATCTAATTAAAGTCAATATTGTTTTGAAAAACAAAATGAATCTTTTAAGAAAAAAAAATCATCTGTTCAAATGGTTATGCAGATTTAAAATTTCAAATAAGCTTCAACAAGTTAAATGTATGTAAAATACATAACATACATTTGTATGCAAAAATCACGACCATGTTATTTTAAACCAGGAGCATTTCTAAAACAGCACTTCAAACAAACATACCAACATTTACAAATCATGTTTAATCACCAAAGAAATATTGGAAAAAGTTGATTTAATGATGATCTCCACCCCGATAACACAAATACCCTAAAACACAAAGAATGTAATAGCCTTCTTGTTAGAGCTCTCAGGGGATGAATATTGACTTGGAGCAGGAAATATGACAACTCTTTCCTGACACCCAGACAATTAAATAATCAATGTTTGGTAAACTGGCACTGCTAATTTCCAGTCACAAAGTACAAACATATCCAATAAGTTCTTACAGTGGGGGGTTTATTTTGTTCAAATATTCTGTAAACACTGAAATATATATTGTATACAAATAAAAAAAGATAAATGATTAATTTAAATTGAAAACTTCTGAACTTATAGCTAAACTAAATCCAATATGCCTTATCTTTTTAATCTCCATTTATCACCTTACATGTACTAGGATCTGAGGATATTATTGACATTGTATTCCATAGACTAAGATTTGAAGAGCATAATTCTAAAGTGAGCACAGTTGTGCATTTAAAATCTGTTAACACTGCATGCATAACTAAATTCAGTGCTCATTCTTTTCATGTACAGTGACAGAATATGGAAGATACTGAGGAAACTCTGGCTGAACTGGTGGACTCTAACTTCCTGAAGTGTTCCAGCTGTTGCCATGACTACCAGAACCCTTGCCTGTTGCCATGCCTACACAGTCTATGTGAGGACTGCATTCAGAAGCTTCCTCGTCAGATCAGCGCTCCGACAGAAAACACAGAGTCCTCAGAAAACAGTGTCCTCCAGAAGTTCTCCTGTCCTGTATGTGTGTCCTCAATATCACTGCCAGAGGAGGGAGGGGGTACCTTCCAGAGCAATGCCTTCATACAGGACCTGTGTATACTGTATAAATACAAACATGATACAGACAGACAGTGTGATTACTGTAAGTTTGCCGGTAAAACTGTGGATGCGGTGTCTCTCTGTCTGAACTGCCACGACGATATGTGTGGTGAATGTCAAGAAGCCCACCACAAGACAAAGATAACCCGCAATCATAAAGTGGTGCCGTACGAACAAATTAAGAATGGACTCTATGATCTTGACATCAGAGAATATCAAACCCTAAAGTGTGATGAACATGAAAATAATTCTCTGACATCTTTCTGTACTGATTGTGAAATGTTGACCTGTCCCCAGTGCCAAACAACTCAACATGGAGGTCATAATATTATTGATTTTGAAAATGCTCTGCCTAAATATTCCAAACAGATCAAAGGACTGATTGCTAGCATCAGGACTCGACTTCCCTCCATACAAAATTACTGCGAATTTCTGGAAAATTACTCAGAAAATTTAGAACAGACCAAACAGCAGTTATTGACAAACACACAGACACAGGCTGACAGTCTACACAGTATGATTGATGAGTGTAAGAACAGGCTTCAGCAAGAAATCACAGAGGCATGTGAGGGTGAGATGGAGCAGGCCAAGGAGAAACTGAACAACTTACAGATAGCCTCTACCTCCCTGCACAACAATGCTCACTTCCTGACCCGACTGATGACTCATGGGAAACCAGAGGAAATTCTGGTCATGCACCGTGAGATCACCACCAGGTTGACTCAACTCATCAAAATGCAACTGGATGGACTCACAGCCAAACTAAGAATTGGATTTATACCAGGGGCTAACACAGAGCAGAATGTTCAGACCTTGTTTGGCAAGCTCTCCAATGATAAAGTACCAATAGGAAAGAGCGAGTCTGCTCAGTTAACGGGTGGAGAATTAAAAATAACCTCTGTATTACCCAACGTCAAGAGCACTGCCGAGTTCCTGCTATCCTTTGATTCAGAAGGAACCGATGAGAACCGAGATATCTGGCCAACAGGAATGGCAGTCACCAAGAAGGATAATATAGCAATAGTGGATAGGGATAACAAGAAAATCAAGATCTTTGACTCAGTAGGGAAACTTCTGAAGGAATTCACAGGAGAGAATGACAATAAAATAGGGATTCCTTTTGATGTCACAGTGCTTGAAAATGATAGTATTGCTGTCACAGACTACGAAAAAGAAAATGTCAAAGTCTTCACACAGGATGGAAACCATGTTCTTACCATATCAGGCTTCTTCAAACATCCTCGTGGCATTACAACCAACAGTAAAGGAGAAATTCTAGTCGTAGACTGTCGCCAGCAAAGGATCACAGTTCACGACCCTAAATCGGGAAATCTGATCAAGACAATAGAAGCCCTGGACCAGAAAGGCAACAGGATTCTCGTTGACCCATTTTACATCGCTACGACCCACGAGGATAACATCCTGGTCACTGACACTGCGGCTCCCAACATCAAAGTGTTCAACATGGAGGGTCGCTTCATCGCGGAGTACGGGACCTACGGAATCAAGGAGCAGCAGATCCTGCAGCCATTCGGGATCTGCGTGGACGAGTATGGATACATTTTTGTGGCAGACAACCAGAATCATCGCATCCACCTACTGAATCCGGACGGAAAACTCAACAAGTTTTTACTCACTAAGGCCAACAGTATATGGCACCCAATGGCTGTAGGCATTTCTAAGAAGGGATTTTTCATGGTGTCAGAGGCACTGGGAAAAGTTAGATTGTACAAATATTTATAGTGAACTATTATTATTAGAAAGCTTTAAAGAAATATAATCTTTCAAACATATTGATATTTCAAGAATTTAAGCAGTTTATTTCTTATGGTACAATTGATTGACTTATAAACTCCAAAACCTCTTGCTTGATATGATTAAATCACTGATCACCAAATGACATGCTTTTACAAAAATATCTGTTTCACAAGAGCACTGGTTTTAGCAAAATGCAAATCAAAGTCTTCAATTAACATAATAAATGAATTTAAAGATTACATGTTTTCTCTTCATTTCTGTACTGGTAGTAACTATACACAGCAATAAAATCTAGAACAAGAGGCCCATGGGCCACATCGCTCACCTGAGAAGCATTGACCATTCTGTTCTTTACCAGATTTCCCCCTTGTTATACATAATGCATCCCCACCCTACCCCACTGATCATAATTTAGACATTTTGAAATCTACACTATATGATCCTTCCATGGGCACATATGTTTCAGCTTTTTGGCCCAGTGGTTCCTAAAAAGATTTTCAAAGATTTTTCCTATATATTTCTATGTAAAACTTTGATTCCCTATAATGGCCCCGCCCTTCCCCCAGGGGTCATGATTCCAACAATTTAGAATTTACACTACCCCATTTAAAAATGCTTCCACATAAGCTTCACTTTTTCATGCCCAGTGGTTTTTGAGAAGATTTTCAAAGATTTTTCCTATATATTTCTCTCTAAAACTTTGATTCCCCATTGTGGCATCGCCCTTCCCCTGGGGGTCATTATTTGAACAATTTAGAATCTACATTATACCAGGATGCTTCCACATAAGTTTCAGCTTTTCTGGCCCAGTGGTTCTTGAGAAGAAGATTTTCAAAGATTTTTCCTATATATTTCTATGTAAAACTTTGATACCCCATTGTGGCCCCACCCTTCCCATGGGGGTCATGATTTGAACAATTTAGAATCTACACAAAACCAGGATGCTTCCACATAAGTTACATGCTTTTCTGGAAAAGGTTTTAAAAAGAAGATTTGAGAAAAGATTTTTCCTATATATTTCTATATAAAACTTTGATTCCCTATTGTGGCCCCGCCCTTCCCCCGGGGGTCATTATTTGAACAATTTAGAATCTACATTATACCAGGATGCTTCCACATAAGTTTCAGCTTTTCTGGCCCAGTCGTTCTTGAGAAGAAGATTTACAAAGATTTTTCCTATATATTTCTATGTAAAACTTTGATTCCCCATTATGGCCTTGCCCTTCCCCTTTTAATCATGATGTGAACAAATTTTACAAATAAAAAACTATACCAGGATGCTTCAAATAAATAGCCTTTAATTGTCACCCAGTGGTTCTTGAGAAGAAGATATTTCAAAGATTTTTCCTATATATTTCTATATAAAACTTTGATTCCCCATTGTGGCCCCGCACTTCCCCCGGGGGTCATGATTTGAACAATTTAGAATCTACACTACCCCAAGATGCTTCCACATAAGATTCAGCTTTACTGGCCCAGTGGTTCTTGAGAAGAAGATTTTTTAACCCTATTTTTGCCTTTTCTTGATTATCTCCCCTTGCGAGGGGATATGTCCCTTCATTTTAATAATTTAAATTCCCCTTCACCCAAGTATTAGCATTTTATCAAGTAATTTCAAAATTGGCCCAATGGTTTTTGAGAAGAAGTTGAAAATGTCAAAAGTTTATTATACTACTATACAGATTAATACAAATCCAGAAAGAGACTATGTGTGGGCAAAAAAAAAAAGAATCAATTAAGATTTCGGCTCAGGTGAGCAAACACAAGAGAAGTTTCTATTGAATTTATGTGTTTCACCTTCAACTGTTATCTACCAAATATTGACATGTTCATAGTCTTTTCATGCCATATGGTCATTTTCACATTTCCTATGCAATATATTTTGTTCTGTTTGAATTTGGTTTTCTATTCCCCCCCCTTCATTTTTTTTTTTAAATCTCCCTAATAATGAAAATTAGGCAACCCCTCATCCATGCAATGCTTTGATCCATAGTGAAAATTTTCCTCCAGTAAAATATCTAAGTGTCCACATTAACTGTAAATTTATATGAACTATAAGTAAGAATTCTACCATTTCCTATATAAGTAAGTGACCAGAATGCTCCTACCTTTCTCTGACTTTGACCCGGCCGGTTTCTCACTCGATGTAAACGCTCCAGAGAAATCAAAATCTTCCTCTTTTAATTCTCCAGAGTCTTCCTCCATCTCTATAAATGGAGCGGCATCCTTAACATTGTTCCCAAGGTCAGTGGAATTGTTCTGATCTGTGAAAAAGTTAAATAAAAACATTTACAAAAGCTCTCCTAGGTAATCTAAATTTAACTGATGAATATTGTAAATAAGCAAGTTTTCTAGGAATCATTGAATAATTGTTAAGTGAAGACAATAAGATGAATTGAGATTAAAACAGAACTTCCTGTTTATATAAACAATTTCTTTTTGTTTGATATACTTTTTTTGACTAACTTTCTAAATATTTGACTTACTTTCAATTTGACTTACTTTCTGTTTGACTTACTTTCTATTTGACTTACTTTCTATTTGACTTACTTTCTGTTTTGACTTACTTATTGTAGAACTCAAGTCTCTGTAGGTTCTATAGGCTGTCATCTCTTAATTCCTCTTTCTGACTTCCAGTTTATTTACAATTTACTTTCTGTTTGACTTACTCTCTGTACCCTTGTAGTATGGGTTCTAAAGATGATTATTTTTTTATTTCATATATTGTTTTTGTCCTGTTTGTTTGTCTTCTGTTTGTCTGTCTGTTGTCAACTTTAACCTTCGCCATAACTTTTTGTTTCATATTTGGTTAACTCCACCAATGAAGTTCTTTAAATGACACCAAGGTCAATGACCTTGTGACCTTGACTGTGACCTATTTGCTAAAAATAGCGAATTTTTAATGAACCATGAGAGATGGAGATTTTATATTTGATATATAAAAAAATTTTAAAAAGCAGAAATTGGCACTTTCTCCTTGACTTACTTTCTGTTTGACTATCATTTCTTATTTCAACCTCTGTGTTTGACTTACTCTCCGTTTGACTTACTCTCTGCTTGATTTACTTTCTGTTTGACTTACTCTTTGATTGACTTACTTTCTGTTTGACTTACTCTTTGTTTGACTTACTTTCTGTTTGACTTACTTTCTGTACTCATGTCATATAGATTCTGTAGGCTGTCATTTCTAATTTCTGCATTTTCTGTTTCTCCTTCTTCCTCATCAAATGCTATCAACCTATAAGAAGAAAAGAAATGTCTTTAACTTGAATAATAAATGTTGTTTTTTCGGGTGTAGAGTGAGAATAAAGAAACAAAAACAAAGCAGAAATATTCTGAAGCTTATAATGCCAGTATAATGCAACACATATATTTTGCAGTAAACACATCAGTGAGGTATATAACAAATGCAAATACAGTAAACAAAGAAAATCATCTAAGTATACATACATGTACATGGGGCTTATTAATTTTCATCAAAGCAAAAGAAGGGGTTCTAATCACATTTGGTTTGGAAACCCTTGGTTTGGTTTGCAAAGTCCAAAAAATCACAAATTTCAGGCCATTTTCAATTTTTCTTTTACGAAGTATTTCTTCTGACCAAATTACACAGTCTGTACTTCTGACCTATGCACTAAATCTAATTCTCAACAAAATTAAGACTAATTCTCTATACAAAACTACAGGCAGCCAATAAAATGTTAGCCTTAAAGTGGTGGTTTTGAGTAGAAGGAAAGAGAAAAGGTCCACCTTATTTTATCATTTTAAAACAATTAAATGCTGACAATTTCTTCTATTCTTACTTAAAATTAACACTCTTACAGAAATTAAAACCTGGAAAAATGATCACTAAAATTTGTTAGTTATTAGTGCACATGAATATCTCTACCATTAGTTATGAGTAAAGAATGTGTTAATCTTCTGAGTGAGGACAATGTAGAACACTAGTTTATAGAATCTAGGTGTAAGACTCTTGATTACAGGTGCTTTTAGTTTCACACACATGATACCTATTATCTTCACTTGATTCTGAACACATTTCCTGTATCTGTGAAGGGAGACTACTCTCAGTGTTAGCATTCTGTCCTAGATCAGTGCTAGGATAGTTGTCTCCCTCTCCTTGAAAGAAATGTCCACACTCCGGACAAATCCCCTCGCTTGAAAAAATAAAGATTGCTTTACTGTTTACATACTTTAAGCTAATATTCTAGACAAAAGAGCCACCCAGATTGTCTATTTACTTAAATTATACTGATGTTCATCTTTGTATGTATTTCCATTAGAGAGAAGTGTATTGGTGTATTAATCTTCCTATAAATATACATGTACATATTACATGTATATGAATATAAAAAAGATGCAGAATTAAGCCATACAATAGTCTACAAGCCAGATAAGATTTTCTGGGTCCCACCCTGCCTGTTATTACCTCTGGTCGTCCTCCTCTGTGTACCTGGAGACAATTGACTGTGACTCTTCATTTGACTTTCTACTTGTGCACTTTTTACAGCTTAACAACAAAATACAGACAACATAAACATTACAACAACAATACAACAAATCATGGGTAAGCACAGACAGGAATTTCCTAAGCAAAAGCATTTCACTGTCATGCAATTTACACTACTATGTATTCAGAATTACTAATTTTCTACTGGCATGCAATATATCATTATTTTGAAACTGGATTTTAAAAGTTTTTGGAAACAATAAATACCTGATAATTGATTTGAAGCGCTACAAATTTTTTACCCAATCCCTTTTTCTGCTAACCAATTGCTATCTTGATGACAGCTACATACACATACATGCACTATTTCCCGGACACTTACTTGCTGGGATCAAACTCCTCGTCAGCGGTGTCTCGCTCTGCTGGTTCCGATTTTGACGTTTCCTCTGACAACTTTTTACTGGGTTCAGCCAGTTCCTAAAACAGAAAATCAACACTTTAATTTTGTGGGGATACATGTAAAATCAAGCCCTAATGGAGCTAAGATTTAATCAGAGATGAATCCACAAACATTTGGAATACAATAATATTGATACATGTACCATCAACATAACCCTTTTTAGAAAAGTTCTTCTTTTCTTGTGCACATTTTTAGTCTCAGATTTTGTCCAAACTATAACCACAGTGTCCATACTTAAAACAAAAGGCCCATGGGCCACAACCCTAACCCAAGTCAATATGACCATTCTGTTCTTCAACAACAAATTTGTTCCCTCTATATAGTAATACAACTTTAATAGCTAATTGTGACCCCCCCCCCCCGCCCCGCCCCCTAGTGACCATACCCACCTGGATAATGATTTAAACAAACCTGAATATACACAACCTAAGGATGCTTCCATCTCAGTTGGGTTAGTTGTAATTTTGCCATTCTTGAAAAGATTTTTTAAAAATGTTTTTATTTTTATATACCTGGTGTACCTTTGTATAGTGGCCAATCCTAGCAAGGGGGTAAACCTTTAAATCCCCTATAGTGGCCAATCCTAGCGATTATATAGGGGGTAACAAATGAAAATTATGTTTCCCTTACAAAGTGTTAACCTGAAAAAGTACACTATCTGAGGATGTTTCCAAATAAATATGTATAATCACTGCATTGCTATTATTGAGAATTACTGAGAAGAAAATTCACAAGCATTTTTTCCCTGTGTAAAAGTTTCAACTATCAAAACTGCTTTTAAAATTAAGCATTTATTTCAGACTTTCTTTCTGATCTGTCTTACTTTGATGATGTTGAATTCATAATATTGGTATCCTTTAAAGCTTTCTGCCACAGCTGTCATGGTGCGTGAAGTTTTCTCCCAGAAGTGGAGCAGCGTAGATTGGTAATTAGCGAGAACGTGAGAGAACATGTTACAGCGAGATGCGGCTAGCAGGTCCACCTTCTGCATCACGTCCAACTTCAGCTTGTCAAACTTGGCCTTCGTCTTTCTAACCTGGGCCTGCACCTGATTGAAAAGGAAAAGGTTATTCTTCTAGATTCCTTATTTTTTGCGAGTACTTATTCTCACGAATTGGCTCTTCAACGTCAAATTGCGAGAATAATAATTCGCGAATGGATGATTGATCAAGAGATTTTACATATTTTTAAGCACCAAAAAAATAAAAGCGAGTAATTTTATTTCGCTTTTGGTGCTTCTCATGAAGATACATGCTAATTAATTCGTATAATTATGTGTAAAGTTAGGAAACTACAGTATTCAATTTTCTTGATTGTTAATGTTACATGTACTTTTACAAGAACAAAAATGATGGTTTATAATTTTTTCCCTAGTTCAGAGACTAGCATGAATATGTATACAGTGAAATATCAGTATCTCAAATTTGAGCGGACTTGGACAAAATTTCCAGATATCCAGCAGCAGTTTGAGATATCCAGAGTTGACTTCCAATGTCCAATCAATAACTTCTTGACTCCCGTATCTTTAAATGTAATATATTTGTGTGCTGAATGCTTTGACCTACTTTTCGGAACTTTTCCAGTTGTTTGTAGGTGTCAGGATCGAGTTCCTCCGAGACATTCTTCATCCACAGTAGGGCCCCCCTGTACTCCGTCCGGGCTGCCTCCATTCTATTTATAGTCATCAGAGTGTCAGATATGGCACGGTATCGGAAAGTCTCCACTTCCTGGTACAGACGTACTAGAGGCACTCGTAGTGATAACCTGTCAAATCAAAGTACTGAAAGTACTGATGGGAGTTGATTATTGAATTAATTCGATGTATGTTTGATTGATTGTGTATTTTTTAACGTCGCTCTCGAGAATTTTTTTACTCATATGGAGATGCCACCAATTGCTGGTGGAGAGCTGAAATTTTTTTATCTGTACTCGGCACCCATTGAGCAGAGAGGGATCTTTTTCAAGCCAGCACCTGCTGTGACCTGGGACCTTGGTTTATACGGTCTCATCCAAAGGACCGGTCTCCAAGTCCTTCGGTGGGATTCGAACCTGAATTCGATGTATGTAACCTTGCCCACTTTTCAAATTATACTTATATTAATGCTTCTTGATTGAGGTATGTGAGAAGCAAATGCATAAGCTAGAGGATTTCGTGATCCTACAGAGTCAAAGCGGTATGGTTTGTTCTACTGTAATTAAAATCACTTTTTATTCACGAGAACTTTATTTTCGAGTAACTAAGCGAGACAGCGTGATCGCGAAAATTTCTTTCTCGCTTATATATAAGTACTACTCTTTACAATTTTATAGATCAATAACCAAAGTTCGTGAAATTTTTTGTCATGCAAATAAATAGTTACATGTAATGACTATCTCGCGAAAATAAGGTGTCGTGAAAATTTAGCGATCTACAGTAATTTGAAAATAACTTGAATGATATGCGAAATCTTGATAGATTAACCGTTTTCCTCACAGATTTCGTCCTTATCTTAGACAAAGGTATGGAACTTGTACTTTCAGTATCTAAGATAAAAAGATGTTTTAAGATGAAAATAACATTCAAGACAAATTTGCAAGAAAAAGAATTTGTATAAATTCAAATTAAATATAAATATATAAAATTAGATATATATATTTGAATTTGTATGTATTTGGTCTTTTTTCCCAAAAAGTGTATGCACTAGTATTTCACAGATTTGTGTTAGAGGGAAATTGGATACCTCAACATCCATCCGCGTCCTCAATGTGCCAACAATTTGCAATAATCTGTTTCTACTCTTTATCTTGCGTCGTCAAACAGTCATCTTATCACGCAAATTGACTTTCACTATACTGTATGATTGCACAACTTTCCATAAACAGAAGAAATTAGCAAGCTTTATATATTACGCTTCCAAACATGTACAGTTTGTGTAGTGACACATTCAGTAATATTGTCATTGAGGAAAAAGAAGTAATCGATATTATATTGTAACGAAACCGAGGGTATCGTGTTATAATTAACTCGTGGGCCGCTATTGGTTTTTGTGGTCACTGGTCGAGATTTGATAGTTCCGTTGGTCACAGTTTATATAATGGTTAATAACCAATTTTTGGTCACTTAATTGGTTAACTGAATGACCAACTTTTGGTCACTTATTTGGTTGACGTAATGACCAACTTTTGGTCACTTCTTTGGTTGACGTAATGACCAACTTTTGGTCACTTTAAATAATGTATATCTGAATCATTAGGAATAACACTTGTTTAAAGTTTATAACCTTTATTGTGACAATAAAATGGTCCACTTATAAATACACAAAATGGTACACTGTAACTTGGTTGGTACAACGTTATTTGGTTAACAAAAAGGTGACCAACCGATGGTCAATCCAGGACATTCCTAATAATTTGGTTCCCCTTAATGGTTTCGTATACATAGACTTGGTACCGTCTTATAACCGAAGTATACGGAGTCGTTCCCCCAAACCAGGGAAGGCTGTGTGATCGGAGTCGCTCCCCACAGCCGACTGAAGTCTATACCCAAAACAGCTGGTTTATATAGACAAAAGTTGTTATGATGACGTAAGAGACAATCAGATACCTATATTACGTCACAATCAATACAATCAATAAGTTAGCGGGTTTTGACCAACAAAATTATACATACTAAAATAATAACGTTGTACCCATATAAACATACAAAATACATCACTTTGTCTTTAAATTATACAAGTTAAGTTAATAAAGTCATATTAAATCAATTAGTGTTCATTTCTTTCGTTAACTATTCATTGACAAATGTTAATGTAGTTTATAAACATCGGGTTCAGGGTCCATTTATTCCGAACTTGTAAACAAGAGTTAACCCGCATTTCACAGGTACACTTCGTGAAACGTAACAATATCAATTCTTCATGTGAACAAAGCCATAGGTCCTAACTGTATTAGTCACAAAATGTTAAAATCCACTATTTATACTGTTGCTAAACCACTTACACTGCTGTTTAACAGGTCCCTATCAGAAAAAAAGTTTCCGTTTTTTTTTGGAAAACTGCTCATGTTATTCCTTTGTTTAAAAAAGATGATCCCTCTTTAGTTTCTAATTATAGACCTGTGTCGTTACTATCTTGTGTTAGTAAAATTATGGAGAGAATTATTTTTAAACATATGTACAATTATTTCCATTGCAATAACTTATTTTATCGATATCAGGCGGGTTTTTTACCAGGTCATTCAACTGTTTATCAATTACTAGAAAGGTATCATAGTATTGTTCAAAACATTGATGAAAGTAAATCTCGTTGTATGGTCTTCTGCGATCTTTCAAAAGCTTTTGACAGAGTTTGGCATAAAGGACTTCTTTTTAAATTACAAACTTACGGTATATCAGGAGATCTTCTTCAGTGGTTTTCTAGTTATTTGTGTAAAAGGTCACAAAAAGTTATGTATAAAGATCTGTTATCATCAAAACTAGATATTTTTGCAGGTGTACCCCAAGGTTCTGTTTTAGGACCCCTATTATTTCTGATTGTGTAAATGATGTTGCTGTAAATATGTTATCATTAAGGTCTTTCATCTTCACGGAAGACCTTCTAGTGATTCTACTGTTTCTTATTATTATTAAGGTCTTCCGTCTTCAGCGGAAGACCTTCTTATTATTCTGTTGTTTCTTTTCCACTATTATTAAGGTCTTCCGTTTCAGACGGAAGACCTTATAGTGATTCTACTGTTTTTTCTTATTATTATTATTATTATTATTTTTTTTTTCCCCAAATCTTGTCGGCAAGATTTCTCAGAGATGGCTGGACAGATTTTCATGAAATTTTCAGGGATGATAAAACAAAAATACGCCCAGGCGTTTTTTTCCTTTTTTCAAAATTCACTTCCGGTCGTCAGACCTTTTTTCAAAATAATTTTGTCTAAGTCATATCTCAGAAACGGTAAGACATAGAGACACCAAACTTATAGGAGTAATAGATCTTGATAAGTAGGCATGTCCATTTGGGTTAAGATTGTCCGCCGTCACTTCCGGTCGTCACAGGAAGTGATCTAAGAAATCGAAAATTTCAACTTTTCTTTTATGAAACTTTTTTAACATCATATTATAGCATCTTATTTGTAGTTTCGAAATATATCAGTCCAACCGGAAACAAAAACGACAACTTCCGGTTATAAGAGAAAAACTGCATAATTCGAGTATTTTTCTTTCCCATAAATATTTTTCATAGATAAAGTATTTGTAATGATTTTTGGGTATGTTATCTAGACTGCAAATATCTACAGTAACGTCAAATATCTTTGTAAAATTCACTTCCGGTCGCGTGATTTCCTGTCCTCAAAATGAGAAGTTATCATAGCTAGATCTCGTAAACGGTAAGAGATGAAGACACTAAACTTATGGGAATGGTAGATCTTAATGAGTAGATAAATTCATTTGGGATACAATCGTCCGCCGTCACTTCCGGTCGTCACAGGAAGTGATCAAAGAAATCGAAAATTTCAATTTTTCTTTATGGAACCCTTTTTGGCGTCACATTATTGCATCTTATTTGTTGTTTTTAAGTATGACAGTCCCACCGGACAGCAAAAACGACAACTTCCGGTTAGAAGAGAAAAACTACATAATATGAGTATTTTTCTTTCCAATAAATATTTTTATAGATAAAGTATTTGTAATGATTTTAGGGTATGTATTGTTATATAGACTGCAAATATCTACAGTAACGTAAATTCTTTTTAAAATTCATCGTGTGATGTCCTGTCCTCAAAATGAGAAGTTATCATAGCTAGATCTCGTAAACGGTAAGAGATTAAGACATCAAACTTTTACAAATGGTAGATCTTGATGAGTTGACAAAACCAGTGGGAATAAGAATATCACTTCCGGTCGTCACAGGAAGTGATATCGAAAACTTCAACTTTTCTTTATGGAAACTTTTTTGCATCACATTATAGCATCTTATTTGTAGTTTTGAAACATGTCTTTACCACCGGAAATAAAAACGGCAACTTCCAGTTATAAGAGAAAAATACCTATTATGAGTATTTTTCTTTCCCATAAATATTTTTTGTAGATAAATTATTATAGGAGTGATAGATCTTGATGAGTAGGCAAATTCATTTGGGTAAACATTGTCAGCACTCGCTTCCGGTCGTCACAGAAGGTGAACAAATAAATAAAAAAATTCATTTTTTTTATGGAATCTTTCTTAGTAATACATTATAGCATCTTATTTGTACATGTAGTTATGAAATATGCCAGTACCACTGGAAACAAAAACGACTACTTCCGGTTATGAGAGAAAAACAATATAAATTTAATTATGTACTATACCATTAATATTTTTTTTTTCATGTTATTCAGACTGAAATGTCTATAGTAACCTCAAAAATCTCTTCAAAAATTTACCACCGGTCACGTGATTTCTTGTCCTCAAAGTGAGAAGATAACATTACGAGATCTCTTAAACTGTAACAGATCAAAACACCAAACTTTTATATGAATAATACACCAAGAAGATTGCGCAACAGATATAGGATAAAGTGCGTTCTCCGTCACTTCCGGTCGTCACAGAAAGTGAGAAAAAATTGAAAATGATTTTTGTAAATGTTATTAGGACTATAATTGTCTAACGTAACGTTGAGAATCAAATCTTAGTAAGTTACACCTACGGCCGTTTGTTTTCCTGAATCATTTAAAATATTATATGCCTTTTTAAAATAGATAAAAGTTCATTCATGCAGATAAAGAGAGTTGAACGGAAGACCTTCTCTGTTGCTTTAGCAACAAGAGATTCTAGTTATTATTATTCTTCTTACCGATTTTGTGCAGACGATTTCTCGAAAACGCCTCGATGGATTTCAATGAAACTTTCAGCAATGATGTAAAATTAGTTGAACTTGATTCATTTTTTGTCGTTTTGAAAACGTCACTTCCGGTCGCGAGTTACGGCCGATTTTCAGTTTTTCATATGCAGTTTTGTCCGGACGTTTTCTTAGAGATGTTTGAACATAAATTCATGAAACTTTCAGGGATAGTAGTCCTTGACCTTTAGATGTGCCTAGCGTGTTTCGTTTTTTCCGTCAACACTTCCGGTGTAAACCGGAAGTATTTTAAATATACAGATTTTTTTCATTTTTTTATTTTCTAATGAATGTATTTGTTCTTTATTAAGATTTAAAGAGTGCATCGTGTCGTTATAAATCCACCGGAAGTATGGTTTGTTCAAACTGGAAGTTGTCTAAAAATTAGTATTTTCCATCGAAACATTCAGGGATGATTACTACATGCTTGATGTAGAGTTGAAAGTCGTTTTGAGCACATCCGGTCGCACCGGAAGTGAATATCAAGAACCGGAAGTTGATTGGAATTGATAAATCCAACATTTCTTGTGTTTTCAAACATATTTTGAAGAATTCTTATTCTTAATTTTTACGAAATCTTAAGTTTTTTTTTCATCCTATCAGTGGAATTATCCCAACACGGGTCTTATTGCATCAGAAATCGGACGGAAGACCTACTCGTTGCTCGCAACGAGATCACATCTAGTTATTATTATTTTTTTCCCCAAAATTTTGTGCAGGCGATTTCTCAAAAACTATTCAGTGGTTTTCAGTGAAACTTCCAGGAATTATGTGTCATTGTATGAAGTTTTGGCATGACAAGAAAAATTTGGAATACTCACCTTCGGTTCCAAGATATTGACAGTTTTCTGATTTTAAAATGGATTTTTGTTCCCCCTTTTTTTCAAAAATGGCTTAAGATGTTAACTGGAGACTTATTAGAGATGATAGATGATGACTTCTAGATTTGCGGAATTACCTTTTCGTGCGTCGTTATTACTTCCGGTTGCTATTGGAAGGAAATTAAAAAGTCCGTATTTTCTAACTTTTTTGTTTTTCAATATTTTTCATTTATTTTTGGTATGTTAATAGAAACCTTTCTTTTAATGCTTACTGTATAATTTTTGTGAATATTGATAAATCCAAACTCTAAATATTAACATTTAAAGATCTGAAGCAGGTCCAAAATGGCGGCTGTCTCTGTCAACTCCGACATTGCGCAAGTCAGGGTTTACGGAGGCAGCCGAGCGTTTGTTTAAACGGAAGTAACCTAAGAATAAATGAAATGTAAAGGAATACTTGGATTGTCACGTCGTAGTTATGTTGCAATTCTGCAAACTAAGTTTTAATCCATATTCGTCTCAAACGTCTTCTGTAATTAGCTTTGGCTGGTTCTCAGAATAAAAAGAAACGACTAAATGTGATAATGAAATACGATACCTAATATATTTTGCTTTTTGCGGATAATCAGATTTTAAATCATAGTTATAAGTAATAGTTTTTAAGAAACAATATTGATTTATATAGTAAGTATCAAACGCGAAACCACTGTTTTTCCCATGCACACTTGTGTCATATTAAACAGATAGAAAAGACAAATGTAAGAAAACATTTTTTTTTTTTTAAAAAAGATCGTTGAATGGAGTTTAAATCAACATTCTTGTCTCAAAGATCTGATTAAGCTATTGAACATAAATGTTATCTGATTCCTTGACTTGCGTAGGGCAAAACACTTTTTTCGGCGAACATTTCAACCTTTTCATGAAAGTTTAAGTAATCAGGATCGTTCACTATGGGGATAAACAGGAAATTTTGAAAAAGTTAAAAAATATAGCAGTTTTGCTGTTTTAGTGGTACTTACATGTACATGTATCTACATGGAATGTGTTAAATATTCTCTCTTGACCTTGAAATTGTAGCTATAAGAACGTTCTTTCTTTAATTTCCATTGAAGCTATCGCACCTATTTAATGGAACATTCCAAGTATAAGGCTCAGATTTACTCGTGGCGTTTGACGCAAAATGATGAATAGTGTCCCATCTTTCATTATTGTAGAACAGATGTACTGTTGCAGAAGTATATACAAGTACATTTAGACCTGTGGTCCCGATAGCGTAATAGTAAGCTATTTGAATTTTCACGCTAGTGACTCGGGTTCAATCCCCTTTGTTTTCATTAAAAGTTTTATCAATTTTTTTCAGCTCGATTTTGCGGTGTGTTTTTTTCAGAATCGAATGGAAGACCTCTCGTTGCTCGCAACGAGTTTCTTTTCTAGTTGTGTAGACTTTTTGCTGATGACAATTCGCTTCAACATTCTTCATATAACATACTTAATATTGAATATAACTTAAATCATGATTTGCATATTCTGGAACTTTGGTCAAATCAGAGGCTTCTAAAATTCAACCCTTCCAAAACGAAAGTAATTTTTTTCAATAAGAAAAACATATCTGTTATGTCTAAATTATTTTTTAAAGGTGACAGACTGGAGTGTGTCCCTGTTCATCGTCACTTAGGTCTGTTATTATCACAAAACCTTAGCTGGACTGAATACATTGATAGCATTGTAAACAATGCTTATAAGAAACTTGGTCTTTTGAAAAAACTTAAGTATAAAATCGGCAGGACACACCTTTCAAAATTGTACGTCACATTTATCAGACCCTCGCTCGAATATGCTTCAGTTGTTTGGGATGGCTGTTCTAATAATGACGCCGAAAAGCTTGAAAGAGTTCAATTATCTGCAGCTAGAATTGATACAGGACTTCTAATTTTTGTGTCAAGAGAAATACTTTACTTTGAAACTGGCTGGGAAACATTAAATGTTAGGCACTATAATGCAAAAATGACCACGATGTACAAAATTCATAATGGTAGTGTACCTGAATACTTAAATGACATTGTTCCAAACAAGCGTGAAAACATTTCAAAATATAATACTCGTAATAAGGAACAATATGCTGCCCCAAGATGCAGATTAGAATTATATAAAAGGTCTTTTATTCCTGACGCTGTGAAACAGTGGAATTTACTAAAGACAGAAACAAGGGAAGCTATTTCACTCAATGCATTTCGAAAAACCTAACTACAGAAGTAAAAAATCCCCCAATTTATTCCTTATTTGGCAAACGTTATACCAATTTAATCCATACTAAACTTTGACACAACTGTATACTTAACTATGATTTACATAAAAGAAATATTATTAATAGCCCATTATGTTCATGTGGAAAGTATGAAGATGTTTATCATTTCTTTTTTGCCTGTAGAAATTATCCAAATGCTAGGAATAATCTTTTTAATCGCCTGTTTTTACTTGATGAATTGGTCAATATTGACACAAATTTGTTATTATGTGGTGATGTAAATTTGCCTGTAGAAACAAATACATATATTTTTGCTGCTGTGCATAAATTTATTGACGAATCCTGAAGATTTTAAATTGTTATATTACTGAACAATTATTTCACTTGTATCTCTTTTGCATTTAAATTTCTATGTACTACATGTATTTTAATTGCATGACATATGGTTATATTTAAGGAGAGGAACTCGTAAGTTGAAAGAACTTGTTTCCAATCCTTTTGTTTATACAATAAAATATGTTCAAAACATATTACGCTTCTATATTACGCTTTCATTTACTATCATTCCGGACACAAAAGTAAAAGGCGAGAAGTTATATTAATCCATACAGTAGGTCACTTCTGCAGCAATGGGGAGATCTTATCTAAAGCATTACATATATTAGAGTATTTAGAGATTCGCAAGCACACAATGCCCGTACTCCAGCATGCTAGAGGTTCACGGCGAGATACTTTTGACTTGGAGCCGAGGTATATAAGGAGGGTAGGGACGTTAACCGAGGCTCTTACTTGTAGGAGTAACAATGCCCGCTGAGTTATCAATCAGCCTAGTCAGGTGCACACATACACATGTATTCGTAAACAAAACAGCTAGCCTACACATGAAGTTTTGTTCTCTGTATTCCAATTTGACTTTAAATTTTATAGTACATCTGATTTCTAAGCCCATTGTTTTATTGTCTAAATAAACTATAGCAAAACTTTTTCTGTTTTGTTAAATAACCACCAGAATACCATCGTGTTTTCTCGTCATACTGCAGACGCTTTGTTAGGAGGGAATTTCCTGTCTTAAAATTAGAATACACAATGTACAATGTATGCACAATGTATGAATACATATCGGAATCGGTATGATTATTAAGGTGAAAGATTCTTAAGAGGAAATTAAAATGACAGACTAAAGTTGAATACAGAGTGATTGTGGACTATTGTCAAGAATTATAATTTCTTTTTAGTAAGTTTAATGGGGAATTATTTCCTTATTCGCAATGCTCATTTTCCTTGGCGGCTGTTTGTCAGTTGCACTTCCTGTCCTGGTCCACTGACTAAGGATCGTTGATATAATCAACTCCCAAAAATTAATTAAATTTGCTTTCACTCAATCTGTAAACTTCATTCAATGAACTTATATGAGTGTTCCAAAAATAAAAGGAAATCCTATCTCATTAAGTGTTTCATACTAATACTTCAGAACCTATAACTGCTGATAAACATTTTAAAGACACATCAGATGTGATGCATACTGGTTTCAACTTTCATAACAGGTGAGTGTATAACCATTTTCTCTCATGATTTTAAAACCAAAAGTCTTTGATGGGACTGAAGCTCTTCTTGTGTGTATTTAGTGCATCTTACAATTGTGTACCTCTGCACCATGTCTTATTGAAATGGAAACAAAACTGTAAAATAAGGTAATTTGAAATAATTTAAAAGAAATTTAAATTTTCAACAACCATAGCGACACATGGCATTTAAAAAAAATGTTTAGGGAGAGAAACAGACACATAACATTGATGACCAGTGACAAATACATTGCAGTTGCATTAGCACATATGTTCATGGTTTACCTTTGCTGAGCAGCAAAGCTTTGTGATTTTCCTACAGCAGCCATCATTTTGCCAGCTCTCGTTTTGTCCAGGTTACTCTGAGATTTCAGGAATCTTCCTGTAGCATTCTCCTCTTGTGACAACACTAATCAAAAAATTAATATAAAAGGCAGTGTAAGCAATTGCTATAAAAGGGCCTAAATTTTTGACTGTTTTAAATTTTTAAATTTTTTCTTTTTTTTTTCTTTCATTAGCACCTTATTGTAGGTGTACAAATTAGTACAATATAAAGCATTTCATCATGAAAAAATAAAATTCAATGTATCTATGTAATATTACTAAGAATAAATTTACTATTACACAGAATAATTTACCTTTGGTAAATTTAAACAGAAAATTCTACATCATTCCAGTGTCTAAGAATCTAAAAAAGTTTCTACTGCTCATTTACATGTGTATTAAACTGTAGGACATTAAAACATACCACATAGCCTGTCCTGATATTTCTCTAATACCCTCAGTAAACCCATCGAAGATTTCTGGATAGCTCTAAATACCTAAAACAAGAAATAAAGCATGTTACACACAAGGGATAACTAAAACTGAGTCTTACTGACAACAGTTGACTGAGCTCTTTATCTAGTTTGACTGAGTTCTTGATAATGGACCACTGATTGCATTCTCATTACAGAGTCTGACTTAAAACTGACTTCATTTCAATTACTGTGGGAATGTGTCTTTGATTTATAAATAAATTTGACTTAATCCTTAATTACTGATTGCTTGATTACTGATTACAGTATTAATCCTGAAACAACCACTTTACAATCTGGGTGAACACTATCTGATAACCCCTGAGGGTCCTTGATTGGGGAATAAACATATCATTATTATTATAAAACTGACCTCTAACTTAGAATCGAGTTCGGAGTCCGAGGCCACCACGTGTTCGTCCTCTTTCTTGCCCAGCTTCTGTATTACAGCCTGCTTAGTGGTCCAGAATGTCTCCTTCATCTTATGTAGTGTAGAAGTCTCTGTCCTCTCCACCCACTTATCATAGTTAGGCCCGGAATAACCCTGGGTCCTACAATGTCAAATTATAGTTAGGCCTGGAATAGCCCTGGGTCCTACAAGTCAAATCATAGTTAGGCCTGGAATAGCCCTGGGTCCTACAATGTCAAATTATAGTTAGGTCCAGAATAACCCTGGGTCCTAAAATGTCAAATTATAGTTAGGCCCGGAATAACCCTGGATCCTACACTGTCAAATTATAGCTAGGCCTGGAATTGCCCTTGGTCCTAAAATGTCAAATAATGTTAGGCCCAGAATAACCCTGGGTCCTATTATGTCAAATTATAGTTAGGCCCAGAATAACCCTGGGTCCTAATATGTCATATTATAGTTAGGCTTGGAATAGCATTGGGTCCTTACACATAAGATCCTAGGATGTCAAAATATAGTTATAACCCGAGTTAAGGTTGGAATAACCCTGGGTCCTAAAATGTCAAATAATAGTTAAGGTCGGAATAGCCCTGGGTCCTAAAATGTAAAATTATAGTTAGGCCTAAAATAACTCTAGGTACTAAAATAATAAATTATAGTTAGGCGCGGAATAGCCCTAGGTCCTAAATGTCAAATAATGGTTTTAAATTGCTTATCAAAACATTTCCAATTTTCAAGATGTTTATTTAAAAGCATTGATTTGCAATTAAACTTTCACCAAGGTTTTTTAAGTCAAAGTCCAAAAATTTTGGGAGTTAAAATATGATTTCCTGGCTGAATTGGTTTTGCGATATAACCCCCATCTTTTTTAACTCTTTACATGCTTTTAATATAAAGTTTATTCCTCTCAATCATTCTTTGTACTTATCGACTTTAAGTGACACAAGTGGAATACTATCAAGAATAATTTCAATATAAATTTCATACTTTCCTGAAATACCTACGAGTCCTAACTGTATACATGATATGTCTGCCATATACTACTCAAGGCATTTTTTTTCAAATTTAGTTGTGAATATCTAGAGAAACTGCCAAAAATGATGTTTAATCTAGTGTTAAATACTTATTATTTTTTACACTGATATGAACATTGCTGACTAACTAACTTGGAGCTACTGCACAGAAACAAATATTTTAAGTTATGTAGACTCTTGGAAGAATAATACAGAAACATATGAAGTCTTTAAAAAAAATACACATTGGGCTAGGCATAAGGCATAATCCCAACCGATATGCATTTTATCAAAGACTTCATATTGTTTCATATTTACTTATCGTTCTATGATACTGAAAAATTTATCTTTTTAGTGTCATTGTTTTTTTTTATTTTGATTAATATTACATTTTCTCTGAGCAAACCAAACTAATCTGAAACAATTGTTTACATCATGACTCATCTGCTGCTTCTGTGCTGTCAATCATTGGGCTCCTTGCAAGGTCAAATGAAAATTGTGCATGGAATTTCAAAAATAAATACAGAAATACTGGTCAATATCATCGGTTGTTCGGATAAAATTGGATTGAAGATTGTAAAAGTAAAGCTAAGATTAAGAAATTCAATATTTATAATCTTGTAGTATTCGTGTTTATTTTGTAATTATTTTACCGTCTTTAAGGTTGTTTGTATTACAGTATTCGGTCCCAAAATGTTATTCATGTCATTCGACGCACCCTCTCTCTTGAAACTCATCCGCAACAACCATAACGATTTTCTTGCGTAAAAATTAAACATAATATGATCGTTGTTTTGTAGTAGAATTAATTGAATTAATTGAATACACAATTGATTTAATTCTATATTCAAGCTATTATTCATTTTGAACGTTTTAAAAGAAACTGGTTTACAGCTGTTGCTATTTTCTATTGCGGATGCATCCACTGACACATTCGGTCGCGTAAATCTGACCGACCACTAGATGATGATCGAGCTTTGCTCGACGCCATTAAAAGTCAAAAGGCCACATGCAGGGGATAAATTGACCTTATATCAGGTCTATGTATTTTGTGGAGGGGGTATATATTTAATATCCTATCAGTAAGCAGTACAGTGTAAAATCGCTTATATATGAGGGGTCAAATTTTCGTGGTTTGAGGAAAAAATATAGGATTGTGAGGATTTAGTTTCGTGGATGAAGAATTGTTGAGTACAGTGGACCTTCAGATATCCGGACGCCAGATATTCGGATGCTTCAGTATCCGGACTACTTTTCATTGGAACGGATTTTTTTAACGTTGTTTTATCTTGTTTAAATGGTAATTCATATATCCGGACGCTTCACATAACCGGACAAATTGACTAGGAACCGAAGCGTCCGGATAAATGAGGCTCCACTGTAGTCATGTATATGACATTTTACATTTCGTGGTGAACATAAATTCGTGGGTCTCTTCATATCTTGAAAACAATGAAAATTAAATCCCCATGAAAGTTAGTGTTTTCACAGTATTTAAAATGAATATGTGTTTACACAATTTTTTTTCAATGAATGAAATTTTAAGGAATTCACCTTGCATATTGGGTGGGGGTGTTATAAAAATGCATGAACAACTGAAAGAAAAATAATTGTGGTTTCAAGAATCTGAGTCGACTTACGTCATTGTCTTCCTCCTGTCTCCAAGAGTTCTTCACTTTAGTCTGTAAACAATGCATACATTCACATATAAGCTTACTATAATAGTACCCATACATTTTACACAGAATGCTTGTGACTGTTACAGATCTTACTTTCCTTTCCACTTTTCTGACAGTAGTACAGGTGTCACTTGACATGTGTCATAAACAATAACATGCACAGCTTGTACAGTCATAAATTGTACAGATCAAATAAAATGCATCATGTTTAAGAAACAGTTACACAGATGACTTAGAATGTGAAATAATCCAGTCATCAAACTATATTCTATAGGTCCTAAAATGCATTGATGATAGGAATAAGATGAGATGAAAATAAATGAAAGACTTAACATCCACAAAATCAATCATGGTCAAAGAAACTAAACGTTTCACAATTTAAACTTTGTTCATTATAGTAATACAAGTATTTTATTTTTTAGTATGTATTATACATTTTCTTTATAAATATTTATTCAGTAAATGACTTGCATTCCTCTACATAATAATTTTGTATGTTGACTAGTTTTATTCAACATCATTATTGCACTATGGCATTTATTTTCTCTTTCTGCAAATTAAGAATATCATTTTTTTTCCTTTGAACTGCCAAACTGCACACATACAGTGAAGTGTGTTTGATAAAGTACCCAAGTGGTACACACAGAGAGAAATTATTTGACGTTGCAAGATTGCTGAAAAGATTTAATCAAATATCCGTAAAAAAAATTCTCCAATAAAATTCCTGTTGCTATATGTTTTTCATACAAATATTAAATATACCTTTGTAAGTAAGAGTAGCTCTTAGGAAACTATGAAAATATCAAAAAATATCCCCAATAATTTATCCGCATCATCGACATCTGCATTCGTCCATGTTTACAACGAAGCTAACTCGATAGCTTCCGGAAATTTACGAGAAAAAAATGAAATGCCGAACCCGATTGAAATAATTTAATAAATTGAAGGAAATTCGGTCAGAGAACTGACCATATAATGGAAATAACTTCAAACTTTTATATAACTTTGTGTTAAGATGAAGTACAAAGTAAAGTGTTTTATTGTATGTGTAAGACTGGATGGCGAATTCACTGACATCGTGTACCATACTTTTGGCAAAGGATCTAAACATGCTAAACTAGCCCATGTGATAAGTGCTAAAGATGATGTAAAAGATGAACACAATCGTTATCCACAACGGAAAGTTAAAGAGTTTACAGAAAATACTGAAGGAGATTACACTCTTTTGCTATCAGACTCTTCTACAGGCGAATGTCAACAAACTTATAACTTCTTTATGACTTCCCTGAAGTTAGATGCCCATCTGGCCTCTTGTCTCATATTTGAGTTTAAACTTTTCCCACAATTTAGGGAGAGATTATTTAATTTTTTTAAACAGAATTATAACTATCAATACACTACTGTGAATTTTAAGGAAAAGGACACAGAAGTACAAGCAACGAGAAAAGAGCAACAAAAAGAAAATATGATTGTTGACTATGTGGTGGAAGTTGACCCAGTTTATCCCAAACAGAAAGTGGACTATGCATGGAGTTATAAGTTAGGAGCCCAGACGGTCCGGAAAATGCTGCTAGAGGAGGCATTTGCCTGGTTTTCGACTCTTGGAGGGGCATTCTCATCGCTGGGTGACTGTTTTCCTAGATTCGCAGAGGAGGCCGGGAGAATCTCCATGAAACAGCTGAAAATAGCAGAGGAGGAGGAAAATCCCATTCTAGCATGCAAAGCAAAGCTATTTTTTGCCCAGAGTTTAATGCAAAGAGGTTACATTGCAGAGTCTCAGAGGATAATATGGACCCAGACAATTTTTGCCAAGAAAATGATAGGTGTGGATAGTAAATTGTTGACAATGTGTCGAGCTCTGAGGAAACGATTAAAATATGTCAAAAATAACATGTTAACTGTATGATCAAATATCAAAACTTATTTGTTAGAAGTGTTTTAATGCCAATTACAGTTTTTAAAAGAAATAATTTTTCTCTTATTATTATTATTTTGATAATGTGTGCCATTTTGCATGCATATGAACTCATGTGCACTATTTGATAAAGGCCTATATTCGGTAGCATCAACCAGAATCAAACTTGCATTAAAATAATGTTTCTTTGCCCTCTTCCAGTTTTTTTTTTCCACAAAGAAAATTGAAACTTTTAAACATCAATGCTGAATATTACGAAATCCCATTGAGCTCATTTTCGTCGGTTAAAAATTCAATTTTCTCGTTTTAACGCGAAACTTTCGCGAATAAACACGAAACTTTCGCGATATAACGCGTAACTTTCACAAATAAACGCGGAACTTTCGCGATATAACGATTAACTTTCGCGAATAAACGCAAAACTTTCGCGTTTTAACGCGAAACATTTGCTGTTTAACCAAGACATTTGCATTAGTTTTATTATTTTTTTTTTGATTTCGTAATTTAGTTTATTCATTACAAAGAAAATCAAAAGGCTATTTTGGTCTTGGACCATCACAAGCTACAATTTGAAGTTTTCTTGCTATTGAATCGATCCATATTACCGTCACATTTTGTCTTTCTCAACGCTGTTCAAACCATTCAAAGTTAATGCAAATTTTTCAAAAAGTTAAACTTCAAGATTATGAATTTCGGGATAAAATCAATCCTTTCAGGCGTCTTTTTTATACACTCTCATGGGTGAACTCCGTTAAATTCACTATAGAAATACGACATGGTCATTCCATGTAAATTCCCGAAATTTAAACGTTAAATTGCGAAAGTTACGGGTTTATTCGCGAAAGTTTCGCGTAACGCAAAAGTTACGAGTAACGACGCGAGAAAATATTTTTTTAACCTACGAAAATGAGCTCGATGGGCTTTCATATATAAAAACGTCTGCAGGCGCGAAAATCGACAAAATGCCAGAAAGCACGTACATGCACTAAAAAGATGAGTTATATTATGTTTGCTGTTTTTTTTAATTATTATACAACTGTACATGTGTATATGCATAGGCGTCGGAACCGGTAGGGGGGGGGGGGCTTAGCCCCCTTTTTTGGCAAATATAGACATAATAAAGGCATTGAACCATGTGAACATTAGGGCGTAGGTTTAGCCCCGCCCCCAAACTTTCAACACGCACAGATGCCAGTGTAATCAAAGAAGAAGGGTATACAAGTGGTAGGGTTTTTTAAAAAAAAGAAAAATACTGAAAGAAGTTTAACCCTCCTCCCCCAATATGGAGAATTTACTCCCCCTTTTTTTGTTTGTTGGTTTTTTTCAGGTTTGATTTTTTTTTTCAATTAGCCCCCCCCCCCCCCCCACCATTTCACTTTGATTAGGAAGCTACTGATGTGTGTACACTGTACCTTTATGTTATCCTTAATCGTCGCATAAGCCACTTTTGTCCGTTGTTTGTGGGAACAAAATGACACTAAATCCATGAATTGCAAAAATGGTAACCCTTTTAATCATTATATCGATATTTATATAGGATTGGTTATTTTAATTGTTCACCGAGAAATGAATCTAAAATCTACTGAATGGAAACCCAAGGCTTTCTCAGAAAATGATATGTGTGCGTTGCAGTTGAATATTTACCGCTGAAAAACTCTCCCATAGAAAGAAAATTTACAGATATATTTATGAGTTTCCCTAAAAGTTTGACGATAAAAAGGGGAAAAATGTTTTATGTGAAATAATTCTTAAGGAACTTTATCAAGATACACAACTTGATTTATGATGACAGTGGCGAAATCTAACTACATGTATAGACTGTGTAGACTGAGGGACCAATCTGATTAAAATACAGATCTCTACATAGCGCAAAGCGCTTTGCGCTATGTAGAGATCTGTATTTTAATCAGATTGACTGAGGGACATGATTTCATTTTTTTTTGTGGTGCATATAAATCACATAATTGAAAAAATGCTTGAGTTTCTGATTGACAATATCCATGTAGTTTCTGCATGGGGACCAATTTTTCCAATAATCTGTCGGAAATGCCATGGGTACCAATCGCGCCTGTAATAATAAGAGTATAAGACCTATATATGAAGCAGATTTTATTGAGAAGAAAACACTTGCTATGGCCTTCAAATAGAATGTAGAGACATCTAATTCTACGGAAGAATTTAATTTGATTTAATCCATAAAAAACTAAAACGAATTTATTTAGTCAAGGTCATGTCGATTTTTAATATGATCGGGATCGGTCTTCCATTATTTGTTGACAAATAATCTGGTAAGCCTAAAAGAAGTGCAAGTATTAGTCACTGTTTGTGTTATTTATCAGTCGACATGGCACACTTTTTTCTGTCAATTTGCATGAAGTGTTAAGTACTTAGCTGTGACATACCACTCGACATAAGACTAATTTACATATATTTTCAGGGTCATGTGATGATCAGCTGTAAGCGATACATGTGCACTTCAAAGTTGATGTCTGCATGGATTTTGTTGATTTTATCTTGGTTTCATCTTAATTTGTTTAAGGTAAGGCTAATAAACTACAACGACATTAAATTGCATTTTTTTCTCAAAACGGTAAGTGCATGTTTTTCCAATTAATCAAAGGGGTTCTCCCCTGGACCTATTAGAGAAGTTGTCAGGCTTGTGTTTTGGATAGTTGACTATGATCTGTTAAATATTTGGACACTATAGCAGACCTCTAAGTGTCCTTTTGAATTTAGAAACTAACTTGTTTCTAATAAAAATTTAAGTCTCCAAGAAAATAATTCTTAGACACCAACTTCAAAAGCTAAATTAAAATTCAATATTATACAGACTAATTGGGGTAGTTTAGGGGGGAGGGGGGGTGTCTATAGCAGTTGTAAAGAAAAAATCAATAATATATATTACATATATATGGAAATACAGATTTTCTACTGCAGATATTTAAACTAGAATAATGTAGAAACATTTAATTGATACCAAGGTCTTTTTTTATCATAATTACATACAGACACCATGGATCACAGTGATGATGAGGTAAAAGAGAAACTGATCTCCAAGGTAACATCCAGTTACACAGAAAGTGAGGAGGATGCTGATGCAATCACAGAACAGAGTAAGGACTTCAGCCACGAAAACAGAACCTCGTAAGTATACACAGAACAGAGTAAAGATTTCAGCCACGAAAACAGAACCTCGTAAGTATACATAGAACAGAGTAAAGACTTCAGCCACGAAAACAAAACCTCGTAAGTATACATAGAACAGAGTAAAGACTTCAGCCACGAAAACAGAACCTCGTAAGTATACATAGAACAGAGTAAAGACTTCAGCCACGAAAACAGAACCTCGTAAGTATACATAGAACAGAGTAAAGACTTCAGCCACAAAAACAGAACCTAGTAAGTATAAATAGAACAGAGTAAAGATTTCAGTATCGAAAACAGAACATCGTAAGTATACATAGAACAGAGTAAAGATTTCAGTAACGAAAACGGAACATCGTAAGTATACATAGAACAGAGTAAAGACTTCAGCCACGAAAACAGAACCTCGTAAGTATACATAGAACAGAGTAAAGACTTCAGTAAAGAAAACAGAAGCTCATAAGTTTTCATAGAACAGAGTAACTAAAGATTTCAAAAATGGACATAGAACTGTAAAAAGGACATAACTGGGTGGCTGCTCACATAATTCATCTTTATCTCAGTTCTGAATCTAAAAAAAAACCTGTTTATTTCATGTATATATTTGTTTCTATCCATTTTTATCTATTACTTGTAAACTATTTCTAGGTCATGTAAGACTCTTATGAACTTGCTGAAGGGAAACATTGGTCCCGGGATCTTGGCTCTTCCAATAGCATTTAAATATGCAGGATTATGGGTGAGTTTTTTCCTTCATTTAGCAAGGGTGCCTCTTCAATAATTATGAAATTCCATGCTTCTAGGTCATATGTAGTGACAGGACAGTATTCTTAGAATAACTCATTGTCTGCACCTGTTTATATAGAAGATTAACTATTGAATATTGTTTTTGTTATAACATTAATGTTGCCATGGCTACAGCTGTATATTGTTTCTAACAGTAATGTTGCCATGGTTACAGCTGTATATTGTCTCTAACAGGCTGGTGCTGCCGGGCTATTTTTCCTGGGTTATGTCTCTCTCCACTGCCAACACATGTTGATGACGTGCAGTAATATCCTCAAGGAGAGACCAGTGTAAGCACTACAGTATACAGTTTTGTTCAGTAGGTGGAATATTTTCTCTTGAAACTCTTTGATGTTCAATGTGAAAGACAAAAGCTTACATGTACATGTTTGTGACTTATACTCTGTTCTTGTTCATTGATTATTTAATCTGTGCATTGTGAAATTTAACGTGGTGTATGAGTACTAAATTTTGGTTAAGTGTTATCTTTTAAATAACTGTTTGAACAATTTCAATAAATGTTAGTTTTTCCATCAGATCTATGGGACAAAGTTTGGGATATGCTGGAGTAGTAGAAAACTGCCTAGCAACAGGCCCCGTCTGTCTCAGGAGATTCCAGAATGCAGGACGGTAAGCTGAAACTCCGGGATTTCAAAGTGTGTGTTTTATAGCTGCTTAAGATACTTGTTATGAAATGAATTAAGGAAAAATTGTTCAATTACTTTTTATCTATATCTGTTAAAACTTCTTGGTGTCGGGAAAAGCTTTAAAGTAAGGAAATGTTTTGGAAGAGAATCAGTGCAATGTACTTAGCTACAGTACTTTCCTATCTAATCACTGGTTGTTGTTTTCTTTAGAGTAGTGATCAATGTGTTCCTGATCGTGACCCAGCTGGGATTTTGTTGTGTGTATATCGTGTTCGTGGCCCAGAATTTCAGACAGGTAAAACACAGAATAGTGGTCCTGTTTGTTTTCTTCTGTTTATATATTAAACTCCAAATATTAGATAAATGAACTGCATATTTAAGCACACAAATAAACATTATTAATTTTGAATTTTATTGATCTTCATTTTTCATTTAATTTAAACATTTTAGTGTGCCTGATCTAAACCAGTGGTTTGGTTACTATTTTATTTACATACACATATTTTTCCTCTGATTTGTCATCACTTACCTGTAGCCCTGTTTCTTTGCAGTATTCCTCTTCTCCCAAAGCATTCATAAAGCAAAATTCATCTTATCATAAAAATAAGAGATTGTCACTGCTTTATATACTCAGTAAAACATGGTCATAATGAACACACATAATGATTTTATACTTATAGCAAAATCATTTTATTCTCTGTAGTTTTAGTACAAAGTACATGTGTATTATCTATTCACATATATAACAAGGTAGATTAATAATAACAAATCAAAATCAGCCATCCCTGGCACTTCACTATAATAACCGTGTTTTACTGTATGTTTTCCAACCTGAATTACCAAGAATTATACACATTTCCTATATATAGCTTTAATTGTGCAATTTTTAATTACTTTTGGCATATCTGATATTAAACATACAGTAATTTGAAAGTGAGTTGTCTCTTTGCAAAATAGGTGCTGTCATATCTTTAAGTTTCACATATTTTGAGTTTTATGAAGTAGAAATGAACAAAAGACAATTTTGGAAAGTGTCCCATCATTCCCAGTACAAATGTCAGAAAATTAGCAGCTTTGGGGTCTTTTTTTTTTACCATCTTAAGATTATATTTACAGGTTCATGTTAGAAGCTCTAAACTTTCATTGATCTTGAATCTGAGAATTCAATTCATCTGAGCCCTGTTTCACAACAAAAAAAAAAAAGACTAAGACCCAAAACCTCAGATGAATGTAGATTCTTGCATGAAACACTGGCATTAAAATACATTTTAAACTCTTTTTATAAAGATTAATACCAATTCAAATTATTGTTATTTAGTATTTACAAAATTACATTTTTGTCTCAGGTTTACATGAAGTTCTTTTGTAAAATGGGTTCTAGTATTTTTGTTTTAATATAAAGTACATGAAATAGTCTAATTTTCTGAAGATTCTGTAAGTTGTGATTTTTACTAACTACCACCTGAGTAACTTTGTCACACCCTTTTCTGTTATTGTACTCATATTGTAGGTGATTTTAAGCAGCAACAAGGCAAACCTCCACCTGGATATGATTATAATGGGGATTGAACTGATTGTGATCATTGTCTATTGCACCACGATACAGAGTCTACACGGCCTGTCCTACTTCTCACTCATCGCTAACTTCCTCAACTTCGCGGGCCTCTTCTTTGTCATATTTTACGTTGTTCAGGACACTCCGTCTCCGAGTGTGAGACCAGCCTTTGTAGGATGGTACGATCTTCCCATGTATTTTGGAACAGCTGTCTATGCATTTGAAGGCATTGGCTTGGTAAGAAATATAGAATGATGGAACATTAAAACAATCAGTTCAGGAGATGTAATCATTATATTTAGTGAAACTTTATTTTTTATTAAAAATATTGATGCATTCCTTAGAAAATCCAACAATTTTACTTTACTGGAAGTGACTTATTAATTTAAGAAATGTATCCTTACAGGTGATGCCCCTGAAGAACAAGGCTCGAGATGAGATGGACTTTTCCAGAAGATACGGACTCCTGACCTTAGGAATGACCATTGTCATTGCTCTGTACTTGGCCATAGGATTTCTAGGGTATCTCAAGTACGGGGATCATGCCTTAGGGAGCATCACCCTAAATCTACCACCAGTAGACATGTAAGTCAAGCTACAACCAGTAAACATGTAAGTCAATGTACCACCAGAAGACATGTAAGTCAATCTACCACCAGTAGACATGTGAGTCAATCTACCACCAGGAGACTTGTAAGTCAATCTACCACCAGTAGACATGTAAGTCAAACTATCACCAGAAGACATGATAGTCAATCTACCACCAGTAGACATGATAGTCAGTACCACCAGTGGACATGTAAGTCAATCTACCACCAGAGACATGTAAGTCAGTGTACCACCAGTACCACCAGTAGACATGTGAGTCAATGTACCACCGGAAGACATGATAGTCAATCTACCACCAGTAGAGGTGATAGTCAGTGTACCACCAGTTGATATGTAAGTCAATCTACCACCAGTAGACATGTAAGTCAGTGTACCACCAGTAGACATTTAAGTCAATCTACCACTATTACACATATAAGTCAATGTAACACCAGTAGACATGTAAGTCAGTGTAGCACCAGTAGACATGTAAGTCAGAGTACCACCAGTTGACATGTTAGTCAATTTACCACCAGGAGACATGTAAGTCAATCTACCACCTGTAGACATGTTAGTCAATGTACCACTAGTAGACATGTAAATCCATGTACCATCAGTAGACATATAAGTCAGTGTACCACCAGAAGCCATGTAAGTCAATGTACCACCAGTAGATATGTAAGTCAATGTACCACCAGTAGACATTTAAGTCAGTGTACCACCAGAATCCATCTAAGTCAATGTACCACCAGTAGACATGATAGTCAGTTACCACCAGTGGACATGTAAGTTAATCTACCACCAGAGACATGTAAGTCAGTGTACCACCAGTACCACCAGTAGACATGTGAGTCAAACTACCACCAGAAGACATGATAGTCAATCTACCACCAGTAGACATGATAGTCAGTGTACCACCAGTTGATATGTAAGTCAATCTACCACCAGTAGACATGTAAGTCAGTGTACCACCAGTAGACATTTAAGTCAGAGTACCACCAGTTGACATGTTAGTCAATTTACCACCAGTAGACATGTAAGTCAATCTACCACCTGTAGACATGTTAGTCAATGTACCACTAGTAGACATGTAAGTCAGTGTACCACCAGTAGACATATAAGTCAGTGTACCACCAGAAGCCATGTAAGTCAATGTACCAGTAGACAAGTTAGTCAATCACCCACCAGTAGACATGTAAGTCAATGTACCACCAGTAGACATTTAAGTCAATGTACCACCAGTAAACATGTAAGTCAATGTACCACCAGTAGACAAGTTAGTCAATATATGGCCAGTAGACATGTTAGTCAATCTCCCACCAGTAGACATATAAGTCAATCTACCACCAGTAGACATGTAAGCCAGTGTACCACCAGTAGACATGTAAGTCAATCTACCATGTTAGTCAATCTCCCACCAGTAGACATATAAGTCAATCTACCACCAGTAGACATGTAAGCCAGTGTACCACCAGTAGACATGTAAGTCAATCTACCACCAGTAGATATGTCAGTCAGTGTTCTAGACATGTTAGTCAATCTAACACCAGTAGACATGTAATTTAATCTACCATTACTAGACATGTAAGTCAGTGTACCACCAGTAGACATGCAATTCAGTGTACCACCAGTAGACATGTTAATCAATGTACTATTAGTAGACATGTAAGTCAATCTACCACCAGTAGACATGTAAGTCAATCTACCACCAGTAGACATGTAAGTCAGTGTACCACCAGTAGACATGTAAGTCAGTGTACCACCAGTAGACATGTAAGTCAGTGTACCACCAGTAGACTTGTTAATCATTGTACTACTAGTAGACATGTAAGTCAATCTACCACCAGTAGACATGTAAGTCAATCTACCACCAGTAGACATGTAAGTCATTCTACCACCAGTAGACATGTAAGTCAATGTACCACCAGTAGACATGTAAGTCAGTGTACCACCAGTAGACTTGTAAGTCAGTGTACCACCAGTAGACTTGTAAGTCAGTGTACCACCAGTAGACATGTAAGTCAGTGTACCACCAGTAGACTTGTAAGTCAGTGTACCATCAGTAGAAGTGTAAGTCAGTGTACCACCAGTAGACATGTAAGTCATTCTACCACCAGTAGACATGTAAGTCAATGTACCACCAGTAGACATGTAAGTCAATGTACCACCAGTAGACATGTAAGTCAGTGTACCACCAGTAGACTTGTAAGTCAGTGTACCATCAGTAGACGTGTAAGTCAGTGTACCACCAGTAGACATGTGAGTCACTCTACCATCAGTAGACATGTGAGTCACTCTACCACCAGTAGACATACATTTATAAGTAACTCAATCTACAACCAGTAAACATACAAGTTAATCTATATTCAGTAGACATTAAGTCAAACTTGCACATGCCTTATGTTTATATAAATGTATTTTGCAGGCTCTCAAGATTGACCAAAATAACCTTCGTTGTTTCTGTGTTTGTGACTTATGGACTTCAGTTTTATGTGCCAGTCAATATACTATGGCCAAAAATAGAACACAGACTTTCAAGTTCCAAGGCCAGATCTGTGGGCAACATTATCTTCCGAATTTCTCTTATTCTATTTACAGGTGAGTACTTTTGGCCTATGACATTGTCCTTGAAATTTTGCATACTTTTCAAAAAATTTTAAGTTTGGTTAATAATAATAATCTGTATGTGTGTACGTGTGATAGCGATGTTAATGTTTATCTGTATTATGTTATAATTTTATCTGTATGTTTGTAGGTGTGATAGCGATGGTCATTCCCCACTTGGACCTGTTGATAGCTCTTATTGGTGCTATGGCCAGTAGTTCATTAGCTTTCATTTTCCCTCCGATCATTGAACTTGTGACACTCTCAGCAGACAATAGCCACCCCTCTGTTTTTGTTATCCTGAAGGATGTGGCCATTATGTTGCTAGGGATTGTAGGTTGTATAACAGGAACTTATGCTGCTATTCTAGGAATTGTCAATGTATCATAAAATTAACATTTATTTGTATTGCTCACATATTCTTCCTCAGCTAATGTGGAATTAAACCATTTTGTATACTCTCTGTCATTTTTTTTTTTTGTGCATTCATGTTTAGAGTTAATTTGGAAACATGTATAATCAAAGAAATGTTTTTTAGGATTTGTTGATATTATAAAGCTGCAATTTTTTTGGGGGGAGGGGGGCACAGGGGCTACATTATTGAAACTACAGAATAAAATTTTATTCCAAGTTTCTCCCAATAAAGGGACCTTGTTTTGTCATATATCTATGTCAAATTAACATTGACAGTGGCATTTGTTATTAACTCACCTGAACCAAAGGTTCAAGCAAGTTTTTCTGAATTTAATTTGTCTGTTGTTTGTCATAGTTGCTATTTTCTTGATAAACTCTTCCCATTTTCATCTTCTCCAGAACCACAAAATTGTAACTGACAAAGGCATTCATTTTATTTAGTTTTCACCCAAAATTTTCCATGATTCTTTAAAAATAAATTCTTACTGGTAGTATCCAAAAGAATAGGTAAAAGAAATGAATATGCATAAAAGGTCTATAATATTGGCATCAGATGTTTCTATTTATGTTTCATGTTTGTTGGTGTGTAATTGTGGTTAATATTTTCATTATGTGGTAATTTGTGCAATATTTTATTAAATTGTCAAATTTTGATGCTGTGCCTACTATGCTATGCTTGATATGAGATTTTATTTCTTTACTCATATAAGATGATATTTAAAACAATTTAAATAAATTTGCAAATGTCTAACAAAACAATACTATAATATGTATATCCATCACTCAGGTTTACTGTAAAACAATTCTTGATCATGATGTTAAGTACTGTAAATCACTTTTTATTCGCGGGAACTTTATTTTTGCGTAATTATGCAAGACGTGTGCTTGCGAAAATTTATTTCTCGCGTATAATAGTATCCTTAGGATTATATAGAGCAATGACCACAATTCATGAAAATTTTGTCTTCCTTATAAAGAATCAATGACTATCTCATGAAAATAAGGTGTCGCGAAAATTTAGTGATCTATATAAAGTAATCACTTTAATAAACTTTTTTTTAAAAAAATATACACATTTGTTTTACCATTTATTCTCACCTATAAGTTGGTCAGGCTATTAATTGGTTGTATTTTATAAGCTTACATGTATAAAGGAGGGATGGAGCAGGTAAAATACCATTCTTTTTTTAATTTTCCTATAAGTGGGATACAGAAAATGAGATTTTGGAATCAAAGTGTAACTAACAAAAAATCAACTAGAAGAAGAGTATATACAGAGTTTAGGTCAATAAATATGTATTTTTGCTTATTTAAAAAAAAAGCTTTGGTTAAAAATAATCCATTTGTTGCTGACAATAATTGTATATTTCAGATTAAAGTATAAGTCATCTGAAAATGTTACTGCACAGGAACAAATAAAACATTTGCTGTTAACAGTTTGTTTTTCTTGAAAAAGTTAAATATAAATCTAGCTGCAGAACTGTAGCTCTCTGAAAAAAATATATTGACAGACCTGAGAGCTACAGCTAATGCCACCCTTTGAAAAACCTATATTTATTGCACACAAAAAGTTGCGCTTATTTTTAGATTAATTCTACCAAATTCTTATCTCAATTGCAAAAAAGCTAGGTTTCATACAATTCTTTACTTTTGTATCAAGTACACTCTTAGTTTACATCTGCACAAAGCTTGCTGGGCGGAATTATCTTTCAAACCAAACGGGCATTTAAATAGATTAATTTTCGATAATCTCGATTTCAGGACCAGGAGGGCTATAATATAACAACAATTGTAAAGAATGTTTTGTTGTGGAAACTGAAAAATATGTTAGGAACACATGGTTAGTAATATTTTGAGATGACAGTTTTAAAAACACGGAGAAATAAATTGAGAAACTGCGCACTTTTTTGGGTGCAATAGAGATACAGTAAAACTCGGTTATAGCGAAGTCTTGGGGACCTGTGAATTTAATTCGCTGTATCCGTAATTCGTTATATCTGTATAGCAAATTCGTATAACCATCTATAGCAAATTTGCAATATGCATGTTTTCCTTCAAGTTTTTACTCCCAAATATGATAGGAAAGCAAAAAGTACAAAACCATCCTTCTATAACTTAGGTTTTACTATGAATTAAAATTTATATATAAATGCTAAAAGAAAATAAAGTCAGTTCAATTAATCAAATTTTGAGATCTTAAAAAGTTTGTTATATGAAATGTAAATTTCATTTCATTTAACCTCAACGGGACTCAAAATCAATTCGCTATATCTGTAAATTCGTTATAACAGAGTTCATTAAAACTGTAAAATTTTACAAAGATTTGTTAAGAATTTTGCTGGGAACCCAGAAAAACTTCGCTATATCAGTGAATTCGCTATATCAGTGTTCGTACTAAACTAGTTTTACTGTACAGTTTTTTTCAATGGGTGGCACTGTAGCTCTCCGGTCTGTCAATATATATATATTTTTTTGGCCAGCTACAGTTTTGCAGCTAACATAAATCATATAAGTTTTTTTTTGTTTTTTAAATGTATTTTCTCTTGACTATATGTTACACAACTGCAGTGTAAACCCAGTCATGAATCTATACCCTGATGTAGTACTTAGTACTGTAAAACAATTTACAAGCAGTAAAAACTTAAAAGTATTGACAAAATGCAGCCGTTGGGAGAGGGTGTTAATTTCAATACATATTGTAAATTATATGAAATTGGAGAGCGTTTTTGAAAGTCAGAAAATTTTTTTTACTTTGAAAAAGTTGGCAAAAAAAAAAAAAAACTAAAAGACCAAAGAAAAATTTCGTGTGTGTGTGTGTGTGTGGGAGTGGAATGTCAAAACGATATATTTTTTATGAACATTTACCATAGTAAAGGTAATGTTCGAGATCCCTGTTAATACAAAAGCATATATGTCTGCAGGGGGTGAAGCCCATGGGTTTTTGTGTATTTTAAGAGTAAAACAACTTTGCACAAGTGATATATATTCATGGGTTTTTGTGTATTTTAAGAGTAAAACCAGGCACAGAAATATTGGTATTGTACTAAACTATGGCAATATTAATATTATTCATATCATACTTTGAAATTTTAAGGGACCATGTACCTTTGTATTAATTTACAAGCCTTTATATTTAAGAATTGGCTTGTATTTAAAGTGGCCATTTGTATCCTCTGGTAATCTGATTTTAAATACTATTTGGTTCTAAAATGGCGAGCGAAGCGAGCCCAAAAAAAAATGCTGAATTGAAGATTCTGAGGTTAAATTGAACGTAAATAAGGTATTTTCACAATATTTAAATATCATATGTCAAAGTCAGATTATTTATTTTCTTTGCAGAGGAGGACAGATTATTTATTTTCAACATTTTCAGGGACAGATTATTTATTTCCAAAATCTGCCAGCCCCCCCTCTCAGAATCAAATGGTCGTCCCCTAAAACAATTTATTTTACAAGCAGTAGATAGTATTGACAAAATGCAGCCGTTGGGAGAGGGTGTTAATTTCAATACATATTGTAAATTATATGAAATTGGAGAGCTTTCAGTCTAAGTGGTAATAATTAAAAACTGTAAGACCAAGAAAGTGGGAGTGGATCGGGATCGAGATCCAGAATACAAAAAGCAACATGTCTGCGCCCACAACTTTGCACAAGTGATATATATTCTAGTCGATTTTAAAACTACATATATATGTCTAGCTTATGGTAAGACCATGTACCTACAAGCCTTTATATTAAGTAGGTTTGTCTTTAGATAGAACGCCCTCTCGTTAGAATGATATTGTTAAACGGAGGGCTTGTCCCGAGACATGGATTATTCTAAGTAATTCAGACTATAGTGCCACAGGTACTCCTGTGGTAGAGCCACACTGTGAGGTACTTGGGTCATTAACACGTAAAAAAGTAGGTATACATTATTAACAACTTATCTGTGGATGGGATGTCGGATATTAAATCTGAGGATTGTAGGTAATATACTAGTACACAATATGGAACCCCAGCCTAGTAACCATAGCAACTGCCTAGTATATATGCCATGTGATTACTGAAATTATACCGTATATACTCGCCTATAAGTCGGATTTTTGGGAGTTAATCTCTTGTCCAAAACTCTATGTCCGACTTATAGGACATGAATGGTATTATGAGGTCAGTCCCTCTGATATATAGGTTTATTAAATACAACCGACTTATAGGCGGACCGACTTATAGGCGAGTATATACGGTAGTTTATAATATATTACGCTTTTTAACACCCCCCCCCATGATTGTGACTCCTCATTATCACTTTCATTACTTCCAAGTACAATATAAATATCGGAATGTGTCTGATTTCTGTAGATGATATACTGATGTTATGGAAGCCTGATTCAAGGTAGGCTAGAATTGGTGCCTAATCCTATTTAATTGTGATGTCCTGAGTATGAGTTCAGTAGGATCTCGCCTGATTTCTTCTGTCAAGAGACTTCAACCCTGTGTCCAGGTCTACAGGAATGTCACACGTCAGTGGAACAGAGAGTATTCTTTGAGAAGTCATGCTGACTACTGGAGGACCAATCCAATAGAAGATCTACAGGACTTTGTGGCTGTCCCACTGATAAAGAAAGAAAACCTTGTATTTAACCCAACTCGGGAGGAAATAGAGAAGGGACATGATCTCTTCATAGAAAAACCAGGACATGTCATCAAGAGGGTAAAATCAGTGGTGGATCTAGAAAAACTACCAGTTCACAATGTTCCAGAGGTTTGTGTAATTAGTAGTAACTGTTGTGATAAAGTCTCTTGTCTAAGCTACTGAGAGAGGGATAGTTGACGAAAGTGAAGCTGACCACAATCATTACTGATGGCATATATTCTATGTCACAGTTACATAAATTTCTATGCAACAAAAATAAAATTGTATTTCAAACTTAAATGAGCATTTTACCTTGCTTGTTCTTAACAAGTAGGAAACCTTGGATGAATTAATACCACTTCTTATTTATTTTGTGCAGGTATCCTTTGTTGGCCAAAGTAATGTCGGAAAGTCCTCACTAATCAATGCCTTGTTTTGTAATGCTGTGGACCCCAGCCTAGTCAGGATAGGTAAAACACCTGTAAGTAGAGGCAGGTAACTGATGTCTCATTCTTGGGACTTCTCTCCTGACTCATCATTAACTATGCCTGTATCAGCTTACATTTATTTTCCTTTCTTAGATTTAGTGACTTGTCATGTAACATGTGTTGTTCTTGTAGGGATTGACCAGAACTTTGCTGTTTTTCAATGTGGGTAAGCAGCTCTCCCTGGTGGACATGCCAGGTTATGGTAAAAACATGCCGTCCTACTACACAGAGATCATGCAGAACTACCTCAAAACCAGAAGAGAGTGAGTGTTTGTATAGGAGCTAAAAATAAGGAACAGTAAAACCATGCATATAATGAGTTGATGCTTAAAGAGAACCTTTCATTCCCTGTGACTTTGTCCCTATAAACTTTAATGGATTTAATGAATTGAGCTCATAACAAAGCAAAATCTACAATTGCACTTCGCTATAAGCATGTTTTACTGTACACTGTAATAGGATGTGACTGTGTAGACATGGCTTTATGTATATTATTTATAATCATGATTCCACAATCTTAGCAGCTGGAATTTACACTGTACTGCCAGATAAACAGGATTTGATCTTAATCCTTATAAATTAGCTTCCTGATCAGAATACCTGGTTATGATTTTTTGTCATTTTAGACTCTGTCGGTCATTTTTACTTGTGGATAGTGAGCAAGGACTTACCAAATTAGATAAACAGGGACTCAGAATGATGGAGAATCTCGCCAAACCTTATGCTGCATGTCTGTTTAAATATTGTAAAAGTTGGCAATAAATGTAACCTATTCAGAGTACAATCTAATTAAATTAGATGTTCCGAATCCGCTATCACTTCTCAAACATCTAACAACATCCCATTCGGGGTCACGTTCATACACAGCACAGTTTTTGCAATGCATATTTTGTTTACTACGAAACTCCTCCGGCAGTGAAAAGAGAAAATCCATCCGAACTATAAGCCAAGATATCGGAGGCAACAATTTTTATAATCGAAAGGTCGCTCTGTTGTGATCTTGAATTGGATGTTGTTATATGTTTGAGAAGCGATAGTGGATTCGGAACATATAATTTTAATTAGATTGTTCAGAGTATAAAATATTTAAATTATATTTGACAGATTGTTATGACAAAGATTGACAAGCCCAGAAGATCAGTCCTTGTGAAGAATTTGATGGAGGTTTTAGAGCATGCTAACAAGCACACACATATCTGCTTTCCTCAGCCATTTCTTGTTTGGTAAGTTTGTCTTCTCTGAGGAAGTTTAAACAATAAAATGCTTTCTTTGGTTGTTAGTACTGGAATGAATGTCACAGCTGTTGCAGAAAAAATACATAACCTGCTTAAGCGGGTTACGTAATTTTTTTCTGCAATAGCTGTGACATTCATTTCAGTACCAACAACTAAAGAAAGACATTTAATTGTTTATATATATATCTGTTTAAATAATCATTAAAAGTAGGATTAAAAAGATTCATTATTGTATTATTGATATGTACGTCTTAGTACATTTCATTGATGGAACAGCCACTGATCAAGAAATCTGTACAGGTGATATGCCTAGTGTTGTTCATGCACTGATTAATGGCAATGGGTTTTCTTAAGAAATAAAGGAGAAAATATTCAGTGGATGTAAATATAAACAGGTTAACTACATGTACCATAATTTCCTTATCTCCAATTATATTTTTTTTTCAGTGCACCTTCATTAGCGGGGATCAAGTACCTACAGGCTTTTATCGCCCATGTTACAGGGAATTTACAGCTGAGGTGACAGACAATTAACAGCTCATATAATGAAATTTATAGCTCATGTGATATTGATTTTACAGTCATGTGATACTGAATGTATAGGTCATGTTCCAATGAATTTACAGTTCATGTGTCGATGAATTTACAGCTCTTATGATAATGAATTGACAACTCATGTGACAGGGAATATACAGCTCATGTGACAAAAAATTTACATCATATATGACAGGGAATTTGCAGCCCATGTGACTATGAATTAACAGCTCAAAACACTGATGTGCTGAAATTGAAAGCAGCTGATGTGATAAAAAATTTACAGCTCTGCTCCTCAATTTACAGATATTTAGATATTCATTTTCACAAACTATTGTGAAGGAATGTAAAATAAAATGGAGTTCACAGAATGGAGGCCGTAAATGGCAACCAGAGGACTGCAGACTGAGAATCTGTGATAGATAAATCAAAAACAGTACATGATCTATGCTTGATATTTTTATTCAATACCATTTCATTTTTGTAAAATAAATAAGTGACAAACAATAACAATGTGTTTTGTGTAGGATAAAAAATTATCACAGTGAAATTTTCAAAATACAGAAATTTATAAAAGTTTACAGTGAACAGGTGTTTCAATACAAATTTCAAACATTTTGATTAAAAAAAAATGAAGTTGTTTCATTATACAAGTACTATATATTTAAATACATGTAGAAGATTATTACAAGTTCATCATAAAAATTTAGTGTAAAAATGTTAATAACAGTACAAAATTACAGTAAATTACTGAAGACTAGTCTCTAATATATACCTGTACCTGGCATATCTAATTGTACATACATGTAATTAAAAATTTTTATATTAATATTCGATAAACATTTCACTGTCCACCACTATTTTTCTACATATTAAATGACTGCGAAAACATCATGAACTAAACTAAGAAGGCAATGTATACATAACCCTGAGCTTAATAATAGCGGCTAAGAATGGATATGTGGAGAATATGTTTTTAATATAAATAATCAATAAAAACTAGACAAAAATCACAGTACATACATAGGTCCAGGAGTGACAAAAACATAATGAGATTTTATTGACAATCAGGAATTTAATCATGTGATATGCCTTCGAAGAATATTGATATCAATATAACAATTTGATAGATAATAATGTAGAATTATGAAATTCTATCAGACTTTTACACATATTCTGAGACTAACTCTTTGGTCATATGACGTATATTTATTGATTTCTTTTTTATTTTCGTGTATGGGATTAGGAGTATTGATGTTGAAAATTATTGTATTTTACCAGTATTTTTAGGTCACCTGAGTAAACTCAGGTGACCTATACATAGGTCCAGGAGTGACAAAAACATTTGAAGATTTTAAGATTTTATTGCAACACTGAACCAATTTCAACCAAATTTGGCACAAAGCATCTATGGGTGAAGAGGAACAAAAATTGTGAATATTCAGTTTGAGGGGCCTGAGGGGTGGGACCAAAACCACTAAAATTAATGCAATCTTTAAAAATCTTCTTCTTTACTCCTAAGCATCAAGCAGTCAAACTGTTTGCATGATTGTAATCAGCAATGTATGTTTACCAAAATTGTGAAATTCATGGCCCTGGGGTCAGGGGTTTATTTTGTGCTAGGGTGGGGCTAAATAATTATATAGTGAAAATGCATTATTTCTTTGAAAATCTTCTTTTCTGCTCCTGGGTATTAAATAAACTAACTAAGTACATAGTTATGATGAGTTATATTACTAAATTTTTGCCCCAGTATTCATGTTGTGGTTAGGTTGTTCAGTTATATAGTGAAAATACATGAATTCAAATTCTCTGCCCTGGGTATTAAATAAACAACTAAGATAGTTATGAGCAAAGTGCCTTAAATTGTGAATTTTATGGCCCCAGGGTCAGGGTTTCTGGTGTTAGGGCGGGGCTCTCAAATTATATAGTGAAAACAATGCAATTCTTTGAACATATTCTCTGCTCCTGGGTATTAAATAAACACTAAGTGCCTAGTTAACACACAATTATACAAAATTGTATTTTATGGCCACAGGACATGTTTGGTATTTGGGGCATCCATTGATTATATGTGAAAATACATGAATTCTTTGAAAATTTGATTCTCTGCTCCTTGGTATTAAATAAACAAACTAAGTGCATAGTTATGATGAGCAAGAGTGCCTCTACCAAAATTGTGAATTTTATGGCCCCAGGGTCAGGGGTTCTGGAGTTAGGGTGGGTCTCTATTGATTATATAATGAAAATACATGAATTCTATAAATCTACTTCATTGCTATTGGGTATTAAATAAACTAACTAATAAGTGCATAGTTATGATGCCAAGAGTGCCTCTACCAAAATTATGAATTTTATGGCCCGAGGGTCAGGGGTTTTGGTGTTAGGGTGGGGCACTATAGATTATATAGTGAAAATACATTAAATCTTTTAAAAAAAGCTTCTCTGCTCTAGGGTATTCACATCACTAATAGTTATGGTGGACAAGGACCCTAATCTTCCAGAATTGTGAATTTCAAGACCCCAGGGTCAGGGGTACCACAGAGGGGGGGGGGCTGTACTTATATACTGAAAATGAATGAATGGTTTGAAATCTGCTCCTGGCCATCAAATATCAAGGCCTAAGGGTCAGGGGTTCATGTGTAGTAGGGGCACTACTGATTATTGCTGAATATAACTGATTAGTTGAAATGCATTTTTTGTTCCCCTACCTTGTGTATTTTAAATAAACTATGTGTTGAAAATTCCCCCCGCTGGGTTTTTCACAAGTAAGTTTTTGTTAAAAAGATATCAATTAAAACTTATAAAATTTAAATATAGTGACCTTGATAATGTGATCAAATCCTGTACACACCCTTGATATAATGCCCTTGCTGAAATGATACAGTCGTATTGACCAGTTGGAACGGACATAATTATTAAATTTTTTAAGTGACCTTGAAATTCCCCACATGACCTTGGGTCAAGGTCATGACACAAAATATGAAATGAAAACCTACCAAGTTTATGGTAAGAAGGCTTATGTATGAGAATGTTTGAATTTTTCTAAGTTTTGATTTTTTGCTGTCACTGACACACCCTTTCATGTGGTATCTTTGTGTGAAAGAGAACCTACCAAGCTTATCCATATATGTGTCAAACAATTTTGCAACAAATGTGAATTCCCCAAATGACCTTGGGTCAAGGTCATGACACACCTCTTAGAGTCATGGGCAATTTGTGTGAAATAAAGAACATTCCAAGTTTATTTATCAAAAGTAAGTTTGATATTTTTCTCCAGTGACCAACTTCCCCAAAAACCTTGGGTCAAGGTACACACCCTTAGGTTATGAGCAATCTTAATGTGGAATATTTAATGTCCCTCTGTAAGAAAGATATGGACCAGGACACGATTGCAATACCCATTTTAAACACTATTGCAAATTCATTCTTCGGGGTTGTTTTCTAAGCAACTGCTAAGTGTATTGTTATGATGAATTAAATTCAATCACTGGAAAGTTGTTGCATAATGCTCAGGTGACCTATAAGGCCCATGGGCCTCTTGTTTATATAACAACATTTGCCAGTATTGTTTGAACTTGTTCAGAGAAGAAGCTGAAAACGTTTAACAAATTTTTGACCAACAGGCAACAGATGATGAAATATATAATAAGCTGTATGTTACCTTAGGCTTCAAATAATTTAATGACAGGCATATTCACAGAATACATTGTACACAGTTTAAGAACACACAATTATACATTTATATTAGCACTTTACATGTTTGCTGACTTGCTGCATCCCAGTTCTTGTGTAGACATCTTATGAGCACTTGGTAACATTTGATGATGAGTTGCTGGCAACTAAGGCATTTCTTCAGGAATCGATAAAGGTGATGTTACTCATTCTAGATTTATATTATTTATGCATTCAAGCGATTTAAATAAACTATAAATATAAATGTAGATACACGGTATTATTCTATGCTGGCAAACATAATGTTGATGCCATCAGTCATCCACAAAATACAAGCTTCTGGCCACAGAGTGGGCAAGGCTATGTATTATGATGTTGTCATTCATCTCCAAAAGATTTGGTACTGTTCACATCATAAAGTAAGCAAGGTATGCTGTCAATCAACCTCAATTTAATACTAGGTACTGGCCACAGAGTGGGTGGAGCTATGTATGCAGACAATGTCAATCATCCACAAAAGACCAGCTACTGGCCACAGAATGGGTGGGGCTATGAATGTCTTCCTTCATCGCTACTCTTCTACTGGAAACAGCCTAAGTAAAAGGAAGAAAGATAGTCACTTTATAATTTTAAATAAATATGTGTTGAAAATTCAGACAAGTAAGCTTGCTTAAAACATGATATCAATTTAAAACTTATGGGAATGTAAATACAGGTTGATAATGTGATCAAATCCTATAACACCCATGATATAATGCCCTTGCTAACTGATATTACCTTTTTAGCATATTTGCTATTACATTTCTTGGGTAGATCACTAAACTTTTATGAAACAATATTTAATTCCACAAGTCATTGAACTACCTTGACAAAAAACTAAGATTTTAAAATAATGCCTTGTATATTTATAGCACCGCCAAATCCGTTTCTTATTCGGAACTGGTCAAATAACTGTATTACCTGTTTTAGCATATTTGCTATTAAATAGATATTGATATTTAACTGATATGTTGACTGAGACTATGTGATTGAATATTTCTGTTTTTGATGATATATTTGCTGATTTAATGAGATATAACCCAAGTATTTCTGCTACAGGTGATAAATTGACTAAGATGTTACCTGTATGAGTATTTCATCTAAAGATACTGATAATACATGTATATTGACTTTGATCTTTACCTGTTTGAGTATCTCTGCTATAGAGGATATAGTGCCCTTGCTAACTTGGCTCAGATCTTGCAGTTGATAGGGATGGGGCTCATCTGTTGGTTGAAGCATATCCCTCTGTTCTCGCAGTTCCACTGACTTCAACATAAATCTAGCATTCTCAGAATTGAATTTAGTCCTAAGTTGTGTCTCAGACTTTGCAGGCTGCTTTCGATGTGGGGAAAGAGATGGAGTCACTGAAGCTTTGAGGGGAGACTGTGAAGGGGAGACAACTGAGAATCCGGTCTGTGAGGAGGGAGGTGGTCCTGGTAAGCTCTGGACAGGGAAAGGTGGGGGTGGAGGAGGGGGAGGGGGTGGGGGTGGGTTCTCTGGGATCAGTATTGGGGGTGGCATCATTTGTGAAGGTGGTGTCCTTTTTCTGGAGCGGTCACTTCTAGCACTATCGATTCTTTCTTTATCATCAACCCATGCCTCGATACTCTGCCTGGCTGTTCCCAAGGACAAAGGGACACCAGTCTGTTCCCCTATTACTTTCACCTTCTTTGCATCATAAAACTTAGAATTAAGTTCATCTAAGATTGATCCATTCTTGCTTTTTCTGACTGAATCATTCCTTTTCATGCTGGTGTCTGTTACCACAGTGAAGGAATTGGATTCATTTTTTAACAGTCCTCGGTCTGTTTCCAGGCTGTCCCTCAGTGGCATTTCCTCCAGACTGTCCTCATCAAGGCTGTCTGCCTCCTCAATCTCCTCAGGGATATCTTCTCCCTCCTCCTCCTCACCTGTAACACTAGACACTGTACACACACCAGCCTCTAGGGAAGTCTTTACACTAGATTCTGTTTGCACGCCAGCCTCTAGGGAGGTCTTCACAGTCTCTGATACACTTTTTTTGGGGTCACGTATGGGTGATAGACCACTGTCCTTCTCTTGTCGACTAGAACTAGATTTATTTATCACTGGTGACTGGCTAGTGCTTGGTTTTAGTGGATCTCCACTACTAAGTCTTAGCTTAAGTTCATCCTGAAGTGTAGGATGTGTCCCACTTTTGGATGATCTTGGAGTTGGCTTTGGAGTTTTGGCAGACCTTTCTTCATTATTCACTTTCTTTTCTGGCACATTGCATGGAGTATTTTCACGTGTTTCATTTTGTTTCCTAGCAGAACTTCTGTCTGTTGAGGCTCTTAGTTTATTCTTTTGTTTTTCTAGAGTCTCACTGTCAAGTGATAGTCTGGTGACACTGAGTTTTGGAGAAGCTGTATCCTTTTTCACTGTTGGTGATTCTGAAATGTTCTTGGACTTCTTTTCCATGGTTTTAATTAATTCAGGTAGAGTAGGAGAGTTCTCATCCAAAGCCTTCAGGTTCAGACTTAAATCTACACTGCTATTTACTCCCTGACCAGGCTTGGGAGAGGGAATACCCAATTTATTTTCTGTGGCACTATCAGGGAATATGAAACTCTCGTCAGAAGAGTCAGAATCCAGACTGGATCTTGGCCGAGGAGTGGGGCTGTCATCGGGGATACACAGGGTTAGGCTTTCTGTAGGTGGCACAAGACTGTCATGTGACACTCGGATATCCTCAACAAGTGTGCGTACGTTTTCTGTATCCAGGGTGTTGCTGACTAGACTGATAATGGTGCGTGCTGATTGGACATCCTCTAATGCCACAGGGGGAATTCCTGCTTCCTTAAATAGCGCCTGCCAATCTGGTGGGAAGGTCATGTTGTCCAGCTTAACCAGGATATCCTACAGTCAAGAATTTAATTCAAATGAAAAGCAATTGTACTCTACTGTTGTTTAGATATTATGGATATAAAATATACTAAAATTTTCCTGAGTAATTAAAAGCTCGTCATTGACAATAACATTAAATGAAGAGTTGATTCTTTGGCCTTGATGATTTAACTGTACCCTGAATGGAGGTCTTTTGGTGGGGAGAGGATCCCAGCATTTCTTGATGAAGCTGGCCAGCTGTTCAGGACAACACTCAGGGATGTCTGGTCTCTTGTTGGTACGAACCTTCTCCAGAATCTATAAAACACAGCATTTAAGTTTTATCTCATGTTCCTTTAAAAGTTAAATATTTTTCATTCAAGTAGAAAGTAATTCAAGTATTTTTTACAACTGGAATGTATTCATTTTTAAATAAAAGTTGTGGTTAAAGGAAAGCAGATCATTCACAATGTATATATAACTTGTTAAAACAATGGCTCCATATGGAAAGAAGACCCAAGAGAAAGTTCAATCTCATTGTCATAGTATTTCCATATTTACAGATCTTCAATTTTTTTTGGGGGGGGGGATTATATTTTGAATTTTGGGGGAATTAACTAATTGAAAACATTTACCTGATATACAGAACAGCCTTCATAGGGCTGCTTCCTGGTCAACATTTCCCACAGAACAATCGCAAAACTGTAGACGTCAGCCTTGGTAGTTATGTCCCCTGTCTCCAGTAGTTCAGGGGCCATCCAGCAGGGGGAGCCCTGAACTGGCTTACATTTGGAGGCTTTACTGGCCCTCTGATCTGCCTCATGTCTACAATGTACCAATAAAAACATTTCAAAACTAATTCTGTAAACAATTAGACATTTTTGTAATATTACACCTAATTTAGTTAAATATTCAGGTAATGATTAAACTGATTTGTATAATATATTCTCCTCATGGTTTTTGGAAATTTCCATGGTTTTGTGATAGAATCTGACATGATCTTAACATTAATTTCTAATGATATGCAATGGCATTTTAACTTTATATAAGGGGAAAATACAGTAAAATTAAAGCACCTGAATTTGGAGAATCCAAAGTCTGCAATCTTTGCCCTATTGTCTCCACACAGTAACACATTCATTGACTTGAGATCCAGATGTAACACTGAGGGCTTATGTTGATGTAGGTAGTTCATACCCAGGGCAATGTCGTGAGCATACCGAAAAAACTCAGCATGATCCAAAGGTGGGCTGAAAAGGTAAGCATTGATAAGTTAACTTCAAAACGGAATGACATACATGTATACATCTTAAATTAGTTTCTTATGTCTGTGACAGACCTGGTTGAGTCATGCAGTCTCTGATGAAGTGTCCCGTTAGCCATGAATTCCAGCACCATAAGAGGGAGCCGTTCTGAGGTACAGACCCCCATCAGCAGCACCACGCGGGGGTGTCTCAGGTCCTTCAGGAGGTTCACCTGATAAACAAAAGGAAAACAGTCAAAAATTTAAACATGTACGCTTATCTTTAATAGGAATAACCATTACCAGGCCTATGCTTTAACTACAGATACTAGGTATTCCACAGTTTTCCCTTGTAGAAAATTCATTTTTTGATTTTAAAAAATCCCAACATGACCATTTATATATATCCAGTAATGATGATTTTTTTTTTTGTTTAAGATGCTGAACTGATCTACTTCACACAAATGATCCGAGACTCTAGCGTACACATTTCATCTTCTTGATCAACTGAATAAATGTTTTCTTCTTAAAGATAAGTTTTCTATAAGTCTTTTGTTTCATGCTAAATTATTACCTATTAGTGATTGATAAACCATTAATTACCTCTGCTGTAAAGTAGTTGTAGTCTTGAGGAGAGAGTGGAATCTTCAGCTGTTTTATAGCTACATCTGAGCCTTGATACAGACCATGGTAAACTGTGGAAAATGATCCCTCTCCAATCACATCTATTAAAACAAAGAAACATTTATTAAAACAATAAATTCATAAAGTGATCCCACTTATAGTTAAAATCAGTGACTTATAACTGTCAGTATAATGTTATCACCTGACACATCATAGTCCAGATCTCGGATACTGATCTCCACGGATCGGATTGGATGGGTCTGTCGGATTCGATTCAGTTCTGTTTGGAGCTGTCGAAGCTCGTTACGATGTTGCTTCCTTTCCTGTGTTAGTTCTTCAAACTGTTCCTCCTTGTTCCATGACCCTGACCCAGCTTGTTTACTTGACATGTAACCCCCCTCCACCTCTTTGTATGAATTATCTCCATATCCCTGACCCACATTTCTGCCCTTTGACCTATGGCCTTGATTCCCTGATTTGTCAGGTGGACTCCTTATCTGAGTTTCCAGTTCGTCTAATCGTTTTTGAAGATCTCTGACTAAATCCATTGTGACTGTGTCCCCTGCTAGGGCTTTCTTTGTCAGTGTGTCAATCTGGAAAAATGAAGGAAGAAGTTTTATTTGGAATGAGAAGTATTACCCTCAGTAAAAGCTCATTTATTTAATGGTCTATCAAACCCAAAACATTGCAAGATTTAATATTTTGTTTTCAGGCATGATTCGCATATCTATGTGCTTTATTACACGTCTTGGACAATGCTTACCTGTTTTTCAATGTCCTTGACTGTGTTTGTCCTTGAACTGTAGGAATGCCTACTGGACATATTCCTGATAGAACTTAAACCTACAGATAAATCATATACCATGTATTTATAAGATAATCAGAAATTTAAATAAGATAAATGATATACAGTAACAAATTTATATGAATGTAATTAAAGGAAATTAAAAATGAGACTATACACAATTGCAATTCATACAAAGATAATTTTTTTTTCGAAATTATCTTTTATCCATTTAAAAAGATATAAAGTGTACTTTCAAATACAGGTTTCCTTCATGTACAGTGAAAGAGCAAACCAGAAGAGCTATATGGTGAATTCTTACTTTGGTTTTCATGATGAAGGTAAGAGCTCGCTGACACTGCCACGCTTTGTCTTAGGGGTGGTTTGGAAGGGTTGGGTCGATAAAGGGGTTGTCTCTGGGGCAACGCAGAAGCTGTGTGTGCAGAATCTTCTACTGCTGAAATATGCATATCTTATTACTACTCACATATAACTTAGATAAGCTATTTTGAAATTTGTAAATGTTAAGGTTGTCTTACCCTGATTTGACCTGACTGTGTTGCTATAGGTAATGACCTTGACCAGGTCCTCCAGTGTGTCCTCATCTTCTGTTGTGTCTTCCTCTCTCTCCTTCTTCTCATCTTCTAATTTCCTCTTCTCCAGTGATTCCTCCCTCTGAAGCAAACACAAAAGTACATGTAAGTAGTGCCTAAGCAAACATGATGTTTGCCAATGGCATGCATTGCATGTGCAAAGTAAGCTCAAAAGAAGTCGGTTCACTTTATGCATAAAATGGCCCTGTAGATATACCAATTGATTGATCAACACTTGATTTTCCATTTCAAGCATTAAAATAAAATAGAGACTTAGTGCTTTCTTATCTTATTAAAATTTTTCTCCTTAAAGTCCAGGTTTTGGAGAACTGGCTTTATGAAATTGCAATGTTCTTGAATTCTTAGGTAAACGGGTATAATTGAGTACTTTCAGGGAAGAAAAATAATATGAGCACACTCTCTGATCTAAAATATAAAACAAGTCTATTAATCAGCAGAAACAGTTCTATCATTTACTAGTTGCATATTTTAGATCAGAGGTTGCGATCTATATTAAATATAAAAAAATAGCTTTAAAAATTTGCCGTTTTTGTACACTTTTTCAGAATATGAGGAAATTGACGCAATTCATGACGTCATAATACATTGACTAGCCAGAAAATTACGTATTTTGATAGATACGCAGTCACCAAAGATCTAAGCGATATTCAATATTCAATGCACTGCTAACTAAAACTGAGGGGTTTCAGATTTTCAGAAATACACAGGGCCAAATACGGCAAAAGTGAATCTTGTTCTTTATCAACAATGAAAATTTCCAGATTGACAGTACCCTTTTCTTTTCCCTCTCCAGGTGCCTGGCGGCCATTTCATCTCTGTTAGATTTGTTCTGTTCCTTCAACAACTTAGCTTCTGGTGACTCCTGTCTACCCCGGCTTCTCTGTATGGCTGCTTTGATTCCTATTAATGCAAGTGAACACAGTTTTAAATGATTTTAATATAATATTCTACATAAAAGATTTGACAGAATAAGTGGAAAAAATATACTTTTAAAACTTTATCTTACCTTCCTCCGCCTTTTTATTTGTTAATTCTGCTGCCCTCTTATTAGTTATGTTGGCAGACTTGGCCCTGGGAAGGTTGGGTCCTGATTTTTGTTTCCTGTTTTTAACTTTGGCACTTTGTGGTCTGTCCATTATCAGAACTCCTTTACCCGGTTTTGACCTGGTCAGTGAACCATCCCTTTGTCTTCCGCCTGACTTCTCCATTTTCTGTGAATTTCTACGAGATTCGCCGCCAGAAGTTTGCTGAGCCTCGTTTTTTGTGTAAGTTTGTGACATCATGCTGTTGGATCTTTTCACAGAGACACTGGCTTTAACAGGTGCTTGCTCTAGATAACCACCTTTATCATCTCCTAGTTTGTCAGATTTTGGGAACTTTGAAGACTCTCTCACACTGATAGCCTCTGCACATTTGGGACTTTTCACTTCGCTTTTACTCTTTTTCGGCACATCAGATATCTTAAGACTCAAATTATCTGTGTTTTTTGTCTTAGGACTATTTATCTCAGACTTTTCTTTGACCTGCGCTTCATATTTTTTCTCTTTAACTTTTAATTCTTCAATTCCTGCTAGAAGTTTCTTCATTGCTCCCAGTGCCAGCACGCCCATCTTCTCCAGCTGTTTTTCATCCAGTGTAATCAACACACTCATGTCTATTTCATTTCTTGCAAACATGTCAACATACTTTTCTTCCTCTAGAAGAGCCAGTCTCCTTAACCATGAATAGACACTAGGATCACACTTCACTTTGGACAAATTTGAACTGCTAGTCTTTTCCTTTGAGTGTAACACAGTCTGTGAATGACTTTGATTAGAACTAGAGGGATGCGAGTTTAATTCCTTGAGGACAGATTCTGTGTGATGAACACTTGTCATGTCTGTAATGGATCTACCACTTCTACTGCACTGTTCAGGATCCAGCCCCTGATGAACACTTGACATATCTGTTGTAGATTTCTGTTTTTTGCCGAGCAGTTCTGGGTCAATCCTGTTGGTTTGCTTCGGGGATTCTTTCTTAACTTCTGTTTGTAATTCCTTTGAAGGTTTTACATTTCCTTTCTGAGCTAATAAGTCTCTACCTGCTGTATTTTTGGTGTTGCCTTCTTTACCCACATTACCAGCCACTATCTTCAGTTCTCTCTCTTTTACATCTTTCCTTACATTTGAATTGGATTTACTGTCAGTTTCTGGAATATCAGACTTGGATTCAGTCTCAGTGTTTTCTGTCTGCAAGCTTTTCTTTCTCCAGATGACTTTGGAGCTGGCCTTCTCTAACACCTTGGCTTTCATGGCTGACATTTTGTCAACAGTGAATGTCTCCGTGTTTAAGGCAGTCTGTCCCTCTTCCCTGTCTTGCTTCTCTCTCTTTCTTTCCTTACTGTTAGTTGGAGTTTGCTCCCTTGGCTTTTCACCATTCAGGGGGGATATTTCTGAGGTTTTATCTGTGACACTATATGTTTTATATAGCTGCCTACTTTCAATACCTTGATTCTTATTAATGGTACCTTTCTGCTGTGGTTTTAGAATTCCACCTTCTTTAGCATTTTGATGTCCAGCATTCTTTTGCTCTGAGTTCTGTTTATTTAGGTCTCTTATGCCTCTGTAGCTATTCATTTTTCCAACACCGCCGTGCTCCCATCTTGAACCTCCTATTTCTTTCCTATAAAAAAATTATTCTCATTAGAAAAATATGATTCTCAATCATTTACCTATTTTTTTTCATACGAGGGGCGTTCAATAAATAATGTCATCGGGGCTCGGAAAGTAACACAAAACGCTTTTCTATGATTTTGTCTTCATGATTTAACTAAAATATTCTCTTTTAATCAAAACACATGTCTGTAACATTTTAATTCCATTTCTAATTGTTTTTAGAACACAGTTTTGAGTATGACCCTTCGTATACTGGAAAATGGCAGATCCTATAATTTGCTGTACTTGTTTTTTTCTTTCTGAAAGGTCTTTTCCTACGTTTGGGAAATGAACCAAGTCAAATGTTGAAAGATTTGGCGAATATTGTTGATCTGACAAAACATTAACTTTCTGTTTACCCCAAAACTCCTTTACTCTTCATGGCCTGTTTGTTTGGACGCTGTCAGGAAGAAATTTAATATAGTGAATTCCTCATTCTGTTTCCTTTCTCTCAGAAACCTTTCAATTTTTTGGCAAATATTTTGCTTACTAGACTCCTCCAGAAATTGAACTGCCTCCCTATATATGAATTTTAATATTTAAGAAAATAGAGTATAAAACTGTTTGTGTGTTCTTGCAAATTTTTGCTCTTCTTAGGCCTTTGCAGTTTTGTCAAGTGCATCTTATTCTAAATTTGTTTTGAGGGGTTAATGCAAAATGGATTCATTTTCATGATCTTTTTGAATTTCAGAAAAACGTGGATTAGAACAATTTTTGATTTTTTAAAAATAATTGTTTAGATTTTCTTCACGCTATCGTTTTCTCTCATTTTTAAAAATATAGGGTGACCTTTGAGTATTAAACTTTTTTACAATCAAATGTATCTTTAAAACAGTGTAAACTACCCCCAAAAAGATGTCTATCAAATTTGCTATATATCTTAAAGTCAATAAAACATAATCAGTGATAATTTTTTGAATTATCGCTAATATACATTGGTTGTTGTATGTCCTTGTTGACAAGAACGGTACCCATTTTTGATGCCCATTATATAATTTTTGTTAATTGAAATTTACCTGTTCATGTGTGTATGAAACTGACATAAGTTGCTGTAAATTTCACATATTTCAGTTAATATATTTTTGGGAAATTAACCAGTTTTACAGCAGCTTTAATGACGCGTTTAATTTTACTCTAGTTTACTGATTCTTGACCATTCATTTTTAATACAGTGTCTCGAGTAGCCCTTGTTTTCCAGCTTCCCACAATGAAGTTATGCGATGAAAAGTGGTCACATAAACTGTTATCAATTCATTAAAGATTCAATAATTAGAGAAAGTCAAACTTAATGTCATATGATTTCTATTTTGTATGTTATCGAGCTGATGACATTATTTATTGAACGCCCCTCGTATACCTGGTAAATGTTGCTGTCAACAGTAGAAATTGTTTCAAAAACTACATGTACTTTATACAAATTTCTATTCACTGTAAATGTTAAAAGAGTAATCCCTGGGCACCTGTTATTTTTATTAAGTGTCACTTTTATACCTGAGTATGCCCCGGAGCCCATTGTCTTCTTCCTCCTGAAATCTCTGATGGAGAATCAGCGCACTCTCTAGACCCTCTAATTCACCGTGGAGTTTTTTATTCTCTTGACGCAGCAACTGTAAACTGAGAAATAGACAACTTTAAGATTTAGAAGAGTTACTCCCCTTTGTAGGGTCAATTTAGGGTCAGCTGGTGTAACTCAGTCACTGATTTCCCTTCTAAAATACTGAGACTGTCTTGGAAGTTAAATTTGCAAAAATGTACTCATTATGTTTTCGTGCAGCCTCAAACTTTGCACTACAGGAAGGGTACAAAATTGTTTGAAAACAATTTTAAAGGTTTAAACTATTTACAGTTATGTTACAATGGATGAAGTAAGAAAAATGATTGTATGCTAACAAAGAGAGATAATTCTTATACCACTACCATGATTCAAAGTACTGACCCATTGAACATATTTCTCGATGAGTTCATTATTCCCCCGCTTGAAAAGTGGGAGGGTATATAGTAATCGGTATGTCCGTACGTCTGTCTGTCCGTCCGTCTGTTACGCTTTGGGGTACCCATCTCTTATCCGCAACTCCTCTTAAACCACTGAGTGAAATTTAATGAAACTTTCATGGAATCTTTATTACATATTGCCATTGTGCACCTCCTATTTTTTTTTTTTGATCCGACACATATTTTGGGTTTTCCGGCCACAGCAAAAAATGGACTTCTTCCAGTTATATTCATATGAGAGGCAGGGGGTATCATTTAGTGAGCTCATTGCTCATAGTACCTCTAGTTTTATAAGTAACTGAAAATTTTCATATTTGCAGATGCATGTATCTCTATGATGCTCAATATGATTCAATGTATTGAGTATGTACCTGGTAAAAATAAATATATTTTTGCCTTATGAGGCTGTTCTAAAGAACAGAAATATAAATTGGTACATGTCTCCTTATTAATTCAATTATGGCAATAATGTTTGTATATCCAAGATATAATTATAAGAGTTATAGCAGTTTTATGACAACTTTCTTTTCTAAATATACATGGTGATTGTATATTCAGTATTGTATTCAATATTTAAAATCCTATTTGGTATTTCAGTCTTCTTTTTTATTTGAATAAGTATTCGGCTACACTAATTATTCAGTGGAGCATTTCTCTCATGTAATAATGTTAATATGTTCACGATTGTAGTTTGGGTCTAAAGATGTACTTACTGTTTATCGCTTCTGAATTTGGAGGTCATTGTATTTTTCCTGCTTTTCCTCAACTTGGTTCTTTTTCTCTCTGCTAATGCAATCAAGAAGAATTCAATCTGGATTATGTTGCGATCATTATTTAACACTTGATATCCACTAGCTTTACTGATCAAATTCGAGGAAATTCGAAATCAAATTATTTTAAATTTAAACAGGGTTTTCTTCCTAAAACGTCCGTAAACGGTATTTATACTTAAAATATTTTATTAATTCTTATTTGTATTACCATTGCTTAGGTATGTGTACAGGAATAACTAAAGCTTATCAGCAAAACGAACAATAAACAAGTGCTGGCAAGCCGCTCAGTTGTTTACGTTGTTGTGGAACTCTTTTGTGTGCGGTGATATAGGTAAGTCGTTAAAGAAATTATTCGTAACTTTTGGCATGAAAATCTAATATGGTGTGTGTTTATGTAAATACGTGTAGAAGAGTCATTATCATACCCCCAACTTGAAAAGTGGGAGGGTATATTATAGAATAGAATAGAATAGATTTTATTTCCAATCATGGTCCCACTGGGGGCATAACACAGATACAAGTATATCATTACATAAAATAGACAATGTACATAATGAAACATTAAACCAATTTACCCATGGTGGTATGCAAATATTGTAAATGCAATATAGTAATATTCAAAAATCATATACAATATTTTGATATGAATTGATTTTATAATCTTAAGATTTACTCATTTTCATTTGTAAAAAGCCATGTTAACTTTTCATTATTGTAGTAATCGAGATGTCCGTCCGTCCGTCGGAACAGTAAGCTTTGGGGTACCCATCTCTTATCCGCAACTCTGCTGAATGAAATTTGATGATACTTTCACAGAATCTTTATTACATAATGCTATTGTGCATTTCATATTTTACGTTTTGATCCGGAAAAATATTTTGGACACTGCCATTATATTCATATGGTAGACGGGGATATCATTTAGTGAGTTCATTGCTCACAGTACCTCTAGGCCTAGTTCTAAATAGTAAATTAACAAATTCTGAATTTGATTTTTATGCCCCGGAAACGAAATGCCCCGGAAACGAAGTTTCGGGGATATATAGTTTTTGTCGTGTCCGTCCGTCTTCCTGTCTCTCTGTCTAGCTGTCTCTCTGTCTGTTTGTCCGCAAAAACTTGAACCTTGCCCATAACTTTTGATTTAGTGGAGCTATGACATTCATATTTCAAATGTGTATTCCTTGTGACAAGACCTTTCTTTGGGTACCACCAAATTTGACCTTTTGACCTTGACCTTGGAGTTTGACCCACTTTTACAACAATTTTGAACTTTTACTTTGGCCATATCTTTATACTTGATATATATATTCTTTGTGGGAAGACCTTTCATTGGATACCAACAACCTTGACCTTTTGACCTTGGAGATTTTAGTACTTATAAAAAAACTTTAACCTTGGCTATAACTTTTTAACAGAAAGTGCTAGGGCTGTCATACTTCGTGTATGTAATCCTTGTAAAAAGACGCTTCATCAAATACCAAGAACCTTGACCCTTTGACCTTGACCTTGGAGTTTGACCTATTTAAGAATACAACCTTGGCCATAATTTTTAAAAGGTTAGGACTAGGGCTTTCATACTTCAGATATGTAATCCGTGTGAGAAGACCTTTCATTGGATATCAACAACTTTGAAACTTTGATCTTGACCTTGGAGTTTAACCTACTTTTTACAAACTTTAACATTGGCCATAACTTTTGAACAGTAGGGGCTAGAGCTTTCATATTTCATAAATGTAATCCTTGTAATAAGACTTTTCATTGGATACCAAGAATCTTTTATCCTTGACCTTGGAGCTTGATCTTCTTTTTACAAACTTTAACCTTGGCCATAACTTTTGAACGGTAAGGGCCTTTCATACTTCCCATATACGAGGGTTGATCCAAAAGTTCGTGGAATTTCTTTCTAAAATTTTATCGTGAATTGATGAAATCAATCAACAGGCATATTCATAATATAGAGTCATAATGTAACAATATTGGAAAATTTCACCACTTTCCAATTACCAATAAGGTCACAAGAGCTTTCTGAAAATGGATAGTTGGGAAACCCGGGGGAGACTTCAATGTAACGTCAAGTTAGATATGTCACGTCACGTTCTAGAAGCATTTCGCCCAAATGTCCAATTATAACACGTAATTCTACAAAATGCTGCCTTTTTCTCCATTTTTTTTCTCAAGAAAAGCCTGGGTATCCTCTCGCACCAATTTATCTTCATTTTTTACTCATATTTCAAAATACTACCCATCTTTCCATATGATGTTCCAATTTCAGTAGCAATGTCAAGAACAGTACGGCAGCCGACAACGTCCATTAACGCTTTTAATTTGTCTAGGGGGATACGTACTCAAACAGAGCCTCTAAAAAGCGACCACACCTTTTATCAACGTCCATGGAAGTTCCGTTTTTCTTAAATTTCTTATGCCACTGGAAAACCAGCAACTAAATGATTTTTTCCCAGGCCTATATCAATAATATACACGTTTAAGATAGAGTGATCCCGGGATTTTCACAAAACGTGTGACTTGACCGAAATTTGACGTTATCTAACAACTTAAAGATGAACAAGAAATCATCAACTTATAAACTAAATATCCAGTAAAATCAGTAAACTCTCACACAAAGGTTTATAAATAAAAGATCAAGCAATCGTAAGAATGACATAATTTTTGTTTTATATACCACAAAGGGCGGTTTAATACTTATTTCACGTATCAAGAATTAAAATGATAATACACGCGTTAATGTCTCCCCCGCATTTCCAAACAACCGTTTTTATGGCAACTGCCATAAAGTTACTATCCAAGATATTTAAAATGTTTTTTATTTTAAAATATTCATCAAGTGTCTATAATTTCATTTGTAATTTTTAACCAATTCCACTGAAAAATAAATAAAATATGAAGAAATTCCACGAACTTTTGGATCAACCCTCGTATAATCTTTGAGACGAAGTCTTTCTTTAGAAACCAACAACCTTGACCCTTTGAGCTTGACCCCGGAGTTTTTCCTACCTTTAAAAACGTTAACCTTGGTCATAACCCTTGAACAGGTGTGCTAGGGTGTTATATTTCACATTTGTATTTCTTCTGAAAAGGCCTTCCTTTAGGTACCAACAAATTTGATCTGCATTTGAGGAAGCTTAACCTTCATAATGTTACCATACAGGGGCATCAGTGTTTCACAAACACATCTTGTTATATATCTAGAGCTATAGGCTTTCCGAAGCCTTGTTCAACCAGCTCCCTTCTAAGATCCTCGTCCTAGCACCAGAGACCCTAGACCTACATGTAGCCCAGGACCTAAAAAATCACACAATTTTGGAAGAAGCTTAATTTCTTGCTCATTAGTTGCTCATCACAACCATACACTAAATGTATATTCCAAATATCGAGAAACAGAGTAGATTTTCGATGAAATAATGCATTTTCACAATGCAATCAATCCTTAAAACCTGAGACCTAGCTTGACCCATGGACCCTGGAATGTTGAAAGAGACACCCTTGTCATTGGTGTCGGAAGCAAATTGAGGGGGGAGGGGCTAGGTGAAAGAGAAAAAATTTCAAACCTACAAAAAACTTGACAAGCAAAAAAAGGAAATGTGTCCATTGCCCAAACTCGAAAATCCATTTCGTGGGGTGGGGGTAAATTTCTTTCAGTACCATTTTTTTTTGCAAACACGACTTTTGAAAAGGGGGAGGGGCGAAACCTACACCCCAATATTCACAATGTTCAATGCCTATATATTATGTCTATCTTTTAAAAAAAAAAGTGGAGGGGGTTCAAACCAACAACCCTCGGTTTGCGACGCCTATGCTTGTTCAGTGTGATTATATACTTAATTTGTTTCATTAATACCTTGGGGCAGAGAAGAATGCTTTCAAATAAATAATGCACATTCACCGATTCACTATATAGTATATGTACATAATGGATATACCCACCCCCTCCCGGAAGAAGCACTCTGCCCACCATATGACTAACCATTTATTTATATTACGTCTACTTGAAAAAAAAATATCCAGTACAATTTCTGTTATATAAATCGGACATTTAGCAAATTCTCATTCCGGGTAAATTCGGGGGGGGGACCTATACCGAGTCAGTGGGAACATTTCCTGTATTTCTCGAAATCAGTTACAAGTACCCCTGCTATATTTGTACGATAGGTACATAATTGAAAGTCGGTCATCATGTACATAGAGCAGTTCGTTATTTACTAGAGTCATATCAATAAAACTTCTGCCCAAGTCAACCACTTTCTATGGGCAGGTGCGCGTTTTGATTTGTAATCGAACACTCAAAGGGTCATTCTTCTATTTCCCATTTATATCGCTCAACATATTTATTAGAAAATCTTACAGTTTACTGCTTTTTGATAAAAGGAATATATAACCACGGATTCTTGCTGGTTTGGTACTCTCCTTTTTCATTCAAGGTTCAACAAAATGCAAAGATCTATCAGTATGTGTACAGCCTTTTATAATTATTTAACGACCCTTGCCGAAACCTTTCCAGTTTATAACTCTTCACTCTAGGTGACATTTTTTTTTATCGACAGGTGACACAATTTGCCACAAGTTCAAGCAAAAAAGAAAGGCGTCAGTTCATAAGTTCTTTACACCCACTTGTAGATGTAGCTATTAAGTAACTATAGCCCTAAATGCCTTGCATTCACATAATATTTCCCTTTGAACCTGATGGAGTACACGCAGTGCATAAGAGACGTCTCGCCGGGTGTAGAGTGTCGGCCTGTAATACTAATCCCATCAGGCCCGAGGTCTAACAACAATAAACCTAACTAACAACAAACACAGTCTTTACTGATGTCCATAGCTAAGGACCATGATACACAGTTGTGCTTTATTCAAAATCACATCGTACAAAACACAACAGTCATACACAGCTATAGCCCGGTATATAAAAATACTAAAAAGACGCGAAATTTCTTCCCTTCTCAGTCACTCAATTGTAACAATTATGCTCTTTCATTCTGAATACAAACACAAGAAAATGGAATTCATTTTACAAATAATTAAATGAGCAAAAATAGTGGATCGTTACGACCCTTTAAAGCACAGTCTATACACATGATCCATTCATCCACGGCACCATTAGGCTTTCTTCTCTTGTTCAATGGCTGAAAAGAAAGGGAAAACATTAAATTAACTTCCCATAAATAAATATCGCAATATTGTCTAAGAAATAACACAAGAGGGACCAATGTTCTGTCGATCCTTCCGCAGCGATAGATGCGCTCGAAATATTGACTTTTATTTTACGATATTGGTGTGTCTAATTTTTG